GAGGAAGAGGAAGGAGGATGACGTTGAGAGAAGGAGGAAGGATGATGTTGGCGATGTTGTCAAGGAGGAGGAGTCAGCATGAACCAGACCAGAGCATGCCTCGACGGAGCTCGGCTCTTAAGAGGGGGGTAGTGTCATGGGCCTGGATGCTCAAGAAGCAGGAGGGTCATGGGTTCATATGGAAGGAGCACAGGTATCGAAGACCTAGTCGATACCAGTAGAGAGCATGGTCGTAGTGCAGTCTCCATGGAGACCACGGACTCCTATGGATTCACATGCAAAGGAGAACCGAGCCACATGCGAGGAGGACCAGGCACAGCCACGAGGAGGACCAAGCTCAAGGAGCAGGCACAGCCACGAAGAGGACCAAGCTCAAGGAGCATGCAGATGGTTACCACTCAGGGGCTCGAGAGACAGGAAGTCGACACAGGTCAAGAGGAGGAGGAGCAGTGTCGAAGAAGTCGACACAGGTCAAGAGGAGGAGGAGCAGTATCGAAGGAGTCGACACAGGTCATGAGGAGGAGGAGCAGTGTCGAAGGAGTCGACACCACTCAAGAGGCACAGGGGTGCCAAGCAGGAGAGGCCCCTGAGCAGTACTCGATGAAGAGGGTACTCTCTGGAGAGAGAGCAGGAGCAGCATTGCTGGCGATGCTGTGAAGAGGTATATAACCATGCTTTCTCATCATCATAGGTTGAGTGGATCCTCATCCACTCTACTCACCATATAACTAGTTGTCACTTCAGCATAAGTATACATTAGTTTCAGTCAGCATAGCAGCAATCTATCAAGGTTGCTCCTCATCATAGTGTGTGTGTTGTATCACCACTACCTGACATCCGAAGGCACCCATAGCAGGTTAGCGGTCCGGATCAAGATAGAACCGAAGGCAGTAGTCCACTGCGGTCCGGGGATCACTTCAAGCATCAAGTCAACACACTGGACACTCGTGTTGATGCCACCAACCTTATCACCAACACCATCAACCTCATTATCATCGACATCACCAATCTTATCACCAACACCATCAACCTCATTATCATCGACATCACCAATCTCATCACCAACACCATCAACCTCATCATCATCAACACTCACACCAGACCTTGGTGTCATCATAACATTGATATTGATCATGCCAAGCTACCCCTGAATGGAGTGTCCACAGAGGTCAGCCGAAACCTACGATAGTATATACAACGAACGCCACCTGCTGTCACTGCACAACTTGATAGTCACCGATACCGAGACAATAGCTGTCACACAGTTTAATAGTCACCGAGTATCTCGACAGACCGACCTGGGTTTCAGGCGCGAGACCCCTGACACGGTTCTTGAGGTAGGCAATGCCATGTTTGGCCTTGACACAAATGCGGGAGAGTGAATAGTTGAAGTAGTGGAGATCTCTGCTCTTTGCAGCTGCAGTGTTGCTGTACAGTCCAACTGTGTAGCTGGAGTAGCCATAACCAGCATCAACCCAGACAAACTTGCCTTCATCAAGATGCAAACGAGGCTTCGCAACAATACCACTGCCTGAAGCCCAGACTCGCACATCATGTGATGACCCAGGATGTCCAACCACCGACTCGACAATGTGCAAGGAATGAGGGAGGAAGACAAGGGCAATGTTGAATGTATAATCACCCTTGTATGAGTAATGCTCATGAGCATTGAGTGCTGGCTTCCAAGCAAGATTGATGTGTGTACCATCTACCACCAACCATCCTCTAGACCATTCCTTGACTCCACTCTTATCAGCAACCCATGCTTTTACCTTAGCATGCTCATCTTCAGTTGCAAAGGTTACTACCTTGCTGTTCAGCTCATATAGGCCTGCAATAGTCCTATCTGTCCACACATGAACTGAGCCCCAACTGCAACCACAGGCAAATGCAACATCACAAACTCCACCACCATTTCCTGACCATCCAAGCCAATATAGACCAACTGCCACTTGCTGCTGAACATGCTGAAAGCTTGATATTGATCTGAAGGCATTGGTTGTGCTGAGTCTGTAAGTGAGAGCTTGGAATGCATCTGGGGTCATGTGAACAGCCCCTCGAAAGAGCTTGTGGTTGATGACAGCATATCAATCAAGCATGTTGATGAGGGGATCCTTTTGTTGCGGCAGTTGAAGGTGTTCAACTGTGTATCGAGACTGGCTGATGATGTCATAAGTCCTGATGAGCACAAATGAGATAGCATGATCGAACATGTCATCATCAGAATCTTCAAGGTCATCATTAGGGTGCCAAGTGGCATCAACATCCATCAGATCAAGTTGCATCTTGGATTCCACCATCAATGAGTGCATGATGGTGGTCTCAATGTTGTCCAGGAGGTGCTGTTTGTCGGAAGTGCACACCATGGTTGAAGTAGAGGGCCAGAAATAGGAGAGGATGATGTGGTCTGAAAGAGAGTCCAAAGCTACAAACACAATGCAGCTGAGTTCTGTGCAGCTGAGTTCTGTGCAGCTGGGTTCTGCACAGCTGATTTCTGCACAACATGCATGCTTGGAACTGGGGCTACACCAATCAGCATCTTGTATGTGGAACAATTCATCACATTGAAGCAAGCTACATTTGAGAGATTACATGGAAGACTGGGTATGGGGTATGCTAGTCATACATATTGAGAGCTAGCTTTACAGAGAGCAATGGTACAACAAGTTGGAAACACAGGAACAGAACTTGGAGAACTCAAAAGGAACACCATTCTTGCCAAATGGTCTACTCACAAGCTGAATCACTATTGTCCTGCTGATCCATGGCAAGAACCAGTGGGTCAAGATCAAGATTGCTTTGACTACTTCCAGCAATGTTGCCAAAGGGTAGATTAGGGTTCATCATCTGCACCATCTCCATGAGCCAACCATGCTCTTCAGTTTGCATGCACTCTTGTCTCTCACTTTCTTCCCTGGCAAATTGAATGTGCATTTCCTCCCTCTTTGTGCATTCCTCCTCAACCTTGATTCATGCCTGAAGCATGTCTTGGGTGCAGGCCTGCACAATTTCCAACAGCTCTTCTCGCTTGCTCTTGGAAGTGAAGGGTCAATACTTCTTGGGTGTTGTACCTGTGGCTGGAGAATGGTAAACAGAGTCACCATCACCATTGTCCACTTCATCAGCCTCAAAAGTGGTGCTGGATGAGTGCTGGTGGGTTGGAGTGTCTATAGGGGTAATGGTGAAGGGGGTGGGGCCAATCGAAGATGGGTTGGATGAGGAAGAGAAGGGCAAGCAGGATGAAGATGAAGCAGCAGCTGGGGTGGCTGCAACTGAAGAAGAAAAAGATGAGATAACTCTTGCTCCAATGGGATCATTTTGCAACTCCTCAAGAATGGATTCCATGCCAGGAATGTTGCATCGCTGAGGGTAGTGAGCATCGCTGGCATCATCCATGTTCACATCAGCATCAACTGAGTTATTCTGAGAGGAGGCAGGGGTGGCATCATATGGGTGACCAGTGAGAAGAACAACTGGACCAGTCTGTGCATGGTTGGTCATCATCTTGTGCCAGTGCTCAAACCAAGGGCAGCTTTGAGCAATTGATTTGCATGTGGCATAGTCCTGCAAGTTGATAAAGAAGCATAGACAGAGATATAAAGTATAAGAATGTTGGCACACTTAACATGAATCAACTAAGTTGTACTTACTGAGCTGTTGTGATCCATGTCTTGAAGAAGTACTCCAGCACCAGTCTGCTGCGAGATGGTCTTCTTGATGTTGTTGTATTGTTCAGTGAGCCAGTGAATCTTAGTCTTTACTCGACCAGCACCACCAACAGTAGACTTGTCTGGGAACAGCTCCTGCCATATCTGCCTGCAGATAACATCTTTGTTTGTCTTCAGACCCTTTTCCTGTTCCGCAGTCAAACATCCTGGCAATAGAACACGTTGGTAATGATCATTATTGTAGATGATATCAATGAGGTTATTTATGTCGCTAGGTGACCAATTGAAGTAGGCAATATGATCTGTTTTGTTGAACCTGCTGCCACGAGTACTGGCTTGATGTCTGTGAGTTGCAGAGATTCGAGTTGGCTGGGTAGAGGTTTGGCGAGGCAAAGAACCGGCAGATGTGGTGGCATTGGAACCAGAAGGAGTGGAGGAGGACAAAGGGGAAGCAGGAGAGGTTGCTGGCTGAGTCAACTCAGCCCCAGCCAAGGTGCTGGAAGTTGCAGAAGGGTGGTGCTGATGAGAGCAATCAAGGTTGGACTGAGCTGACATTATTGTGTTGTGCTGCGAAGCAGTTGAAGACTGCTCTGATGCTGGAGCCAATCCAGAGGCTTGCTGCAAAGCTGTGAATAGTGTAATGTTGTTGATATGGTCGTGAGGGGATGGCATGTCCATGTCCTGGCACTGACAGGGAGGAAATGCTACTGGAGATGGTGATAGAAGTGAAGCAAGGACAGATGTAACTCAAAGCATGAGAAAGTGTAGACAGTGCAGAAAGTGGAGGTCAAGGGTTGTGCACAGAATTGTGTTAGAATCACGTGATATCAGCACATGACAAAAACTCCTGCTGAAAACTCAAATATTCAGAAACCCAGGCTCATGGCAAAAATAAGTAGGGGTTTTCAAAACTTCTGAGCTTTTCTTTCCTGGCAGAGCTTACTTAAGCAGTGAGCTTTCAAAATCCAAAAAAACCATGAAAACTCGGAGTTTTGAAAACTCAGAGAAAACTGAAACCCCCTACTTCTCGCCCGCCAAAATACGCGTGTTTCGGCAGAGGCAACCGTTTTCCTGCACGTGACGAACGATCATCGAGAGTCTAACACGCTTTAAAATTGCTGTCTGCCACACTCGACATGCTTGGCAAGCAGCTGCATCGTCCTACCGGCATTAAGGCCTGAGTAGACATGAAGAGTCAATCGATTACACGAAAAGCAGAGAAAAGGAGTGTAGTATGGGAAGGAAGGGTATCTTGGTAGAAGGTATATGAGTGCAATGGATATGACGTTCTTGCACCGACATGATTCCCGCTCTTGTGCGCAAGAGTGGAAATTAATTTGGATGCTGTTTTCGAGGCCGACTGTGAGATAGTATCATGGCCGCAAGCAAAGGCAGACTCAGAAGCACGCTTTCTACGCCGAGCAGGAAGAGAACGGCAGACAGGGGCATGTCTCGCAAAACCTGCTGGAATGCATTTCCATCCTGGCTGCGTCCGCGATGAAAGTGGATGCCTGGCGACGATGCTCCGAGGTCGGCTGTTCTGGTTAGCAGAACAATCTTGAATGCACACATGGCACTGCAGTAGGCCATAGCCAAGGTCAGCACCGCGATGAAGGAGATGAAGAGTTTTTTCTGCTCGCCTCTAAGCATGTACATCCGGACAATGAGCGTATCGAGGACGAGGAAGAGGGCTGCGGCAACCAGAGGCAGTGCTGGGCTGATACTAATCCATAGGTATGGTGACTCGAAAGCGAAGAAGAGGGCTTGGTGAACAGCTGTGTAGAGCTGAAGTGTAATCCTTAGACCCGAGTTGTAGATCGCCCGCTTGGCGATCCTTGCTGGCATCGAATCGGAAACGTCGGCTTCGTCTTCAGCGCGGTGCGATTGCTTGTCTTTCGCCTTGGGCTGCTGAGCTGCATTCGAGCTTATGCTTTGTGCTCCAGGGTCTTCGCTCAGTATGTCGAGACGGGACACAGCACCAAGATCGCTAGCCTGCGTGCTTCTTTGTCTTCCGTCAACATCGATACTCTGATGACGACGACGTATCGAAGAAGTCCGAGGTAAGATCGAGATGCTACTGAGTGTGGCGCTGCGCTGATGATGTGCACCAGTAGCATCAGCAACCTCTGTGCTAGGGTCGTTGGAAGCTTCGTGGCTGGACGGATCTTGCGGTTGAGCTGCTCGCGCTAGCTGGCTATCCTTCGATCCATGCTCTAATTCGAAGAGCAGACGCTTCATGGCTCCAGGTGGGCTCGAGATTCTGTAGCCGCGTGTAAACCTCTCTCTACAGTCCATTGCCTGGCTGGACTTCCTGTCAGAGTGTATTTGCTCGCCTCCAACGTTCGGATCGACATCAGGATATGGGCTGCTGTTCTGTTGCAAGCTAATACTCGGTCGAGGAACAGAGAAGCCGAGGCCGACGTGACTAGGCCCTCTCGAAGCTGTTGCTGCATTGGATCCGGCTGTTTCGCGACTGCTTCTTGCCTCGTATTCAGCTCTGCCCCAGATGAAATCCGTGCCACCCTTGAGAGGCGTGCCAGGCATCTGGAAAGTAGTCCGGTACGATCCAGCTTCAGCAGCTGCTGCTGTTTGACGCGCGGTACGTGATGTGATAGTATCCCTGGACGAGCCAGCACCGCTTCTGCTCATACTCATGGCCATGCTGAGCGGGCGGAAGATCTCTTCAGATCTTCGTGGGCCAACCGAGTCTGTCGTAGCGACCTGCCAAGGGACAAGCTCGACGGTGCCACTCGAATAAGTCTCTGCTGAAGCTGCGGAGCGTGGAGGTGACAATGACTCAGATGGAAGACTTTGATCAGGATCCGGATCTGAAGAGCTTTGACTCTTGCGAGATGTTGTGTTTCCCAGGGCTTTTGCCGGTGACAGAGGTGAGCTTCCTTCGAGGGTCGACAGAGGCAACTCTTCCCGCGACTGGTCGGCAAAATTATCGTCTTGGACTATGACGGAAGTAAAGGTGGATGGGCGAGACACATTGATGGTTGCAGGTTCACGTTTAGGTGGAGTGACACTCTCGGACTCGTTGCAATCTGCTTGTCGTGAGGTAGGAGGCCTTTTTGTTGCAAGATTCGCTTGTGTGTAGGTTGTTCTGGGCGATATTACCTGGCTCGGATCCAGTCTCTCAGCCTGCCAATCTCTTCTGCTGACCTCAGGTGGAGCTGAGACAATAGCATCGCCGAGGGTCGGATTGGATGTAAGGGTAGGAGTCAGATAGTCGCGTCCCAAGGAAGGTGAAGCAGCTGTCTCAGATCTAGATGTGTCCGGCCGGTCGAATCTTGGACTGCTTTCTGTCGGCGTCGTTTCCAGCATCAACATGGGGACAGAGGTAGAATGCGAAAGGCGTGAAGATGCTCGTGCGGTCGGGTCAGTAGAGCGAGAGTGATGTCGAAGAATGAGCGGCTTAGGCCTAAAGCCGCCAGCGATCCCATGCGAGCTTGTATCACTGTAGGCAGACGACGCTCTCGAGGTCCTACCAGTCAACACACCCGACTGCGTTGCCGGGACGGGACTGCTGCATGGACTGATGCCTATCGGCTCTGACCTCGTCGAGACACTTGAGAAGCGGTATCGGTCGAAGAGGAAGGCGCTGGTGTCCGCCAGGGAGACGTCATGATCGACTGAGGCGCCTTCGATGATGGTATCTAAGCCAGCTGAACCAGGACGAGCGGTGGTGGGAGTCAAGAGCTGATGCGTCGAACCCTCCTCTGCATTTTGCACCTGCCAGCTGTCAACTGCGGAGGCTTGAGATAGTGGACTGCGAGTGGTATGATCATGATAGGCGCCACTTGAGCTTAGTCCACGGCCTGTCAAGGGGCTTCGCGGCAATCTCGCCCAACTATCGGGGGAGCTCTGCAGATAAGAACTTAGAAAGCTCCAGTCGTCGGCGTCGAGGACGAGAGGACTGTTGGAAAACGCACGTATGGGACTTCCAGACAAGCGTTTCGCATCTGCTGCTGGGCTCAGGCTGCCGAAGTGAAGCGTATCGGAAGGCTGTGACTGTCTTAGTGCTCGTGCAAGATCTGGCTCATGTTGCAAGCTGGCCTTTCTTGGCGCACCTGTCGTAGGCAAAGTCTGCTGGTGCCGGGCAGGATTGCTTGATGTTCGCCTGTTACAACCAGCAAGGCCATAGCTGTCAAGGTTTGACCTGCTCACTTCATCTGAACTCCACCTGCGATCGCTATCGCTTCGATGGTCACCGTGGTTTTTTTGACGGTTGATCCCTGCGTATGGCCAAGAATGAGCCGAGCGCCCTCTTGCGCTGTGGGGTCCGCCCAGCAAGGTACCATGATTCGTTTGTGTCAGCGTTGGATCCGATGTCGACGTATTGACTACTTCATGGCTGAGATCTGGACCGGAGGCTGGCGTCCGAGGGCTGCCGGAAAGAGCAGCCGACCAGGAGGGCGACCTCCGGTAGTTTACGGAAGAGGGACGAGAGATGTTGCCAACGGCTCCGATGATATTGACAGCTTCGGAGCTGATAGCTGGAGTGTGATGAGGCGTGATACTGTTGTTTGGTTGGACGTCGGAAGGTCAAGACAATGAGGATGACCACTTTGGAACATGTGATAGAATTCCGTGTTATGCTGAACGCTTACAGAGAAGAGTAGCAAAGCCTACTGAGCCGCTCTGCAGTGTATATAGTATGTAGGGCTAGGTGGCAGAAGATGGATGGAAGTGTTGAGCATGACCATGCTTATTCGAGCAAAGTGTCTCGTTGAGCCGAACTTCCGGAAGAGATGAGATCGACGCAGACTGATGAGCTGTTCGAGAGGCCCTTGTTCATGGGCGAGAAAGTATCCGTTGTCGGATGGAGGCGGGTATGAACGAAGGCGAAGGAGCTCTCAATCTTTCTTTGAAGAAACAGCGGAGGAATGCAAGAAGATGAAAGTATGCAACATCCGGCGGCACGTTTTAGCGAAAGGGGTTCTGGGCGTAATGTGAGGCTATTGTTCCATGAGCGCCTGATGAAGGCGTCAGATGATAAAGTCGAGTGGTGTTGATGCGGCGGCTGTTGCTGGGAAAGGTGCCAGTCGGTGGTTCGGGTTGAATATGAAGTGGGTTGATAGATCGGACTTGGGCCTCTCTGTCTTGCAACCGCACCGGTTAGGATGGTCCAATACTTCTAAACGGGAATAGAGGCTAGTGGGAATAGAGGCTAGCGAGCATGAAGGCCTAGCCTCGCAAAAGGGGTGGAAAGGGATGCTTGCGACTTTGCTGATATCGGAATTGCACCAGCGTTACTTTGGAAGAGCAGAAAAGCAGGACTGAGAGAGTCAAATGAGGCCAAGACGATCAAGAACAGGCAGCGAGATGAGATGAGTCGATGCGAACGACGTGGGATCATTCCGTAGATGCATGCAGTCGGCTGCAAACGGCGTGACTTCATAAGGTCACAATAGCTCTGCGACCTGAACATACATGGACCGCATCGGCAGAAACGGCGGCCCCAAACAGCGCCAACGGAGCCCAAGCTGAACTAAGACGATGCTCAGGAGCATAGTCGCCAGCCTGCAATGACGGCGACGATGGGCAGTGGCGCGTAAAGACCCACGAACCTCGTGATCTGGGTGAAGTTCCTGGGCGTAGTGGCGCATAGGGAGGCAAGAACATGAAGAGGATCAAGATGCAGCTGTCTGCATGATCCTCGTCATCCAACACTGAGACATGGTTGTTTCTGTCTAGCGGAGACAGGTCGCGTCGACGTGATGGCTGTCACGGGACGCATTTCATTGGCTAAAAGAGTCGCTACGCCCAGCGTGAGAAGCGAATGACGAGACAATGAACAGCCATGATTGGTTGAGGAGAGAGAAGGGAGGCCCTAGAAAGAACAGAAGAAGAAGGTGTGATGATGGTCACCAACCGACAAGCGAGGTGAGATCTTTCTTCTCAGCTGCAGCAACTTGCAGATCCGATTTGCGATCCTTTCTCGCCTAAAGTCGACCGTTTCTTTGGTGGTTCAGAGCAAGTTGGCACGACTCGGTGGCCGTTTCCATAGTGGCTTTGGGCTAACCATGCTTCAACCAGATGAACTGCTTGCAGAGGATCCCTGCTGAGGAACAGAGCCAAAGCGGATTGCCACAGGCAAGTTCAGAACTGGCGTCTCGCTTCGATTCGCCCTCCTGCTAATGCACGGACAAACAAATCAAGCATGGTGTGCACTGCAGAACAAGTCACTCTTGCTCCTTCTGCCCTCTTCCACCCCGACTGCTTGTTTGCGAATTAAGTACTCCTTCTTCACCGGTTGTGAGCCTCGATATGAATTCATACAAAGCCCAGATCAGGCGAGAAGAGATGCGATGAGAAGAAGAAGAAGAAGAAAAGAAAAAAAAAAAAAAAAAAAAAAAAAAAAAAAAAAAAAAAAGGTGACTAATGATTAGAGGCAGTTCCCTATATGAATATAAGTCAGAATATACAAGTATAGTAGAAGCTGAGCAATCGCTGCTCAAGCAAGCAAACGATCACGAGTGCTGGTGAGTGGTAACAGTCTGAGGAGCAACCTCGGAATCAGCCGTCTTTTCTGGCAATGGTGTACCCTCTTGCGTTGGAGCAGCATTGGTAGTGCCTGAAGCCTGGTTAGCAGTATCTGAGCTGCTAGTGTCTGTCCTCAACGATCCATCGTCATGAGCACGGGGCACCTTCTCGTGCATATCCAATGTCTGACCGTGAGTGGGCTGATAGTTGCCCTCCAGATCCCTGTTGATAAAGGCATAGTCGTAAGCCCATTCACCGCACTGGTCTTCATCCATACCGACCACCTCGCCCATCTCGGAGGAACGGAAGGGACCAATAAAAGGCGTGTGGTCAACAACAAACATGATGGCAAACGTAACACCGCCACACCATGCGGTAACGGCGAGACAGTAAGCCAACTGGTAAGCAAGCTGAATCCAGTTGCCATCGAGCCAGCCACCGGCGATGACAGTGTTTCCGTCATTGTTGGCGACCGAAGCCTGAGTAAAGATACCGGTGAGCAAAGTTCCGACAATACCGGCGAGAGCGTGGACCGAGAAAATGTCCATGACATCATCGACACGCATGGGGCCCTTGAGAACGGTGGCAAAGTTGGAAACGGTGGCCGAAACGACACCGACAAGCAGGGCAGCGGGCATACCGACAAAACCAGCGGCAGGAGTGATGGCGACGAGACCAGCGATGGCACCGGTGCAGAAGCCGACGACGGACCACTTGCGCTCCAGTCGGAAATCAAGGAACATCCAAGTCAAACCAGCCGACGAAGCAGCGATGTTGGTAGTGCTGATAGCCATAGCAGCGCGGAGGTTGGCAGCAAAGGTGGAGCCACCGTTGAAACCGAGCCATCCGAACCAGAGGAAGACGGTGCCGAGGAAGATGTAAGAGACGTTGTGAGGCTTGAACAGCAATCGCTCAGTACCGTAACCGGTACGGGGGCCAAGGTAGTACGAGATGACGAGACCAGTGATACCCGAGTTGATCTCGACAGGTCCACCACCAGCGTAGTCGAGAACACCCCACTTGAATGCCCAACCGGTCGGGTTCCAGATCCAGCATGCGACGACATCGTAGACGAGGGTGGTCCAGATGAAGGTGAAGACGAGGAAAGGCCAGACGCGACCACGCTCACACGCGGCACCGATGGCAATGGCGGGGACCAAATTGGCAAACATGCACTGGTACACCGAGTAGACGATCTCGGGCACCTTGTTGTATGCCTGAGAAACGGGGTTCTCCAACACACCCATGTAGCCAAAGTTGCGAAGGTTGCCGAGGAAAGCGCCAGAAGTCTGGGAAAAGGCGAGCGAGTAGCCCCAGAAGAACCACTGGAACGAGACAACGGCGAGAGCAGCTAGTGTAAGGAGAAGGAGGTGAAGAGCGTTCTTTCTTCGTGCAAGACCCGAGTAGAGGTAACCAAGGCCGGGAATCATGATCCAAACAAGCGCAGTGCAGGTGAGCACCCACGAGATGTCGCCTGGGTTATAGGAGGCAACGCTCTCGCCGGCAGGGCCATAGGTGACGATGATATCGGTACCATTGGCGATGCTGGACGAGCCAAGGGTGGTGCCGTCTGGCGATTGAAGCACGCCGTATGTGATGTTGACCATCTTGTGTGTTTATACCTAGTACCTGGCGCGGCCTGGGAAGGGGGGTTTACGAGGCGTGACGTGTATGCCCGGATGCTCGCTGTATGCTTGATGAGGGGAAGGCGAGATGGAATAGCTGGCGCTATTAAAGCTCAGTGGCGAGCGATTCCAGGAAGGGCGGATGAACGTGAATGAAAGAGATGAAGAGAGGAGGAGATGAGAGGAGGAGATGGGAAGAGGAGATGAGAGGAGGAGATGAGAAGAGGAGATGAGAGGAGGAGGGCGGTGATGAAGGTGGGGACCCATCTGAAAACCGTCTAGGCGGGGGAGCGGGGGAGCGGGGGAAGGCCTTTTGTATAAGTATCTTTACTGCACGCGAATGATGCACACAGAGGAAAGCGATGCTGCTATCACTTGCACAGAGTCGAGCCGAGTTCGGACAACTTTGTCGCTTCTTCCTCTTGTGTCAATCTCACACACAGCCAACTTGGCCGCTGTTGCTGCGGTGTATTTGATGTGTCGACCAGAAGTAGGTGCAAGAGACCAAAGAGAAGAGCGAAACTTTGTTGGAAAGTGAAGCCAAGCCGGCCCATGTTTTGATTGTGTCGACGCAAGCGAAGGACGAGAAGAGCGAGGTGGAAGTGTGCTGCCTCCTTATCTTTTAACCTTACGCACCTGACGACGCAAAGGATGCTCGCTGCATCTTGGCAGGCAGCCGTTGAGAGTGGGACGAGTCATCTGCAATAGCAAAATTGTCCAGATTCTGTGATAAGAACCAGCGAATCAGCGAATCAGCGAATCAGCGAATCAGAACGCGTCATTTCCTCTTATCTCGTCCACCATTTTCCATTCCCACTTTAGCTCTCTTTTTTGCCCTATTTTTAACCCCCTAAGACCCAGCTGAGTCGACATGGCTTGCCTGGCAACCAAGGTCTAGCCACGGTTGCCGAGAACCAGCTCGAGACTTGCTTGACCATCAGTCCCGAGCCGGTTCGATCTTGTCGTACGAACCACACTCAACCGCCGGTCAGCGCTTCGTCAGGGTCCACAGATAAGGATTATATGCCTTTCGTGCAACAGCAACCTACCTCGTCACTGTGACATGGTAACCCAAACGACACTTCTATCCAAGAGTTGACCAAGACTGTCACAGAATTTCTGGTGACGAGATGGAATGTAAAAATTCACAAGCACGATCGTACATGTAAGCAAGAGGCTTGACAGATACACAAAGATGAGGTCCTGTCGCCTGAGACTCTGATAAATGCGCGGATGCAAGATGGGATGCGATTGCTTTGGTCAGCTTAGACGTACGCAAAGTCTCCGAGATCAGCTACCATGCGCATCAAGTCAAGCATTGACATGCACGTCAGATGGCATAAGAGTGGGCATGCAGAAGCACAAGCGGGGAAGATGAGTGTCACTGCCGAGGTGGGGATCAAGAGGCGCGGAGGACCTTATCCTTTGCATTGCTGATGACGGATCGGAACCAGAAAGGCAGGATCCGGGGCTCGACACGCATGAGAGCTAGACTGTCAAGTCTGGTCTTGTGATGTCAAGTATCTAGATGTGGGGTCGAAGAGATAAAGGTCGAGCACAATGAGGGCAATGGCTGAGGCTAATCTTATCTCTTTGGCCCTCCTCGATCGGTGATAACGGTCCTCCCTCTAAGCCGGCGGCCAGCCCTTCATCCCGATGTATCGCTATGCCTCGTGTTGTTCGTGATGCACTTGCTGCACCGACAACTACGATCCCCGTCGATGAGCGCGCCCTTTCTTCACCCCACCATTCCCTACTTTCTCCGCCTTCATTCTCTGTCTTTCTCGTTCTGCCTGCACACCATCAGCTAAAAAGTTTGCCTTCTTGAGACACTCCTGCAAAGAGTCGAGCATGGCTTCTGCTTTTGCAAGGTTGCCAACGTAGTGACTTGGGATAGCCTCTCGTGCTGCCTTTTGCTGCTTAAGTGTTCTCTCGTCTCCGGTCTCTGCGACCATGGCATCTTGAATCAGCTCAAGATCGTCGCATAGAGTTTGATGGACCAGCTCGATGTTCTTGAGAACCTTGATTGGCGGCACGACGTCGATCAAGTCGCTGTAGTTGATTGCAATTTGATTTGCGCCATCAATGTCTTTCTCGGAGGGAAGCTCGATAGAGTCGACAGGCTCCAGTCGGTCGAGCCATCCCTTGGCGACGAACCAGCTAAGACGCTTGAGATGCGGGAAACGAAACTTCTTGGGCACTTTGGTTGCCTCTTCGATCTCGACAAGCTTCCACTGCGTGACCACGTTCCAGTCGGTCAAGAAGTTGCCTCCTACCACCAAAGTGTTCTTGGGCGTGTAGACGCAATGCAACCATCCTGAGGGGATCAACATGGTCTCTCCCGGTCGAATGTCGACACGCGTCAAGCTGTGCAGATGGTCGCCAAGCCAGTCAAAGTCCTGTCGTGTGCTGCTACACCAAGCCTTGTATGCAGCGAGATTTCGTGCCGTGGGCGGAGCAAAAAGGAAGGTCTTTTGACCCCAGATGACATGATAGTAGACACTGCTGCCAGCAAAGTCGATATGCCAGTCTGAGTAGGCACCTTCGACACCCATGAGCACGTAGCGCTGTACCTTGGGCCAGCTGTTGTCGGGCACAGTCGGATCACGTCGCTCTTGGGGCCAGTCGCGTGTGACCCAGTCAAGGTCGCGAACGAGTTGTGGTGCCTCGACAAAGGACTGCATCGCCGTTCCTGTCACTTCGAGTGAAATGACATTGAACGTCTTTTTCTTCTTTTCCTTGGGCGTGTCAAAGTACTCGGCCCATTCCGAGATGGTCCATGAGGTCTTGGACGATGATTGTGAGGCGACATCGATGACTTGGACGGGTGTGTCATGACCGATCACGTCTGCTACATCCAAGATGCTCATTTCTGGCGGTGGTACGATCATGCCTGGGATCGAGGTTGCTCTTGGTTTCAGTCGCGACTGCTTGCCTTTAGATTTGCTTTTGCTCTTTGCCTGCTTCTTAGTATGCACATTTACTGTTGCATTCTCTTTTTCCTTCACTATATCATCATCATCCGCTTGAGCTGAGGCATCTGATTGCTGCGGTGCCGGAACAAGCACTGGTTCTCGCAAGGCGGTTTCGTCGTGTAGTAGCCAATCGATGGTCCATTGGTGACCTTCCATTCTGCGGAAGCGGTCGGGTTCAAAGTCGTAGGTATTGAGAAAATTTTTCCAACGACCGAGTGGATCGGCAGGAATGCCCTCTTGAATGGCAGCATAGTCGACTTCAAGCTTGGCGCGTTGCGACTTGCGTCTGGGTGGGCGAGTAACGTTGGCCAGGGGAGGACGAGATGAGCTGGTGCCGGATTCGAAAGCTTCTTGGGAGCGAGTGATGCATGGCTGGCAGTACCATTTGTTGTAGTCCTCGGGATTCTCGAGAGCAATGCAGATACAGTGGAACCATGTGTTGCATTGAGTGCAGCAGATCCAGGTCTCTCGATCGGAGGCGGCGCCTTTGCCAGGGGTGGGAGTAGGTTGTCCAGATGCAGGGCAGGCAGCGCAGTCTAGCTCGGATTCGTCGACAGGTTCAGCTCGCTGCTTCTTGAGCTCAGGCCCCTGCTTCGCCTGTGTTGTTGTCAAGCGATTGACAGGAGACTTGGCTCTCTTGCGTGGGCTGCTGCGCAGTGGACTAGGTGCTGCCGAGGTAGCAGCGACCCCATTGCTGAGTGGAGGTACAGCTGCCGCCGTCAACATTGCGGCAGCCAACTGACGAGTCGATGTGGCACAGAAAGCTTTCTGTCTACGAGTGAACTGCGAGGTCAGTTGAAGGAGGTTAACATGCGATGTCTGTCTGCAAGCCAGCGTGGGATAAGGTCAACGAAGGTGCGAATGTCGTTTGAGCCTCTTGTCGAAGTAGATGGCGACCGTTCAAGTTTCCTGGAAGAGGAGGCAGATAGGTTATCCCGGTGTTTAGATGGAGCAAGCGAAGCCTTCAAGGGTATTGTGAAGCTTCCCGAGGTAGGGATGAGTGGTGGATAAAAGAAAAGTTGAGATGGTTGATGCGCTCTCTTCTGCAGACGGCGGCAGCGGCGGCAGATGTCACGAGGCAGCAGCCCGATACAGGGAAAGAAAAAAGAAAAAGAAAAAGAAAAAGAAAAAGAAAAAGAAAAGAAAATAGTCAAGTCAAAGCTGAGAGAGCGGGGGGGGGAAAAATGAAAATTGAAGAGCTGCGCAGAGAAGCAGCGCAGAAGCAGATGAGAAAGACGCCGAAACAGAAAAAGCGTCCAAAAAGAGCTTTAGAAAACAGATTTTCAAAGCTGCGCGTAGAGAGACACAACAGAACCCTGAATTTCTATTCATTTCCATTTCCATTTCCATTTCCAAATCCATTTCCAAATCCATTTCCAAATCCATTTCCAAATCCATTTCCAACCTTTTTGCGAACGAAAATCAACTGCTATGTCATCAAATCAACTCTAACACTCTTGAAAATGAGCTTTTATATAACCTGGCCGATAGACCGATGACGTAGTTTCTTGAGCTCAAAAAGGCAGCAAAGAAAGAGGAAAGAAAGGCAGGTGACTGAAGAAAAGGACCTTGGCTTCTTGGCTTTTTGGCTTCTCTTTCCGTGGAGACGCGCGAACCACATAGACAGACAGACAGACACACACACACACACGCGCAAGCAGCACTCACAGTGCTGAAATCGTCCGTGTCTGTTGTTCTCTCCGCTTAAGAGCTTGTGATCCTTGCCCTGCCTTCCTTCCCTCTTCCATCCATCCATCCATCGTTGTCGCTCTTCAAGACCCTGACATTGCTTGCGCGTCTGATCACCTCGCATCTCCTTTAATCCCACTCTCTCGGATCAACACCCACCCCACCTCTGGCATCCATGTCAGCCAGACAGGGTCAGGTCAAGCCTGGTGCCAGTGACCGGGCTTCCATCCCCACTCCGCCCGTCAAGTTCCCTCTGGATGACAAGCCAGGACCGCTGTCAACTCGCAAGCAGCAGAGGTATGCCACTGCGAAGCCTAAACAATCCCGAGGCTTCTCTGGCTGGCTCATCTCCTTTGGTACTCGTGCCACCATCTTCTACCTCATCTTCGCCGCATTATGGACTTGCCCTTCGCGACCCTTTGCTTTCGACTACTCGGCCAAGGATCCGCGACCTGTCTGTCGCAACTTGGCACAGGCTCACCACCAACTCGCTTCCATCGTTACTCCTTATATTCGCCGGGCGCAAAAGAAAGCGGAACCGTACACTCGCCCCGTCATCCAGGCTGCGACGCCATGGGTCAAGCGTGCTAACAAAGTAGCTCGTCCCATCTACCGTGAGGCTGACAAGCGAGGTCGCCTCATCTGGAAGAAGCGCATTGATCCTGCGCGTCGTCGTGCTCTCAAAAAGGCACGCAAGCGAATCGACCCTTACGTCCAGCAGGCCCACTCGTATCACAAGCGCAACGTCCAGCCTCACATCAATACGGCTCACAAGGCTGTCAAGCCCTACCACGATATCTACCAGCGTGACGTCTCTCCCTATGTCGACCGCGCCTACCAGTACAGTCTGCAGTCTCCTTCCGTCTCGTATGCCTTCTACATGGACAAGGTTCACCCCCGTGTCGTACACGCCATCAAGCAGGTCTACAGCTTCTTTGTCAATCACGTCGGCCCCGCCGTGCGCAGATTCTACAGTCTCTACGTCCGACCTCAGCTCGATCGTCTTATCGCTAAGGTGTACCAACGCAAGGCTCACTACCTCGGCTCTGATGCCATCAAGACAGCCCAGAGCGAGATGAAGCAGGCAGCTAAAGAGGCTGATAAGCACGCTAAAGAGTCGGTCAAGAAGGCGGAACAAGATGCGATCAAGGCTCAAACCCATCCTTCCCTACTCGATCGTGTCAAGCAAGCCAAAGATGCTGTCGTCGACAGTGCTACCGGCAAAGAGACTGCTCCAGTCAAGCTTGCCCAACTCGATGCTGAACAAGGAAAGACCAAAGATCTTCTCCAAGTCTGGGAGAATGGCATGACTGACCTCATCGAAAAGGAGTACAAGCTCGCCGTCGACCGTATTGCCGATCTTCGCAACAAGCGTCTTGCTGACTTGCCCGACCGATTCGGCCTGATCAACGAGGCTTTCGCCGAAGACACTGTTGCTCTCATCCTTAACCGTGTTGAGCGTGGCTTGCGCAAACTTGCTGTCAAGCCCTCCGACTCTAACGCTGAGCTCAAGCAGAAGCTTGCTGCAGGTAACAAGCTCGTTGATCAGCAGATCGCCAAGTTTGACCAAGCTACTCTGGATACCAAGGCTCACATTTCTGCCTTCTACGAGGAGCTGCTCCAGCAAGAGAGGCAGGCGATCGAGACTAGCAGCGCTGAAGTGCGTCGCTATGCTGCTGCTGCCAAGGAGGCCTACGACGACATCATGCGCGATGCCAAGTTCTCTGCCACTATGGATGAGTGGCAAGGCTGGGACCTCGGTGTCCGTAAGCGCGCCTCGATGTTTGCCGAGGAGCTTGCGGCGGTGCAGAGCAACAAGAAGGCTGTCAGCACTGCTTCTGGTGCTGTGGATCTGCGAAAGGAGGCTCCCGACATGCAGAAGGAGATCGACTCACTCCGCAATTGGACCGACAAGCTGCACAAAGCGGCAAGGACGGAGTTGATCGCGTACTGCGATACTTCGCTTGCTCAGCTCGGTGGTGAAGGCGTCGCTGCCAAGATCTCGGATGTTACTGATAGGTTGGTTGAGCAGGCTAGTCGTATTAGCACTGATGCCGCTGCTGGTATGCTCGGTGCTGTTGGTGCTGCTAGGTCCAAGTTGGGACTTGGTGAACCTGCTTCGGAGGGATATGTGGCTAGGGCCAAGTCGTACCTTGCTTCGGGCACTGGTTCTGGTTCGTCCTTTGACGACTACATCAACAGTCTCAACGCGAATGTGGCTGCTGCTGGAAGCTCCGTTTCTTCTGTAGCCGCACAGGCTAGCAGCAGTATTGCATCGGCTGTCGGTAGCTCTTCCACTCCTGCTGTGGCTAGAGCTTCAGCTGCTGTCGCCGATGCAGCCAGCGGTGTCGCTGCCAACGTCCAAGCTGCTACCGGTAAAGCCACCGATGCAGCTGCTTCTGCTGCCTCTTCTGCCTCTTCAGCTGCTAGCAAAGCAAGTCGCAGTGCCGCTTCTGCCCTCGGTGCTTCTCCTACTCCCGAGACGCTGGAGGACTACACAGAGGTGGTGAAGGACAACGTCAATGCCGCTGCTGGTAAAATGGGAGGTGTTGCTCAAGCGGCCACCTCTTCTGCTTCTTCGCTTGCTTCGGTTGCGTCCAAGTCTGCTGGTGACGTTGTGGGCGCAGATGCTTCTTCAGCTCTGTCCGCTGCATCGGTTGTATACGCGTCTGCCAGCTCAGCCGCCCAATCTGGTGCTTTGTCCGCATCGTCGGCAGCATCTGTGGTGTCCAAGTCCGTCAGCTCGGCTGCCGCTCCTGGTGCTTCATCAGCCTCCTCTTTGGCTTCGGTTGCGTCCCGATCGGTTGGCTCGGCCGCTGCAGAAGGGGCGTCTTCCGCATCCACGCTTGCCTCGGTCGTGTCCAAGTCGGCTGGTTCAGCTGCGGCTTTGGGTGTTTCCTCTGCCTCTTCCCTCGCCTCAGCCGCGTCCAAGTCTGTAGATTCGGTCGCCGCATCAGGTGCATCATCAGCATCTTCTCTCGCCTCCGCAGCTTCCCGATCAGCCGCTTCTGCAGTCGGCGCCTCTTCCTCCCCCTCCACCTTCGCTGACCGTGTAGAGGATCTTCAAGACTCCGCAAGCGTCATTTATGGATCAGCAGGAGTGATTTACGGCTCAGCAGCTAGTTCTGCTTCTTCTATCGCCAGCAAGGCTGGCAGATCAGTTGCTTCGGCTGTCGGAGCTTCGCCTACGCCTGAGACGCTAGAGGATTACGTGGAGGATGCGAAGGATGCGACTCAGTCGATTGCTAGTAAGGTGGCTAGCGTCGCTCATGTTGAGTTGTAACCACCCCTGTTTATAATCTAAGGAAGGAATTGGAAACAGTAGCATCTGATTGAATGTATTGCTGTCTTTGGAGTGTGGATCATGTGAATAAAGGTCTGTATTCAGTAGCAGCAGGAACAGCAGCAGCAGCAGCAGCAGCAGCAGCAGCAGATGCTTTTTTCTGTGCTGCTCGTTGGTTGAGTATTTGTCTAAGAACGAAAACTGAACCTGTTTCCAAGGCGTATTCCTCCTCTTCATCGTCACTGGCTCCTGTTTGCTGCTGTTGAGCATCACGCACAGCTTCCATCAGCGGTTTGTTCCTCAATAGAGCTCGACGCTTGTGGAAATCGATCTCGTCCATAGCTCGTCGAACAGATTCTGTAGGGAGAATGGTTCGGTCGATAAGAGCGAGATGACGAAGCATGGATGATTCGACGAGCTTCCAAATTCGAGCTGATACGCGAGTGCGAGTTAGCGTGCGGATCATGAGGGAAAGTCGCCGATCGACGTGGGTTGACATGGTTTCGTCGCCTGGTAGTCGGCCTCCGCGCAGAATGATTTTGACGATGATGTCGAGTAGTGCTGGGTCGCTGAATAGTAAGCCAAATTTGGCTTGACTTGGCGACGCTTCCTCGTCTCCAGCAGCAGCAGGGCTGATGGAAGAGAGAACTGGTCGTGCTTCGAGTTGATCCAATGTGTCGTTGAGCAAAATCAAACCTCGCTTGAGAGTCTGCCACCGGTATCTGCCAACAAACGTCTCGTACCTCTCCATCTTCTTTTCCTCCTCCTCCTCTTCTTCTTTAACCGCCTGCCAGCTACCCTGAGCCAAAACATCACTGTCCCATGCTCGAATCCATCTTCTCCACAGCCTCAACACTGTTGGCTCACCATCGAACGCTTTCTTGTCATACCCTGCCTCTGGGTTAGAGGGTATAATCACCCCGCTCCACAACTTATCGAACCACTCGCTGGAGAAGGCGAGCTTGAGCACTTCGTAAGCTGAATCTTGGCCCTCGATGGTAGCACGTTGTTGTAGAGCGGTAGAGAAGATATGGATGACGCTACTTCTTTGCTTGAGGATCAGCTCGTTGTTAAGCATGTCTGCCTGAGGGTGTGGGTTGGGTTGGAGACGGAGTATGCGCTTGAGTTGGGCGAGGGCGGCAGGGAAATCGCCGACAGTGGACAAGAGGCGCAGGCGAAGAGTCAGAGCTGCGAGCTGGGCCTCGCTTCGGCACTTGGTTCTCTTCATGGAGCCAGGGTAAAGCTGCGCAATCAGGGTGTGGATCCGGTTAAGCGATGTAGTAAACTCGGCAGACCCGGTCCTTTGTGTGGGTCTGAGAGCGTCTATTTCGGCTTTGATCAATGCCGATGCAACCCGAGGCAGCTCATGGAACGACTTGCCTTCTCCCAAACCGGTGAGTTGCTTGAAGACGGTGCGAACGAGCTGAAGCGCTTCAAGAGCATGTTGCGCCGAGGTGTGTGTTGATCGCGGGCTACGCAGGGGAGCACTCAAGCCGGACAATATGGTAGCGAGGAAACTTTCGTCGATCGGGATGCCGTTGGCGTCCATGGATGCTTTGATCTGCAAAATGTCAGCCTGAATCTGCCGTGATTGTGTTCCGAAGTTCGCTAAATCTCTGCTTCGCGGCTGTGAGACTCGCTCGCGGAGAAGGGCGATGAGCTGGAGCTGGTAGTGAAAGACGGTCGGAGGCAAAGAGTGTTCATGAAGGACGTCGAAGCAGGCTCGGACGCGGTCTAGTTTGCCTGCATGGGAAAAGGCCTGCATGAGAAGCAGTATCAACTGCGACAGTGAGGCGATCGTCTCGGCGCGGGAAATGGAACGAGGCAAGCTAGCTATCATCTTTCGTTCCAGGATGCGTAAGATTTCTTCCAATACGCCAGTGGCAGCCTTTGAGCTGGCCTTCAAAGTGAGTTTGGCGAGAAAGCGGGTCCGGAGGGCGTCACAGGGCACAAGAACTGATATCCTACGAAGCCTCCCAGCAGTCAGAGCATCCATGGCGGCTACATCGTTCTTTCCGCTCCGCCGAGTCACTGCAAAGGCCGACTTCAAAAGAGATACGAGATAGTGCTCGTGAAGGACTAGCGGTGGATCAGATGCATTCTGTTCGTGGCGAGAGGCCGGACCGTTGACCCACCATCGCTCAGCTTTCAAGGCTGGACTGTAAAGGAGCTGTTTTGCCACTGCGACGATCTGGGCCTCATCGTTTGCTGCACTGAGTCGAGCTTCGATGTAGGCTGACTCGACATCGATAAAGAACGAATTTGAGACCGCTGAACAGTTGGTGGGTGGAGATCTATCTGGGAGATCTGGATCAAAGTAGGAGCTAAAGCCGACTTTAGTGTGCTGAGTTAGAGGACGGCGTGGTTTGGTTTTACCGGTCCTTTTAGAGGCTGCGCTTGAGGATGAGCCAGCCGATCGAGCTGAAGAGTCGAATGCTGGTTCCTCGAAATCGGCCTGCGCGATGGAGGCATTGTGACGGCGGAATGTGGGGGTTGAAGATTGGACAAGGGCAGGAGCTAGGAAGTCAGGTAGTTTCACTGATCTGTGGGGCAGAGGTTGTGACTCCAGGCTGCTCAGCAACGCCAAAGAGCTACGCCAACGAGCCATGGCGGCTAGTGAGGCTGTAACGTTCGTCACAGTGCCGATTCCTTGCCTGGGAACTGACAGATAACCCAATTGGCCTACATAGGCGCTGAATTCTACAGATCCGTCATCGAAGGCGATAAGCAAGGGTGAGGATTGTTGAAGAGGAGAATGTGACGATAGTGATTAGAGAAGGTATGAAAGAGTTGAGAGACTTCTGAATGTGCAACCTTGATTCGGAACTCGGAAGTGCAAGTCACGTGCCCTTGTCCTCCGCTTTGGTTTTTTACATTAGGGCCGTTCAACGCGTGTGCTTTTCTAGCTTTACCATAAAGTGTGCAGTACCAAAAAGCAAATTTGGCAGAGAGTTGCATCGATCCTGTAAAGCACTCCAAGAGGAACTTTACGCTACTAATTCTTCAGAATCAGTATCTTTGTGCTAGCCTGCAAAATTTCAGGGTTGGAATTTCTGTGTTTTCAACTCTGTGTGGAGGTTAGCTCAGTTGAAGTCAGGCACACGTACGGGACCTCCAGCAGAAAACTGAATTTAAAAATTTTCTCCTCTGTGTGCTAGCTTTACATCATCATTATATAATCACTCTTCAACTCAGATGAGCTTTTGTGGCTGAACACGCCTGCTGCTTTACTCTAATTTCTTTAGCCTCGCGCGACGGCTTGAACATTCCTATTCACGTGTGCTGCTTTTTTTTTTTTTTTTTTTTTTTTTTTTTTTTTTTTTTTTTTGGTCTCCTCAAAAGGGGAAAAAAAAAAAAAAAAAAAAAAAGTGGATCTGAAGGCGAAACTTTTGGGCCGGCTAATTTCCACCAGCGAGGAAACACTTTGCTCTTCTCCCCTTGACCACCATCTTAAGCACAATCAGCAAGCTTTGCTTTCCTGCTACAGCATAGCTAGCGAGCGAATTCAACATAGCTGGACCATGTTTGCAAGGCTCACTCAAGCACATAGTCTCTCGTGCTGAGACAACACAGGTCGATACAGGCACAACAACACCGACATACGAAGCTCTCACTAGACCCGGTCGCTTCCACGTTAGACTTTCACATCAGGATGCCTTCCTTATCGGCAGCAGAAGACTCCGCCAAGAGGAAGAAGGGAGGACCAGCCCCACACCTCAAGTCACGCTCTAAAAATGCTCGTAAGCTCAAGAGGCAGGTCGAGGATGCCGAGATCACACGGCTCGAGCAGGGCGCCAACAACTTTGTCGAGCCATCAGACTTGAAGCAGTTTAATCAGCTGCCCTTGTCCGACCGAACACGACGAGGTCTCAAGAAGGCCGGCTATACCGACATGACTGGCATTCAGGCCAAGTCACTTCCTCTATCGCTCAAGGGCAAGGATGTGCTCGGTGCAGCAAGAACTGGCTCCGGCAAGACCCTTGCATTCTTAATACCCGTTCTCGAAATCCTCTACCGCAGAAAGTGGGGACCTTCTGATGGTCTGGGAGCTCTTGTGATCTCACCAACACGAGAACTTGCTATCCAGATCTTTGAGGTTCTCCGCAAGATTGGTCCCTACCACACATTCTCTGCCGGACTGGTCATCGGTGGCAAGGACGTCAAGCAAGAAAAGGACCGCTTGTCACGAGTGAACATCCTCGTGGCCACCCCAGGTCGTCTCCTGCAGCACATGGACCAGACACTCGGTTTCGACACTTCCAACCTGCAGATGCTGGTGCTCGACGAGGCGGATCGTATCCTTGACATGGGTTTCTCGCGAACGCTCAATGCCATCGTTGAGAACCTTCCTCGCGACCGACAGACGATGCTCTTCTCTGCAACACAGACAAAACGAGTCAAGGACCTTGCAAGACTGTCACTGCAAGATGCAGAGTATGTCGCCCTCGGTGATGCGGAGAAGGAGGTATCTACACCGAAAGGCTTGGAACAGCATTACATGCTTGTCGACTTGGAAAAGAAGCTCGACTTGCTCTTCTCATTCATTCGAACTCACACAAAGTGCAAGGCGCTTGTCTTCATGTCGTCATGTCGTCAGGTGCAGTTCGTTCACGAGACATTCTGCAAGCTGCGTCCAGGTGTCAGTCTGATGGCTTTGCACGGCAAGCAGAAGCAAGCCAAGCGTCTGCAGATCTTCACGCAGTTCACCAAGACGCAGCATGCGCTTCTCTTTGCCACCGACATTGCTGCACGAGGTCTTGACTTCCCCGCCGTCGACTGGGTCATTCAGCTGGATGTGCCGGAGGACGTGGATACGTATATCCATCGTGTCGGTCGAACAGCACGCTACACTGCCAAGGGTAATAGCTTGCTCTTGGTGCTCCCGAGCGAAGAGAAGGGCGTGCTCGAGGCTCTCGCTACCAAGAACATCCCCATTGGTCGCATCAAGCCCAAGGAGAGCAAGACGCAAAGTATCCAGAACCAGCTACAGGCTTTCGCATTCCAGGAAGCACAGATCAAGCACCTCGCCCAAAAGGCATTCGTTTCGTACGTGCGATCGATCTACTTGCAGAAGAACAAGGAGATCTTTGATGTTACTGCTCTTCCTCTTGAGCCCTTTGCTGCCGCCCTTGGTCTTCCAGGTGCGCCCAAGGTCAAATTTGTCAAGGAAGCGGCCAAAGCGAAGAAAGCTGCAGCGTACAAGGCCGCTCAACAGAACGACGGCAAGCAAAGCGATCGTGGCTCTGATGATGAGGACGATGAGGGCGCAGCAGACAAGAATGGCAAGGTTCGAACCAAGTATGATCGCATGTTTGAGCGCAAGAACCAAGACATTCTTAGCGAGCATTACGCCAAGCTCATCGCCGACGACGCCTCTTCTGCGGAGAGCAGCGAAGATGACTCGGATGCAAGTAGGTCTGGAACTGATTCGGATGTCTCTTTAGATGGCGAGCGTGACGATGCTGAGGAGACGCGATACGGTCGTTCTTGGGCACGGCGCAAGGAAGACCGCCTTGTCGGCAGTGACACTTCGGATTCGGAAGTCGACTCGAACTCTGACGATGAGGACAGTGACGGAGCTGCTAGATTGCGCGTCTCCAAGTCCGGCGCTGCTGCCAAAGCTGGATTCAAAGCTGCCGCTGATACAGGAGATGACTTGCTCACACTCAAGCGAGCTGATCACGCCCTTGAGGATGACATGGATGCCTACGGTATAGGTGGAGACGATGTGCCCATCACTATGGAGCAAGCCAAAGCAGATGCCAGCGAGAATCTTTCCAAGAGAAAGCTTGCCATGGGTCAAAGCAAGAAAGCGCTCGCGCTTGCCGGCAAGCGTGGTATCGGTGAGAAGCTCATCTTCGACGAGGACGGCGAAGCACATGCTCTGTACGAGTTGCAGGATGAAGAGGCATTCAAGAAACAGGGTGATGCCAGGACACAGGCACAGCGGTGGGCGGAAGAGGAGCGCGAACGTATGCAGGAGGCGGATATCAAGGACAAGGAACTGGCTAAGGAGAAGCGTCGCGAGAAGCGTCGACGTCAAAAGGAGCGCGAGAAAGCGCTTGAGCGAGGCGACGATCTGGATGACGAGGAGGAGGAGGAGGAGGAGGAGGATGACAGCGATGGTGATGGTGATGGCGAGGGTGGCAGAGCGGTACTTGCTCCCATCGACAACCGATCCGATGGCTACGAGACGCCTGACTTTGAAATCTCTTCTGAAGAAGAGGAGGAGGAGAGCAGCGACGACGAAGAGGTATCACTTCAAGCCCCGGCTTCCAAGCGTCGCAGGACCGACAAGCCAACGAAGCAAGCACCTGCTACCAAGAAGAGCAAGCTCGAGCAGGAAGAAGAGTTGGCTCTCCGTCTTCTTGCCGGCGATGGCTAGAGTGTCCGGCTACTACAGAGTAAGTCTCTACGGACGGCTAATTCTATCACTTGCTACAAAGGTGGAACACGGGTTGACCGCTCGCATGATGGTACTCGTGTAATTTGCGCCTGATGGTCGTTGGCGTCCCTCCAAGAGATTGGCGGTACAACGGGGCTCGCTAGCCGGCAAGCCCTGGCGCCTTGGGCTCGATGAAACTAACACTTCTGATACGAACAGCGGGTCATACTTGTTTCTTCCCTCGATGGCAGTGATGGCAGTTGCAAGGAATCGTTATCCCCTGGACTAATACTAACTCTCGACGCTCTTGATTCCCTTGTCTCGACGGAATAGGCCACATCGACACCATGGTCGCGACTTTCACTGCATCTCTTGTATTTGTAGCCATTCTAGCATTCCCCTTATCTGTGACCACCGAGCCTTGTTCGTTGCTTGATTCTCTGTGGAGAATGAGTTGTGATTGCAGCATCGTCTGAGGCAGGCGAGTGGAGCCATCTCGAGAGGGATAGGAGCTCAAAAGGCACATTTGAAGGGGCAAGCGTTTCTATGCGAGTTGGCAGTTGGACCCTTTTGGTCAGCGATGGGCTAAGAGAATAGAAAAATCGAGATGAATTACTATTGAGCGCCGCAGCAACGAGCTGATCGGGCGCGGATAAGCGGCAACGCTTCCGGTGAAGAAGAGGCTGCTCAAGACTAAAGGATTACTCAAGCACCTTGCGCCTTTCAGATCATGAGGATGAGCTTCTTCACTTGGAAATGAGTAAGGAACGGTCTCTTCCGTAGCGTTATATGCGACTGGGGGCGAGAAAGCTGTGGGTTTTTACGAGACTCGCTATCGGGCGATTTGCGAGCATTGTGACTGATGAGAATTTTTGTGACTGTAGAAAAGGAAGGGCCCGGGCAGAAAAGAGGGCCTGCCTTGAGAGATCACATGGAAATCGACAACTCAGCCATCTGGAACTGCGATTGCTTCAGTGATCCTTGAGAAAGTCAGCTGCTGAGCGTCTCTGCCAAAGCTCTCGGACCACTTGGATTTCAGTCGACTTTGATGGCTCATCACGCGTCTTTGCTCTCATTTGTGTGTGTCTTTTGCTGAGACTGCGCTCTGCTGCCTTGCCTTTTTCTCCTCGCCCTTTGACCTTTGGATTTCCTGCGGCTTGAGATCACAAAATCTGCATTTCTCGCTTTCCATTGGCAACGCAACGGTTGCCTGCCGACGCCCCTCGCCGAGGCTGTTAAGAAAAGCTTGGTTCCTTTTCATGATCACCCACCAGCAGCAACTTGAAGCCTTTGTTGCATTCTTTCCCCCGTTCGCCTCTCGAATAAACCCACCCACACACACATTAGTTAAAAAAAAAAAAAAAAAAAAAAAGAAAGAAAGAAAGAAAAAGAGGAAACGCACAAGCTGTCTGTTTCGTCTTGGTCTTTTTCAGCTTGCAATCGGAAAGAGCTCAGCGGGATCAAGATCCTGGACAAGCATCCGACATTCAACCTCATCCTCGCTTTCCTTCTCGCTACTACCAACATTTAGCATCTTCAGCCTATCTTACAGTCGACACTGCTTTCTTGCATCAGCATTTCGATCAACATCTCGCAACTCTTCTTACGTCAACCTCAATCACGGCTGATGCTCAACTTGCCATTGTCACCGCATCTCATGCCTGCCCAAAAACCATAACGACACTCTAATCGATCGATCTTCATCTCTCCGACAAGCGTTACGATTCTGAACTCAAGCTTTGCAAGTCCTCCCCCCTCCCCCCTTCTCTCTCTCTCTCTCTCTCTTTCTCTCTCTCTCTCTGCTCAGCTTCTGTCCCCCCTAGTCAATCGTGTGTCCGGCCTATCAGCTTAGAAGCAGCTAGCCACTTTGCGATCCAGATTGCACGAGTCTTTTGACATCAGCCTTGTCCTGCTGAACTCGAGCTTTCCTCTTGCTTGGCTTCACGGATTCTCGATGCCTAGCAATCGCAGCCGTACCAAGCCTAGCTCCAGCTCCAGCTCCCCCTCCAACGCTCGCTCATCAATTCGATCTCCAGCAGCTACTGCCAATTCCACAACTGACGTCTCTTCTTCTTCCGGAATAGCTGCTGCCGCTCCCACCTCCCGTCGCTCCAACCCAGCCGCTGCTGCCGCTGCCACTCCTCTTCGCAGAAGCCGCCGGCTCTCCGCTGCTCCCACGACCGTCACCGACGACCTTTCGGACTCTCGTAGCGAAGCCTCTTTCTCCACCTCAGATCAGCTCTCGGCTCCTGTGACTCCAGCCACCGCCGTATCTGCATCAGCCTCCTCTAACCCTTCTTCCGCCAGCCGCAAGTCCCTCGCCTCACCCCGTGCATCTCCGGCTGCACGATCTTCCACCTTGCCGCCATCTCCTCAGTCCACCCCTTCCCGGGCTGGCGCTTCTCTCGCTTCTGGCTCCTCGTCCAAGGCTACCGCTCGTCAAAAAGGAAAAGGAAAGGCTATTGTCCTACCTGACGCAGCAGCATCTACCGCATCTACTTCGGCTTCGGCTAAAGGGTAAGTTTTTCTGCATCGCTGCTATATGCCCATCTCGTCCTTGCTCGTATACCAACCATCTCCACATTCACTCATCTCTCTTTCCTTGCCTTGTGATTCCCTTTCTCAATATTGTAGAAAGCGCAAAGCCTCCACAAGCACCCCGTCCAAGAAAGTGGCTCCATCCCCAACAACCACGAGTGAGCCCAGCAATAAGCGTCAGAAGACCGACTCTCAAGCTTCCGCCTTTACCAAGCAAACGCGCCGCCTTTCTTCTTCCTCTTCCTCCACCTCGCCTTATTCACTTCGTTCGCGCGGCAACACCGCAGACCAGTCGCCCTCTTCCACCTCCAAGATGACCGGCGCCAACCCCAATCCAGCCGACGCTCGCGGCTCCGCCCGATCCTCGTCGACCAAGTTCAGACCCTCACCGACATCTAAGCGCGCTTCCACTAGCGGCTCCACACGCTCCTCCCGAAGCAGCGCAGCTCACCAGCTCGAGTGCTCGGATGAAACTGGCTCTAACGAGGACGATGATGTCCACATGTCGGACCTCAGCCCTGATCCTTCCAACAAAGGCACTGCCGCTAGGTGCGAGTCCTCGCATGTCGGCCTAGTCGAAGAGCCAGAAGACCTAGCGATCGATGAAGACGATGCACATTTGCATCAGGACGAGCATATGCATGACTTGCCCGACAATCACCACTTGGATCACGACGACGACGACGAGCACGATAATGACGATGACCACAGCAATGAAGATGACCACGACGAAGGTATGCCTTCGCGTGGGGAAGGTGGCCTCGGCGCGTTCGACGATGAAGATGACGACGACGATGACGATGGCGATGATAGCGACCATGGCGCTGGCGTCTTTGGCCTTAACTTGCGAGCCATGGCTGGCTACATGTCTGGCTTGTCCAGCCGGTTCCGCAGCCTTCTCTCATCCTTGCGCAAAGAGTCTGATCCGACAACCCAGATGGTGACACTCCAAGACCTGTCCGAGTTGCTCAGCGTTAGTACTGAAGACACGCTAGCTGGCTACTTCCCAACCGACTCGTTCGTCAAGGAGCTCGTCTACATCCTCGGCGGACCCAAACCAGAGCGCAACGATCTCGGAGGCAAGTCTTCTTCCAAGATCGAGTCAGTCGACGATGACCTGGACGACGAGATGAGGGCTGTACTTGCTGCGGCCGACACGGAAGACAATGGCGAAAAGATGCTCCTGGCCTGTCGATGCTTGGCCAACCTCATCGAGGCCATGCCATATGCTGCGCATAGCGTCGTAGCTAACGGTGCGATTCCTGTGCTCAACTCCAAGCTCATGGAGATCACTTTCATCGACTTGGCCGAGCAGGTGTTGCAGACCCTTGAGAAGGTCTCACAGGACTACCCTAGCTCCATCGTCAAGGAAGGCGGTCTATCTGCCATCTTGCAGTATCTCGACTTTTTCAACATCCACATCCAGCGCACTGCTATGACGGCTGCTGCCCACTGCTGCCGCAAGCTCACGCCCGAATCGCTCAGTATGGTCCGTGACGTCATGCCCATCATCCAGAACGTCCTCACCTACAGCGATCAGCGCCTGGTGGAGTCAGCGTGCAAGTGCGTCGTTCGTGTCGTAGAGAGCTACCGTCTCCATCCTGAGCTGCTCGAACAGCTGTTGACTGGCGAGCTTCTTGCTGCCCTTAACAACCTGCTCCTGCCCGCTTCCTCGGCCACAAGCTCCAACACAACACTCGGTGCCAGCGTCTACACGGACGTGCTCAAGGCACTCGGTACCGCTTGTCGCAGCAGCCCACGTCTCGCAGTCGTGCTGCTCGAGAATAACATTGTCGAAACCCTATACCATCTGCTCACCGGCTCACCCGCACCCACCGACACTGCCACCGCCAAGGAGAAGGCCGATGCAACTCGACCTCACGGCATCAAGCTCGAGTCAGAACAAGCTTCGGGCCCTAACAGTGCCGCTGAAACCGCTGCAGTTGCTGTCGTCCCTGACGCAGGTGCAACAGATGCCGCCGGCTCTACTGTTGCTGTTGCGGACATGGCCGTGCTACAGAACTTGGCTCAACGACCCAAGGAGCAGATTCAGGAAGCCCTGTCGCTCGTGGGTGAGCTTCTGCCACCGTTGCCTCGCGACGGTGTCTTTGACCCGCGTGCATACACCGAGAAAGCGTACCTCAAACGCACCGCAAAGCCAGCGTCTCCTTCCAGCGCTTCCAAGTCGGTACCTGGCGCTTGGACACAAGCTGATGGCGAGAAGAGCACCTCTGACGCCACGAGCGCGTCTGCAGGCAAGGACACTAGCCTCGCTGCAACCACCGAAGCATCGCGTCCCTCCTCCTCGCGCTCCAGCTCTACGCGCAGCAAGGTAACACGGACCAAGTCGGACAAAGAGGTAGCACGCGAAGCAGCCCAAGCCAAGCGCATCGAGATGCTGCACAGCCGCACTGCCCTCGTGAAGCGCTTCACCCACCTGGTTCTGCCGACTCTAGTCGAGGTGTACGCTGCCAGCGTTGCCCTTCATGTCCGTCACAAGGCGATCAACGGCATCCTCAAGATCATTAGCTTTGTTGACCCTGAATCGCTCGAAGAGGCACTCGACAATGTGCCCCTCGCCAGCTTCTTAGCCGCTATCCTCTCGTCTCGAGACCACCCAATCCTCGTCAACGGTGCCTTGCAGATCGTCGAGTTGCTGACGGAGAAGCTTCCCTCGCTCTACACGGCGCTCCTTCGCCGTGAAGGTGTCATGTGGGAGATCGACGACATCGCTTCTCAGACTCCGTCCGACCGTGCGTCTAGCACCGACAAGCCAGCAGGTACCTCGACTGATGCTGAACGAGGCTCGAGTGCGCAGCCACTCAGTCTGCCGCGGTCTGGCTCTTTGGGAGTCGATGCAGCTTTCGACAGTGCAGGTATGGGCATGTCTTCTAGCTCTGGTCTGGCTCGTCTTATTGCTGCTGCTTCCGGTTCTGGCCAGGCTGCCACGCTCGTGGACGCGTTGGGCAACCGCGTCTCTTCTTCGTCCGCTCCCACTTCTGGCTTCAACGCACAGAGCTCCGCCGATGCTACCGATGCCAGCATCTGGCGCGCTCGTGTTCTTCGTGACAAGTTCACTGCCGAGGCCAAGTCTTCGGAGGGTGCTCAGAGCGCAGCACAGGCACTCGATCACATCAAGGATCTCGTTCAACGTCTCACCGATGCTGCTGCCGAGGGCCGAGAGTCGGATGCCAACAATGTCCTCCAACAGGTCACTTTGCTTTTTTCGCGTACCGAGGACCCTATCTCAAGCTTTGAGCTGCTGCGTTCCGGACTTGTTGAAGCGCTCTACTCCTTTGCTACCAGCAACGAGGGTCGCATTCCACTCGAGCGCCGCCGCACACTGCTGATCGAAGCATTGATGGACACGGACACCAACTCAGGCCACAGCGGTGCCACAGTTCTGGTCCGCAGGCTGCAAGAGGCTCTGAGCCGCTTGGAGAACGTCGAGATCACCACGGCACTCAGTGGAGGCACTGATGAAGTGCGCAAGAGCCCTAGTGCTATGCTTGGGCGTCAGTTGCGCGTGCGACTTCAGGCAGAGGACGCCACCGACATTCCACGCAGCTGCAACAACATCATCGTCACCATTCATGCTGTGGCCACATTCAGATCTCTTAGCGATTACCTTCGACCCAAGATTGCTGTATCCTCGGCTGCATCCGGCTCAGGTTCGGGACCAGGTGCTACAGCTGGCTCTTCTGCTTCTTCGCGACTCTCTTCCGTCTTGGCTGCCTTCGCAGCAGCCACCGGATCTGGCGGCTTCTCCGAGCTAGGTGGCAGCAGTGGCAGCGGCAGCAAGACAGCTGGTGCTGGCAGCAGCAAGGAGACTGCCATAGGCCAAGCGGGCACTTCGACCAGCGCCACTGCTATGGATGCAAACGCCGGCAAGAAGGACGAGCAGAGCGGTGAGATCAAGAAAGATGCAAATTCCGGCGAATCCGCCTCTGGCTCCGCCCAGGCTGGCAAGAGCCGTGAGGCAACCTCTCGCGAAGACGAAGCCCGTGAGGATGCTCGCGCCCCTGCTCGTCACCTCTTCGGCGGCAGCGACGATGCTCCATCGGCTGCCGGCACAGACGGTGAAGCCAAGACCAAGGACACAACTGCTAATGGCAACAGCAACTGCAATGACGACGACCAACGATCCGACGAGGCACTTGCACGCTCGCTCATGGAAGGCTTACTCCACGGTGCCGAGTTTGACGACGACGAAGGCTTCACAGACGAGGAAGGCTTTGACGAAGAGATCCTGCAGAGCGAGATCCCAGCAGACGGTGCTAACGGCTCGGCTGATGCTTCCAACGGCGCTGACGCTGCCGACAAGACCATCAACCTCGATGTTGAGAAGGAAGGCGGTAGGATTGTAGCAAAGACGCCGGAAGGCACGCGCATCCCTACGCCTGGCAATGGTTCAGGTACTCCTAAGTCTGCTGAGAGCTCTTCCACGGCCACCGCTGCTTCTGGCACTGCCGCTGCTGCTGCTGCTGCTGCTGCTGCATCGGGCTCTTTATCTTCCACTGCTAGCCCTGCTAAGACTTCTTCTTATGCTTCGGCTTTGCAGAAGAAACCGACGGACTGGCATCTGGAATTCTCGCTTGGATCGGAAAAGCTCACGCTCGACACCACCATCTATGGTGCTGTCCACCGCTTCGAGACTGTACAGGCACGAGAGCAAGGTCACAGCTCATCTTCCACCGGAGCTACTCTCAGCTCGTCTATGTACGGTGGAAGCAGGCATATCTGGAGCAATGTTTACACAGTGAAGTACAAGAAGGTGTCTGGATCAGATGCCAAGCCAGCCGCCGAATCAACTCCCGAACCTACTTCGGCTGAGAGTGCAGCCGTCGAGCTTCCTGCTTCGATCAAGGAGGATGCACCCTATGCCAAGTTGCTTCAGCTGCTTGCCGTGTTGCACTCGCTCAACATGGAATGGCGAGAGGTGTCGCGTGCTGGTGACAAGGCTATCACGGCAACGCCGACATCTGCTCTGGCCGAGTCTGCCTTTGTGAACAACAAGCTCACTGCCAAGCTCAACCGACAGCTGGAAGAGCCCATGATCGTGGCATCTGGGTGTTTGCCAGCATGGTCGACCGACCTGCCCAAGCACTTCCCGTTCCTGTTCCCCTTTGAGGCGCGCTTCGCCTTCTTGCAGTCGACGTCGTTTGGCTACGCACGCCTGCTCACGCGATGGCAGGCACTGCACAGCCGCAATCAGGATCCCGGCAGCAGCTCTTCCTCACGCTTGGACGACTCGTTCGGCTTCCTCGGTCGATTGCAGCGACAAAAGGTGCGCATCTCGCGAGCCAACCTGCTCGCTTCTGCATTCAAGGTTTTCGATCTTTACGGCTCCAACTCGTCAGTGCTGGAGGTCGAGTACTTCGAAGAGGTGGGTACAGGTCTGGGACCCACTCTCGAATTCTACTCGCTCGTGTCGAAGGAGTTCGCACGCAGGGATCTAAAGCTCTGGCGCGACAGTCGTGCTGGTGGCTCGAACGAAGACGGTAGCCAGTACGTGTTCAGCCCACTCGGCCTCTTCCCTGCTCCGCTCACTCAGGACACAAGTGCCGTGTCAACTGAGGGAAAGTCGGCTGAGACTGCGATCACTGTTGACGACATCAGCTCGGGTTCTGGATCGACGCCAAAGCGACTCCATGCATTCCGCATTCTGGGTCAATTCGTGGCCAAGGCGCTGCTCGACTCGCGCATCATCGACTGCGACTTCTCGCCTGTCTTCATGCGAGCCGTGCTCAACCAGCATGTTGCTCCGACGCTGGCCACGCTTGCAGCTGTCGACGCCACCTTGGCTCGCTCGCTAGAATCGATGCGCAAGATGCCGTCGGACGAGATCGAGTCGCTAGGTCTTGACTTTACACTCCCAGGCTATGAGTCAATCGAGCTTCATGCTGGCGGACGCGACGAGAACGTGACAGGTGCCAACGTCGAGCAATACATCTTCGAGGTGCTAGACATGACCTTACAGCGTGGCATCCGCCCCGCTGTACGAGCATTCCGCCAAGGTTTCAACCTGATCTTCCCTATCTCGGCCATGTCGAGCTTCACGGCGGATGAGCTGGTGATGCTTTTCGGCAATACAGAAGAAGACTGGAGCGAGTTAACGCTGTTGGCAAGTGTCAAGCCTGACCACGGACTCAACGCCGACTCGCCAACGTTCCGCGACATTGTTGCCATCATGGCATCGTTTGATGTGAGTCAGCGTCGTGAGTTCCTGCAATGGCTCACTGGTTCGCCCAAGTTGCCCATCGGCGGCTTCTCGGGCTTGCATCCTCAGCTGACGATTGTCAAGCGTCCACATGAGGCACCCTTGACGCCCGATGACTACCTACCAAGTGTCATGACGTGCGTCAACTACCTCAAGATGCCCAACTACTCTTCTCGCGACAAGATGCGCGAGCGACTGCACACAGCTATGAAGGAAGGCTCCACTAGTTTCCACCTTTCGTAGTTCACATCATGTTCATCATCAACATCATTACCATCATCATCATTCTCACAATGTGTTCCTATGTTTTCATCCTCATTTGTACCAAGTCTCCATTCAAGTTGATTCGAATGCATCCATTTCTTCTCACGTCGTGATGTGGTGTCACTTGATATCAGCATGACCTTTGATTGCCTGCTCATCACTCCAAAAGAAGGAGTTTTTTTGTTTTTTTTTACCTTTTCGGTCCTCTTTTTTCTCAGCATTTACTGTATTTAACCTTTTTGGTGTACTGAAAATTGCAAAGTCAGCCCTGCCAAGCAGCCTTTTCGGAAGCGGCCAGGTTTGTGATTTCCCCGCCTTTTCTCTGTCTTCGTTCCGGTTTTCGCCTTTCTTTTTGCTCCACTTCAACAGCGAAAAAAGGACTGCAAATTGGCACAACGCTCAATGTGACGGTACGAGGTCACACTAGCCAAGCATTCTGAATCCTTTTCCGACATCATCACTACCACTACCACTCAACAGTATCCGCTGCCGCATCTCACGTAAAGGCGATAAGACTCCTTTCGGCGGCCTAGTTTGCGGGATTGTATCGGATCAGACTGCCTCACCGTTCAAGCTGTGGAAAAACGCAGCGGCTCTCAAAGCAAGGGGACTCGAAGGAGCGGGAATACAACAGTGATCTAGCATTTCGTCTTCTTGATCTTTCGTTTTGCTATGCTCGACGGATAGCTTTCCATCACACTCGGACTCTTCCCTTGGATCATCACGCAGCGGGAACGTACAAACACCAACGGAAGCACTAAGACAATGCAGCCTTCACTGTCGGCCAACCTTGGCTCTTCTGCAGCCTCCTCATCATCCCGCACATTACCAGGCGCAACACCATCCACTCTCCCCTCAGACCCGTCCGAAATCTCCGAAACAGCCCAAGCCCTCCTCCAAGCTCACTATGACCGACTCAAGAACTCCTCCTCCTCCTCCTCCTCTACCACCTCCACCAACTCACAGTCTCTACTCGCTAGACTGGAACGAGCTGCCTCAAACATCGATCGGATTTGTCTTCAACTCGACAACTTCTCAGTCTCTCACCAACTCCATGCGGGAAAGTCTACAGCAGAAGAAGCAACACGAACTTTGCAGCCTCTTGGTCCGCTAGCTTTTTGGCCTGCTAGGGTGGTGTTTAGTGGTGATGCTAGCGAGGGGAAGCTTTGGGTGAGGCAGAGTAATGATGATGGGTTGTCGTTGGAAAATCAGTTGAAGGTTGAGGATGAAGGTCTGCCGATGTTGACGAAGAGTCCGAAAGCGAAGGAGGGCGAGGGGTTGAGGGTGCAAGTGAAGTTGGTGGAGCCGAGTCGGACGGTGGAAGTGAAGTATGTTAGGATGACGTATAAGGATGCCCAGATGCAGTTGCAGAGTAGGAGGGCGAAGCTTTTGGCTGCTGCCCGGGAGCTGCGTGAGAAGTTGGGAAAGGATGCAGTGAAGAGTGTTAGTACTGAGGGAACAGCGGCGGCGGCGAAAGACATGCATTTGCTAAACGAGGATAATCAGGCATTGAACGAGGAAGGTCTGCCATTCTACGAGCCAGTGGAGGAGATATCGGAAGAGGAAGCAACGAGGCAGAATAAGGCGTATATGCAGCCATTTGTGCGATCAGAGGCGGCGGATAAGAACCAGCGGAAACGATGGTTAGAGGACACATTGACTAAGTTGGAAGAGGAAGAACAGAATGAGGAATCGGACGCGGAAGAGGGGGTTGAGGAGATGCCTTCTGCTTCTTCTTCCTCAACTCCGACTCTGCCGGAAGCTGAGCCCTCTGTAGAGGACGAGACTCGTGTTGTCCTGCGTACACGCACGCCCAGTCCACCACCATCGCCAGAGGATGTACTCAAGACCAAAGCCCTGCCGGAGATCGTATCTGCAACTAGACCGCCGCCGCCCAAGTCGGCGCTAAAGACTAGTGCAGCACGGCCTGACATTGTTCAGCGACCGTCTTTCGGGTCTTCGGGCATCCGTCATGGGTTCTTGAATCTGAATCCGTCCAGTCCAGGTGCCATCAAGAGCTCTTATTCGTGGGAAGACCTGGAGAAGGAAGAAAAGCCCAAGTCTGCGGAACCGGGACGACCTTCAAAAAGTCATACTCCTACACCGCTGAGTCGGGTTAGCAGCACTGCTGAATCTTCACTACTCAGTCGGATTACAGATGCGAACTCGAGCCCGGTGACAAGTGGAACAAGCACACCTACGAAGAAGAGTGTCCGGATTAAGAGTCCCGAACGCGCCCATCCGCAAGTTGCGGCCGGGTCCGGGCTCACACCACTGCAGCGTGCGTTACGGTCGAGTATTCGGGTCAAGGAGAATTACAACGAGCCTTCCGCCTCGCAGCAGCAGCAGCCGAACGGGACAGTGTCAGCGCTGGAAAGAACAGACTCAGGTTCAGGTACGGCAGAGAAGCGACACAAAGACGATGTAGGCGTGGAAGAGGAAGCTGAACGCATTGTCAAGTTGCTTGGTCCGGATGTTGTGGAAGGGCATCCAAGTGCGCCGCCGTCGGACGTGCTGAAAAAGATGCAAGAAGCTCATGAGGAGGACAAACGGCTTTCTACACCGGAAGCTGCCGCTGCCAGGGCGAAAAGGGAAGAAGAGGACAGGGAGAGGGAAAGGTTGGAGAGGCTAGCTGAGAAGCCGGCTTTGGGGCATAGTGTGATGGAACGACCTCGAAGTAGTGCCGAGAAGGGGAAGGGGAAGGAAGTTGCGGATCAGGTCAAGTCTAATCAGGCCAAGTTCAGTGCTTTCAAAGCTGGCTTCCTCAACCAGAAACCGGCGATGGCGAAGAAGGAGACCAGATTCGTGCCAAACATGCAGGTGCCGAGGAAAGCAGCGGGAGCTGCAGCTGCTCCGCCGACACAGTCTTTGGGCATGTCAGCGTTAGATAGAGCTTCGTTAGGGGATGACAAATTGAGTCGGCGCAGGGAGGAGATGGGATTGCCTGCTGCTGTGCCTCATGCCAGACCGAGTAAGTCTTATGCTGAGAAGATGGCGGCTAGGCAGCAAGGTCAGACACCCACCTCCGCTGATCCAGAGGATGTGGCCGAGAAGGGGTCAGTAAAGTTAGCTAGACCTGTAGAGGGAGACGATGTGCCTCGGCCTGGTCGTGTTCGTTTTGGTCCTCCTGCTGGATCTTCCCATGCAGACGAAGAAGAGGAGCAGGATGAAGGAATGGAGATCAACCCCTCAGCAGAACTAGATAACCACAACCCAGAAGAAGGCGAGCTGGACGAAGAACAAGAAGAACCAAAGATCGAAGGTGAAGGTGCCGACACGGATGGAGAGGATGCGTACTTTGACGAGTACCTTTCGGGGCGGTCTCGTAAATCTGCTGCTGCGAAAGAGAGTCGTGGATTGGATGATGAGCATGATAATGACGAAGCTGATGACTTCGACGATGATGAGGATGAAGATTGGGATGTCGACGAAGATGATTTTGATTTTGATGAGGATGAAGATGATGATTTCGATTATGATCCGGAAGATCTCATGGCGCTAGCACCGAGGATGGGCGATGTGGAAGGATTGGCCAGGAACCCAGAGTTGATGAGGGAGTATGAGGAGGCAAAGGCGAAGCTTGCCGCAATGGGATTGGCGATGCGTGCAGGTGCGGGTGGAAGTGATGATTTGAGGGCGCAGATGGTGAATGCTGCCCGCTCAACAGGTGGAGAAGGGGAGGAAGAAGAAGGAGAGGAAGAAGAAGGAGAGGAAAAAGAAGGAGAGGAAAAAGAAGGAGAGGAAGATGATTACCAGATGGACTTGGTCCCTCTCGACGCAGCCATGGAGGATCCGGAGTATCAAGGCAACACCACCACCTCAGCCGGGTCAGGCTCTCGGATTTCACGCTTCAAGGCTTCACTCAGACAGCAGGCTATGGCTCCCACCCCACGCGGCGGCGACTCTTTGAAGTTAGAAGAAATGCTCTCTTCAGCAAAGAATCTCGGCGCGTCAAATAGCGCTGCTTTCAGCATGGACGGCATGGGTTCCTCGGCTCAAGAGGAGGGTGGTGGAGGAACACCAATGATGATCATTCCTCAACTAGCTCCTGTTCGCTTCCCCAAGCATGGGGACTTGGTGGAAGGCAAGACGTCAGGACCTGTAGATTTGGACGGAGCGGAAAGCGATGAAGATGATGAAAAGGCGGAAATGGTCATGAGGAGCCGGCTGGAGCGACTACAATGGAAACGAGAGCATCCGGAAGATGCGACTAGGTTGAACGAGAGCAAGAAGGCTAAGGAGATGGTGGAACAGGGAGTTGCGCCGCCGCCTGTTGTGCCGAGGAGACAGGAGATCAAGAAGGCGCTCAGCGGGGAAGGTGGTACTGCAGTAGAAGGCAGGGAGGAGGCAGAAGATGCCCCCAAGCCGAAGAAAGTGAGCCGATTCAAGGCTGCCCGTATGGGTCAGTAACCTCAGATACAGCAATGCGATTCAATAGCATTACATTGTCGTTCGTACTCGTCTTCCAAGGTCTTGTGTTTGCTGTTCCCAGATATAATCCTCAAAAGCTCGTGTGCGAGAGTGGGTAGCCGGAAGTCGGGACGTGGAAGTAGGGATGTGGAAGTCGGGATATGGAAGTCGGGATATGGAAGCGCGAAGAATTCCAGGATTTTTGCTTTTGCGAGAACCCTTTTTTCAAGGTTTGTGCGGTCTCCTGTCTGTACATATATATATGTATATATTTCTTTCAAAGTGGAGTAAAAAGATAAGAAGTGCTTGACTTGTTCTCGATCTTGTGAACGGTCCATCTACCTTCACCTTGGTCAACCATCATCACAGTCACCAACCTACGTTACAGGAAGCAAAGATGAGCGGCGTCGGAGCGGTCCCTGCAAACCGCTTTACCCACCCGCTACCACATACGCCTCTCAACCATTTTCTTCGACAAACCAAGTCTCTTCTAGCTTCAAGTGGGATTGATAACGAAGATGCCGTCTACGTCACCACTTCCCGCACTCCGACGCTTGATCAGGCTGTAGCAGCGATCGCTTTTGCGTACTTGCAGCAGCAGCTGGACAGGAACGTGCATACGCAGCGAAGATACATTCCCGTCATCTCAGCATCAAGACAAGGCTGTCTTGTTGACAAACTTCCTGAGCTGGTATTGGCGTTGCAAACAGCGTTGATAGCAGAGGAAAACCTTATATTCGAAGATGATGAATTGTATAAGACTGTCAATGCCTACACATCTAAGAAGAAGGTGGTGCTAGTAGGAGGAACAGGAGAGCAGAGGGGAGAGGAAGGATGGAAAGAGTGGGCGGAACTGCACGGTGCAGAGCTGTTCGGTGTGATTGATGTGGAGAACACACTGCCTCAGGAGATCCATGAAGAAAGCGGGGGGGTCAACGAGAGGTTAAACGTTGCGCTGTTCCCACCAAGGCAAGTCGTGGGAGGTGCAGGCGAGGCTGAACCCGCTCTATCCTCTCTTGTTGCGCTATGGGCTAAGGTCAGACTCTCTCAAACACCATCAGGCAACGACACTCAGCAAATCGTGACCAGAGAATTAGCTGATCTACTCCTAGCAGCGATCCTGCTCGAAAGCGACAACATCTCCGAATCGAAAACCAACTCTGTTGACCTTGGCGCCGTAGGCTGGCTCAGCCCTCGTTCGAGTTTCCAGCTTCAAGATCAAGATGAGGCGACAAGTGGTGCGGAAGGAGCAGAGGAAGAGGAGGAGTTGAATGAGGACGAAGCAAACGTGCCTAACTTCGATGCGTACGTGCCGACTTTCCCGGATCTAGATGCTATGTATCGTGCGCTACGGGCTGCCTCTCGTCAGCCCGCAGCTTTGGCGGTGAGGAAGGAAGCAGCTATAAGAGCTGGGTTAGCGATGGAGGTCGGTGATGCTAGTCCTGATCATTTCCAGTGGAACCTGATCACGAACACACTAGCTAATCTGGACGACGAGCAGAAGAGCAAAGTTCCTGACTTTGTCGGCAAGACGATCGAGGGCAATTTTGCTGCTCAGCTCGCCTCAGATCTGGCTGGTCGATTGTTCAAGCCTATCGGAGTTCAGTTGGGGCAAGTGGTTGGCAGTGATAACAGCAAAAACCTCGACTTGGCCGCGCTGCAGAAGCAAGTCACCGCTACTGTTCAGGTGGAAGTGTCTAGCGTAGAGAAGGCCTACGAAGTTCTTTGTGTCGCCATCAGTGCGCTACATGCCTTCGTTCAGATAAACTGGACTGGACCCGAACTACCCGGTTCACTCGATCCTCTATCGCTGCTTCGCAATGCTGCACCAGATGCTTTCCCTCCAAGACCTATCGACGCCGAGGCCGAGGAGAAAGCCAAGGCCAAAACGAAAAGGTTGATTCACAGTTCATCCCTCGAGGCGCTCGCATTCAAAGGTGAACCCGCCTACCATCTTTGCCAAGTGCCTTTCTTCCTTGTCTTCTCCAAATTGCTCATCGAGGCCCTCGTCAGCGTACAGGAGGTAGCAGAGGGCATTGAAACACTGCCGTGGTGGAGACTGCGCGCCTTTACGGTGCATAGTCATGTGCTGGACGAGCCGGTCGCGTTTGGGAAGAAGGTTTTCGATCCCGTCAATAAGCTCAGGGATGTACTTGTCGCGCGTACGGCTGCGACCAAGCCAAAGGAGGGCGAGAAGAAGAGTGTGTGGGCGTCTCTAGCATCCAGGTTGATTTTGGAGCGCGGAATTGCTCTGCAGAGACTCGGCAGCGATAGGGAGGCATCAGAGACGTTCGTTGACGCAGCGAAAGAGAATGGGCTCAGGTACAGAATGTCTGGTGCCTTGGGCAAGAGAACGAAGTTCCAGAAGGAGGACAAGACGCAGCTTGTGCTGCTGGCTACGAGCGTGGTTGCTGATGGGGGGAAGGAGGATGAAGCAGAGGAGAAGGAGAGAAAAGAGAAGGGGGGAGAGGAGAAAGTGAAAGAGAAGCAAAAAGAGGCAGAACTGGAGACGGGCTTTGCAGCAAAGGCCAACCCTGAAGATCAAGTCGCTGGTATGCCTTCCACCTTCGCGCTCAACGACGATACTCTGCTTGAACAGACCAAGTTCACTTGCACAACAGCCAGCGGATCCTCAACCTCAACTGGCAATGGTGAGGACGACGATCTGCTCCAACTCGACCCCAACTCGCAACCGCCCCTTGCAGTCTTGGATCAATGCACCTTGCTCGCCCTCTGCTTGAACATCCGCAACATGCAAGCAGCCCACGGACTCATCGCAAACCAGATGCAGATTTTCATCTCTCGTGTCATCACGCATCCTCGCAACTGGATGGTTCACACCATGTCTCTTGTTCTCCGAGCCCGTCTCGAATCCACACGCACACGTACGGTTGAACGATCCGTCTTACAGCTGCAGGCATTGATCGATCAGATGCCAACCAACGATTCATCCGTACAGGAAAGGTTGAAGTTCTTCCACGCGCTAGACTTGCCGCCGAAGTGGGAGATGCAAGCCGAGCTAGCTCGAAGGTATGCCTCTATCGGTGTGACTAGGTCGGCATTGGAGATTTTTGAAAGAATTGAAATGTGGGAAGAGGTTGTACAGTGTCTCGGTATGCTCGGGAGACAAGAGGAGGGAGTGGAAGTGGTGAAAGAGTTGTTGGCGGGGAAGAAAGTCGAAGCTGATGTTGAAGTTTCTGTTCGTCGTCGCAAAGGTGGGGATGTTGGTGGAACTGAAGCTCAGCAAGTTATGTATAAACGGATGGATCGTGCTAGGGAAGCCAAACTCTGGTGTCTTCTCGGAGACTTAGAGCCAGCTTCTGCCTTGGCGCACTACTCGAAAGCATGGCAGGTATCTGCTTCATCTTCGGCCCGAGCGGCTCGCAGTTTGGGTGGAGTGCATTTTACGGCTTCGGACTTTGCCCAGGCTGCAAAATGGCTCAAATACGCACTCAAGATCAATCCGCTGTTCACACGATCCTGGTTCATTCTAGGATGCTGTTATATGAGGTTGGAGAAGTGGAAAGAGGCAGCGCAGTGCTTTAGGAGGTGCACGGCGTTGGATGATGAAGATATGGAGAGTTGGAACAACTTGGCGAGTTGCTATTTGAGGATGGTGGAGGGTGCAGAAGGTGGAAGGGATGTTGTTGGGATTGAGAGGATGGGTGCCCAGGGAGGATTGCCAGATATCCTGGAGGCTGAAGAAGAGGCTGACCGTGTTTGGGATCAACCTCGAAACAGCTACGATGACGACGGTGAGGACGGAGGGCTGAGCGACTGGAGCGGCAGTTCGCGATCAGATTCTGGTGTTGAAGTTTCATCTTCAGAGTCTGAAGCGGAGAGCGATACTACGGCGACAGAAACCGGTCTTCCGAACCCGGGTGAAGTTGCCACTACCCGCCGAAACAATGCAAGCGCAACCGCAGCTTACTCCCTCAAGCTCCTCGCTCATCGATCACTGCAACAATCCTTGCGATTTGCGCACGACAACTGGCGAGTGTGGTACAACTACATGATCGTCTGTATTGACGTCGGGTACCTTCTCGAAGCCACACGTGCCATGGTGCGGGTGACAGAAATCCAAACGAGGAACAAGAGTAACGATGCTGAACGGGCAAAGACGGTTGATCTCCCTGTCTTGGCTCGACTTGTTGATGCGGTCACGCGCATTCCTAAAGCCGAATTGGAGCAGCAGACCGTAGCCCAAGTCGAAGCCTATGAACAGCTCAAGGCTCAACAAGAAGCTGAAGGTCTCGGCGACTCGAAAGCAGCATTGGCACCCAAGGTAGACTCCAACTCGGGCCTGGGCCTGTATGCGGCCGTACGCAAGTTGTTCGACGAGACACTTCTCGCACGCATTTCATCCAGCGTGGGTATCTGGAAGCTCTACTCCCGCCTCCTGCTGTGGAACGGCGAACGAAGGCGAGCAGTCCAGCAGGCATTGTTGAATGGATACAACTCAGCATTCAACTCTGCTGTCAACGCAGAAGACGGTCTAGATATCAACACGGACAAGAAGGTCTTTGTGAGTCTGCTGCACGACTTGAGGAATCTGGTAGATGCTCTGCTCGATCTCTGCTCGAATCCGGACGAGGAAGCGGATAAGGAAGAAAGAGACGCTCCAGAGCCAAGATTCCAAGCTAGAAGTCTAGTCAGGACGTTCTTGGCCAAGACGAGGAGTTCGTGGGATCAAGAGCCGGAATATGATGAGGCGAAGGAGCTTTTGGAACAGCTCAAGAGCTGATCAACACAAGTGAGCCTTTGAGATTGGAGGAAGAAATGAAGATGGAAAGATTGAAATGATTCTATTGTGATTGCATTGCAAAGTGTGGGCGAAAGGTTCCATTATCGATGTGTATTGCACGAGTAGTGGAATTTTAGAGAAGGAAGCAAATGCTGCTGACCAGCACCACAAGCAGTGTCGCACTTGGCAAGACAAGATGACCATGCATCCAATCCAATCCCATCTGTGCTGATGCTGCGTTGGGAGCTCTAGAACTGGTTGCACCGGGAGCCATTGAGGTGCTTGTCATGGAAGATGATGAGCTTGTGAACGAGCTCGTTGAAATCGAAGAGGAGGAGGTCGAGGTCACTGATGTGGAATTGGAAGCGGTGGTGGAGGTAGCAGTATTGACAGAGCCGAAGGAGAAAGTGAGAAGAGTGCCCAGCGTCGCAACTGCATCGGTGGATCGTTGTGACGACCAAGTGGAAGATGAGGTCGAGTTGGAAGATGAGGTCGAGTTGGAAGATGAAGTGGGTGATGAAGATCCTGAGGATGAAGAGGAGCCGCTGCTTTGCGCAATGACTTGCGCGGAGAGCATTGCGATGATGCATAGGAGCAGGGTGGCTGCTGTGGGGCTGATTACTCGGACCATCTTGATGTCGTTCGCTGTGTTTGGGCTACAGTAGAGGTTGGTGGGACGAGGTTATGAAGTTTGTTCGGAGTACGGTCCTTCAGTGCTGGATGGAAAGACTGTTGAATGCCTTTGCTCTGGAGATGGTTTTGTGTCGTCCTAAAAGCTCGGCGGAAGGCGCAACTCTGCGTCATAGTGTCGCTTGGCTTCCAATTTCTACATTTCCAACAGAAAAGGCGGCATAACATCCAAGATCTCTGCTAAAATGGGAGTGTCGGGCGAGAAAATAGGCAACACGCAGAAAGGTACAGCCGAGGCAGAGAAGAGGAGAGATCTACAAGTCACTTGAGCCGATCTGCGAGACCCCACTGTTTTGAGTTGCGCACAGGCCAACAAAGTAGAGACCACCGACGCTTCTTCTTGACGCACCGACCTCCTTCGCTGCCAAGTCATAATCCAGATCAGCCAGTAGTAGTGTGCATCCCACCCACCATCAAGCCAAACCTCATCCCGCTCGCTTCATTTCGGTCGACGCGGTACACTTTCGCGCAGCTTCCACGTCAGGCAGCGGCCGACCAACGCACGCAAAGCACCCTTCCATGCCATCTTCTTCTCCCTCCGCTCTCTTATTACCACCAATCTGAACCCCAATCCCCTCTTTGAGGAGCAGCCAAGATGGATTCGGCCAAGATCTTCGCTTTGGGCCTTGCCGCCGGTCTTGCGATCCACGTCTTTGTTCGTAACAACGGCAAGGCGCAGTCAGCCAAAAAGGAGGTTCAGGAGTCAATAGCCACCGCTACCAAGTCGAGTCAGAAGAATAAGAACAAGAAGAAGACCAAAGACGCCGCATCCGCACCTGCGCCTGCACCAGAAAAGAAACCGGAGCTGGTCAAAGAGCCTGAACCCGGACCTGCTCTTGCTCTTGCTCTTGCTCCTGCTCCTGTTGCTGTTGCTACCAAGGAGGAGCCAGCTGCACCTGCTACTGCTTCGAAGAAGAACAAGAAGAAGAACAAGACAGTCAAGAAAGAGGATGGGGAGAGCTACGCAGCTCTTGTAGCGGAAGAAGCCGAGAAGGGGATCAACGACACTGCTATTCGAGCGAAATCCGATGCGATACAGACCACTTTCACTGCAAGCTTGGGTGATATGAGGGATGATCAAGTGAACCCTCTTCCTGCTGGATACGACTCGTTTGCACGTATTCCTGCTCCCGAGGTCGAAGCTTCTAAGTCCAAATTATCGCAGAAGGAACGCGACGAAGGATGGTCCAGTGTTCGTAGTGGTCCTTCTTCCTCTGCTAACAATGCTAAACTCAACGGAGCTTCCTCTAACAAGCCCAATGGAGCCTCAAACGGAATCAAGGCTTCGATTGCCAGCAACAACCCCTTCGCTGCACTCCCTGACGATGCACCCACATCTTCTTTTAAGCGTCTTTCCTCCTCCAACAACAGCACCACCAAGAGCAACGCTCCTGCCAATGGCTGGACAGTTGCTTCCGCCTCCAGCAAGCCTAAGAACAACAGCAACACCAATGTCGTTGGAGCAGGAGGAGTGGAGACCAAAAGACAGCGTTCAAACGCAAACAAAAATCAGGCTAAGAAAGCAGCTAAGGAAGAAGCCGAACGATTCCAGGCGGAAAGGTTGGCCAACCACAGAAGACAACAGGCTTTGGAAGCTATGAAGCAAAAGGAGGCCGCTAGGAGGCCACAGCCCTCCTCAGCGAATGTGGCAAGTGCAAAGGCGCCAACTGCTCAGGCAAGCGTTGATTTGAATGGGAGGTTGGTTTGGGATTGAATCTCGGCTCATGAGCGAGATTGGAGAGCAGTGGGAGAGTAGCAGAAGAAAGAGTGAGGAGGTGGAGTCCACTTGAAGGACTGCGGGTCAAATGAAGCGTGACGTTGTGATCTCCTGTCTTAGAAAGCAATTAAAATTGTCCAATTTGCACAAGCCTCTCATCATCACACGGTTTGTTCTGAAAGATTCCGTCGTTGACTGAGTGAATGGGGTCTACAGATCTATATGTAGCCGCTCTTCCTCCTCGTGCGGCTGTTGCTGCTGAGGATCTTCCTTCATCTGCTTCTTTATCACCTGGTCATCTTCTCTCGTCACTCCCTCTGCGTCAGGGTACGATTTGCATCTAATCTCCAGCTTCTGTATTGTGAAAGCCTCTTTCCACCCGACCTCCTTCACCGCTTCCCAAGTCTCTGGCAGATGATCCATGTCGACATGCCACCCAAACTTGCTTGTGCTCCACAATTCCACTCGCCCTTGCCATATCGCCTGTGAATTCAGATCCCGAACCACCCAAGCTGGCGCGTACAGCGTCGTGTGGTTGCACGCTATGCTCGCCATCCTCATAACATAAGCTGGGCTGTTTGACGAGTCGTAATCTTCCACCCTGGGGTACATTCCTCTGCCTTTGCTCGGGATCAAGTGGAAGGGAACAGTGAATGTACGATAGAGAAGATGATGTTCGTATCGATCGAAGAGGGGATAGCCATCGGTGGGCAGGCGAGAGATGGAGCGGTCGATGGAGAATAGGGCGGGTAAGAGACCAGCCTGGTGGAGGAACGAGAAGAGGACTAGTTGAAGGACGTGTTGGATGACGTGGAGCGATAAGAGGATACCAGTGAATTTCGGGCGGAGAGTGAAGTAGGGGTGTTGAAGGGCATATGCGAAGATGACGGTTGAGGGAAAGGCGAGAGGAAGGAGGAAGCGAGCTTCTTGGTGGGGTGAGATAGAGAGGACGAGAAGGGAGAAGATGATGATGGCGAAGGAGAGGCTAACAGCGACAGGCTCGATGTCTACGTATTCTACTACTTCTTCTCTCGCTTCGGCGGTTGCAGGGTCTGATGCCGACATCGTTGCTGCTTTGCTGGAGCTGACTTCAGGCTCTGTTGATGCCTCTGTCGCTGGCTTGCACTTTGCCGTGGCAGTCTTGATGGACTCTTCGACGGCCCGACGCTCGTCTTCTTCCTCTTTCGTCGTGGTGTCACGCGCAGCGCGATCTTCATCTCCTTTTGACGATGACGCAACGTCAGTCTTACTTATAGGCGAGACCTTAGCTGAATCTGACAGCACGCCACGCACAAAGTGCAGCCCATGGATGAAGAGCACAATGATATTTGCAACGCCGATCATCATCGGCAAGTTCACGACCGCATGCAACCATCTCGGATGAAGTCCATGCTGAGCCACGTTCTCAGTCTTGAGATTGTACAGTAGCGCATTGATTGGGGGAATTATCCATCTCGTCCCCCAGAGCGTTGCCACCTGGACCCCATCATTTTCACCTCCCTGTGTGTAGAAGCGGGTCTCTGAATGGACGTGCTGATACGCAAAGAACAGGAGGGATGCGATCGCGACAGCCATAGACCTTAATGCTGGTCGTATGTACCCCTCAGCAGCGATGCGGATGTGGTTGAGCCCGAAAAATGCACCCAATGGCAAGGCAAAGATCGCGAATGTGAAGCGGGAAAAGAAGCCATCTGCAGCAATAAGACCGGTGAGGACGCCCCAGTGCGATCCAGTCAAGCCGCCTTGCCTGTACCAGGTGCGGTTCCGGTAGAAGATGACGACCTGCAAGAAGCAAAGCACCAGCTGGTGCGCTTCGATGGAGTTGCTGAAAGGCCGTACCAGGAAGGTTGTCGCTGCGGTGGAGATGCCAAAGAGACAAAGCATGTACCGAGCGGTTTTGGGAGGAAAAACGAACGTCACTAGGATGTCGGTATAGACTGTCCAGAGCATTGAGCTGAGTCGTTGTACGAGAAAGAGGTCATATCCAGTAGGTGCACGAAGCTCCTTTATTAGAACTTTGACCCATCCGACACCGAGATACTGTATTTGGAGAGCCGAGATGGAGCGCAGGGCATTGTTGGGCCACCATTCCCAGGGTACCCTTGCATCGATGCTGGGTAGCGTGAAGCCAAAGTAAGGCTCGCCTGATTGCATCCATTCATCGGGATGGATGTAGCCGTAGCCAAAGAAGGCACTGTAGCAGCGGAGTAGGAAGAGTGCCAGGTAGATCCGCCCGCATGCTGTGCGCAGGCTAAAGACGCTCAAGGGCGAGCTGATGTGTGCGAACGGTATCCTTGATATCCAGAGTTTCGCGCCGTTTCGCTGTGACCTGCAACACATTTGTATGGGCTGTTGTGTGCGCTATTCTTCTCTTCCTTTGCGGGAGAGAAACAGGCCATGTTCGTTGCTGATCGTCTTGACGAAGAAGCCGTCGCCGTCGTCATCGAACAGGCTGAGCTGCGCAATCTGGTGAGGGCAAGACTTCTGTTAGAGGCCGTGCGAGTGTTAGTTGAAGATGCGTCGGCATCTCAAGCAAGATGCACATGTTACGGCCGAGACATTGAGACACGGGAGGCTCACGTAAGCGAGAAGTACAATGAGGTACATAATTGTTGTCATGGTGACAGCACAGTGGCACCCGGTATCATAGCAACACAGGAGTACAAATGAAGAGACACATCCTGCCTCGAATAGGACCAGAGCAGTGAATGGAGTATATATATGTGTTTGTCATTCAGTCTCACACCATGAAAACTAAGCATTACATAGAACATACAGCTGTGGTAAAGGGAGTCTGATCATGACCCCGATAACACCATATATTAATTGTTATCTTCAATTGATTAAGAGTCTGAAGAAGCTATCACCGAGCTAACCGAAACTCGCTGACAACCATGGTAGAAGACACCGAAACGAGGACCAAAGGAAGCAGAAAAGGCAAGAACACCCAGGTTCGGGTCGACAATAATGCCACGAGCGAGAACGAGCCGGAGGCCATCAACGATGAAGCCGATGAAGACACCGATTCCGACTCCGACTTTGATGATGGCGACAAGCGATATAACTTTCGCACCCTAGCAAAGCTCCTCGAACCTGTGCCAAAGCTCACGTCACGAAACTATCATAGCTGGAGCGCTCACGTGAAATCTTTCCTCCGATCTGTGCCTCATGCGATGAAACATCTCGAGGGAACGTATGACAAGAAACACCCGAAATGGAGCCGCTCCCTCGACGATGCTTTAATCAACGCCCTGCGTGGAACAATCAACACTACTGGAGAACACAATGTAAATTACCTCGTTCTAGATGTAATCAAGGAGTACCTTACTTTCAACCAAGTATGGAGAAAGATCGAAAACAGTCTCACGAATGAAGCCACCAAGACGTCTCACAGACTTGCGCTTATCTCGCAACTCAACAATACAAAGATGTTTAACTCGGACGCCAGAAAGCTAATTCAAGAGATCCGGTCCATACAAACTGAAAGCAGCCTCCTCGGCAAACCATTCGCCGATGATACATTGTTCTCGGCTCTGCAGAAATGCACGATCCGGCATCCGGTGTACAAGGAGACGGTTGCCACCGTCCATCAAATCGATTTCAACGCCCTTGCCACCGCACTAAGCATCTGGCAGACCGCTGTCGAGAGCGTCCCCGCACAAAGGATCGACCCTCGACAAGCCAGTGCTAGAACTGCCGGCAACGACGATCAAAACAAACGGGCCGGAGAGACCGAAGCCGAAGCTGACAACAGCCATGCAAGCTCGAGGAACGCAAGCAAATCACGCCGAATCCGATGCTGGGTCTGCAAGCGACTGGGACATGGTATCAGTCAATGCGATGCCTTGGTTACCATTCCCAAGGACTCCCCCCTCACTGAACCTAAATAGGAAGCGTGGTGCTCCCTCACCCTCCCAATGAAATGGCAGGACCCCTCGAACACAAAAGAAACAGCTCATTGGATCTTGGACTCGGGGGCGAGTTACCATATGGTGAACGACTACAGCATGCTCATCCACCCGAGAACTTGCTGAAAGCGGATAATTACCGCCGGAAGCAAGGTCTTGGAAGCGGCAGCTATAGGAGATGCAAGCATATCAACAGATTACGGGGAAATCTCTCTGCAAAATGTATTGTATGTAAAGCACCTTAATGTTAACCTTCTGTCAACAAATTCATTAATGGATGAAGGAGCACGAGTGATATTGGACACAACTGGTGGCCAAATTTTTCTAACAAACAGCATGACACTTAAGATTGCAAAGAATCGCGAGCGAGGACTTCTGGAGTTCCGAGGTGACACATGGCAAGAAAGCGCAATGGCCACATCAGCACCATTGTTTGAAGGTGTTGATGAGGAGTTCGAGCATATTGAGAATGAGCCGAAAGTTTCAAAGCAACAACTATGGCATGAGCGTCTTGGGCACCCAGGAAGAGATAAAGCTAAGGCGATCACAAGCAAGTTAAAGGATAAGCATACCATGAAATTGGATCCAAACACCGCTCTGACATGTGAGCAGTGCGTACGATCCAAGAGCACAAGCGCTCGGATGGGGAAAGGTAGCGGCAAAAGAGCTGTAGGGCCCCTGGATCTTATCCACGTCGATCTAATAATAGACTCGTCCCACGTGACGGAGTACACATGCACGTTGGTGCTGGTCGACGATCATAGCAAGTATGTGTATGCACAGCCATTGACACGAAAGAGTCATGCCTTTATGCAACTTAAAAGGATTGTTTTGTTCCTGGAGACACAGATGGATCGGAAGCTAAAAGCGATCTGATCCGATCAAGGAACGGAATGGAAAAGCAATGATGCATTAGAATGGTCGTTAGAAAAGGGCATAGAGTGGCAAACCACCGTAGGGTACAACAGCAAACAAAATGGACAGGTAGAAAGAATGAACAGGACCCTTGGAGAGAAGATGAGAACGTTGCTAATGCAGAGGAGACTACCGAAGAAGTTCTGGCCATACGCGATCAGAGCTGCGGCGTTCAAAATAAACCTCACTCCGAGCGTTGATAATGAATTCCCTTATCAAGCAATGTTTGGCAAGTCGCCGGAATGAGCTTTAAAGCTCCTACGAGTGTTTGGTTGTCTGGCATGGGTAAACGTACCCAAAGTTAAACGGGACAACAAGAAACTGGACCAGCGAGCCGTCGCATCCATTTTCTTAGGGTACAGTCTAGAGAGGAAGGGCTGGCTCTTCTACAGCCCGGACTACAATCCAAACATCTTCTGGAGCAACTCAGCAAAATTCATGGAATCAAAGTGCTGGTCAGACAGAACAGAGTGGCGACCGGTTGACACAAAGGCACCCCCAATGATGATGACAGAGGAGAATTTCGAAGATCTAGGATACAACAAAGAAAATATATTCGACGAAACAGATGAAGAGCCACTATGAGAATACATGGATATGGAGACAGACTCGGAAGAAAGATTAAGCGAAGGAACAGCGGAGGTGATGGAACAAGGACCAATCGCCGAAACTCAAATTGACAGCGAATTCTATGGACTCGTAGCGACGCGACCGGAATGGAGAAAGAACCTGGACCCAACCATACATGAAGCAATGAGTGGAAAGGACAGAAAGCACTGGGAGGAGGCCATGCGAAAGGAGTTGGATGGATTGGAGGCGATGGGCACATGGGAGATAGTCGACCTCCCAAAGGGTGCAAATACTGTCGACACATGTTGGGTACTCAAGATCAAAACCGATGCAAACCTCGTGCTGACAAAGTTCAAAGCCCGGCTCGTGGCACGAGGTTTCACTCAACGCGAGGGCATCGACTATACAGAGGTCTTCGCACCAGTAGCACCCATCCAATCCATTCGAGGGGTGATTGCTGTCGCAGCAGTACGAGATTGGGAAATGGATTCTATTGACGTAAAGCAAGCATACCTGAACTCCACTATACACCATGATGTATACCTCAAGCCCCCAGTAGGAATCGAAATACCACCCGGAAAAGTGTTGAAGGTAGTGAAAGGACTGTACGGTCTGAAACAATCGGGCCGAGAATGGAACATTGAGTTAGACTCACATCTCCGGACGATCGGATTCCATTGCATGCCGAGCGCACCATGCCTATACTCAAGAGGGACAGGTGACAAGATCACGATCATCACAGCATACGTGGACGACATGCTAATAACATCACCCAGTCGTGATGAAGTAGACCGCGCAAAGCGAGAGATCATGGACAAATGGGAGATGCAAGACAATGGAAGAGTCAAAGAATTTCTGGGTATCAAGATCACACGTGATAGAAGACGGAGGAGGATATCTCTGGGTCTAACGGCATACATCAAGGAAATGGTGAACAAATGGTTAGGAGGAGCAAACGAGAAATCTTGGGTACCCATGCTGAGTGTAGCGAACGTCGCCGGAGGCAAGCGATGTGAACCTCAGCGAGCAAAGAAGTATCAAGAATTGGTCGGCCAACTATTATGGGTCTCCAACACAGCCCGACCAGATATTGCCTTTGCCGTCGGCATATTGGCGCGATATATGTCGATCCCGATCGACAGTGCATGGAAGGCAGCCATCCACGTGGTAAAGTACCTGAACCAAACGAACGAATATCAGTTGCACCTAGGAGGGGAGACAAACGAGCACTCGGATACACTGGTAACGACGTATACCGACGCAAACTGGGCATCCGACCCCACAAATGGACGAAGAAGCACCTCAGGGTCGATAACATATGTATATGGGTGTCCAGTGAGTTGGAAATCACACGTTCAGAAGTGTGTGGCATTGTCGGCAGTCAAAGCAGAGTTTGTCGCCGCTTCCGAAGCGGTGCGAGAAACCTTATTCTTCTCATATTTGCTCTGGGATTTGGAGACCACGGACGTTCGGCCCATACTATACACAGATAGCCAGGGGTGCATACAGGTGAGTAAAGATCCAGCCAAACATTGGAAGTTAAAGCACATCGACACACGGTATCATTTCGTTCGCGATCACGTGCAAGAGGGCGATGTGGAAATCAAATATGTCGGAACGGCAAACAATGTTGCAGATGTCTTGACAAAACCCTTACAGGGTCTTAACACCTCACGATTGGCTAGGATGATAGGACTGGAGATCCCGCCGAAGGGGGGAGTTGAAGATGCATCGGCATCTCAAGCAAGATGCACATGTTACGGCCGAGACATTGAGACACGGGAGGCTCACGTAAGCGAGAAGTACAATGAGGTACATAATTGTTGTCATGGTGACAGCACAGTGGCACCCGGTATCATAGCAACACAGGAGTACAGATGAAGAGACACATCCTGCCTCGAATAGGACCAGAGCAGTGAATGGAGTATATATATGTGTTTGTCATTCAGTCTCACACCATGAAAACTAAGCATTACATAGAACATACGGCTGTGGTAAAGGGAGTCTGATCGTGACCCCGATAACGCCGTATATTAATTGTTATCTTCAATTGTGTTGCTCTCTTGCGGAAAGCACGCGTGTGCAATTTACGCGTCCATGGTGCTCAGCCAAATTTAAGCGCGAGTCCGACACTTTGGTTGAGGTTTGGATTCGGCACACCTTCTCCACCTTGCGCACCTCATCCTCTTACCAACCTCCGGCTGTCTCAAGGTCACCTTCTCTTCACACTTCGTCTACTTCTAACCTAAGCTCGACACCCAAATAGAGGTTGTCGCAAAGCCAAGCTCGTAACTCGCAACGATGGATGAGGAAGACCCCGGACTTCAGTTCTTCCCTGACGGCAACGTCGATCTCTATGGCACACTCGGAGTAGCCAAACAAGCAAGACCAGAGGAGATTAAGAAGGCGTACAAGAAGTAAGTCTCGGAATTCCTATCACAATTCAACGCATAACGGAGCACTTACTGACAGCTTTACCTTCTCAACTCTTTCGCGATTGCAGGCTTGCGCTCAAGTTCCACCCAGACAAGGTGCTCTCCAATTCTGCACCAGGAGGAGCCGAAGATGCTATCCAGCAGTTTCAGAAGATCGGCTTCGCTTATGCTGTACTCTCTGACGAGGTACGACGCCGCAAATTCGACAACACAGGCTCGACAAAGGAGTTAATGTTCGGCGAAGGAGATGCCGATTTTGACTGGAACGAGTACTTCAAGGAACTCTGGACTGGTGAGGTCTCTCGTCAGACGTTGGATGAGTTCAAGAAGAAATATCAGAACTCGGACGAAGAGAAGCAGGACATTTTGGAAGCATACGAAGAGACAGATGGCGACCTCGAAGGCATCTTTGAGCGCGTACCATGCTGCGAGTTCCTCACAGATGAAAACAGGTTCATCACCATCATCGACGACGCTGTCAAGGGAGGCGAGATCAAGGAGACATCCAGGTGGAGGCGCAGTAAAAAGGACGAATCTGGTCGAGAGGCTTTGCGACAGAAGGCGGAAGGCGAGGCTGCTGAGGCCGAGAAGCTTGCAAAGGCGCTTGGTGTTTGGGACGACCTCTTCGGCTCAGGAAAGGGCAAAGGAAAGCCCGCGAAAGGATCCAAGTCGAAAGCTAAGGGCAAGGATGGGGCAAAGGGTGAAGGCTCGAAATCGAAAGCTAAGGCGGACGACGATGACGATCTGGCGGGTCTCGCTGCTCTCATTCAGCGGCAAAATCAGAACCGTGGTACACAATTCGACGAGATGATTGCAAAGATGGAAGCCAAAGCCGGTGTCAAGGGCAAGGGTCCGACTGACGAAGAGTTTGACCGCATTCAGGCAGAGATGATGGCTCGCAAGAATGGCAAAGAGAACGGCGGTGGGAAGCGCGCAGCATCTGCTGGTGCTGCTGCCGCTTCGTCCAAGAAGAAGAGCAGGAAGTAGATCTCTCGCGAGTTAAGAGCACCTTGCAGCCATGACTCTGTGCAATGTATTTGTAACGTTTCTTTCAGTATGAAGCGGATCGAAGACGAGCCGGAGCCGGTGAGGCTTAAGGCCACCGTTCTTTATTGTTAAACCGCTCTTAGCTTACGTGACCAAACCTAAGCAGCATTGCGAGAAGGTTGAGCGAGGGCACGTGACGCGAGCCAGACGTTGGGAAGAATCGGATTTTTTCGTAAGAGCCAATCCTGAGGCTTTTGCTGTGTCATCGCAGTATCCGCGACCCTCTCATCGCCATCATTTCGACCTGTACCACTTTCGTCCTTACCTCTTGACCGCACATCCGTCAAGAGCATACACGGACGTCGTCATGGTCTCGATGGTCGTCTCTGCGCTTAGCCGCGCCTCGTTGCAGGCGGTGGCTCGAGCAAGCTCTAGCTCGAGCTCTTCACTCGCCTTTAGGCCTTCTTCATCATCTCGCATCACAGCGGCAGTGCAGGCATCGCTTCGCACCTCATCGATCAGCTACCGACGCCTTCATGCCGTCTCTTCGACCACACAAATCACCACGGAAGCGCTTGTTCCCCGTGCATCGGGATCGAGATCATCAGCAGCACCAGCCAAACTCACACGAAAAGAACGTAGGACAGCGATCAAGCTTCAGCGCAAGACTGCCAAGCGTCGCATTGCTACATCTTCCGTCTCTGCACGTCTCGGTGTCTCTACCACTGAATCCTCGCCTTTCGTGAGGAAGGACCGACAGTTCAAGACGTACAAGCCGATCACTCGTTCGATCAGGTGGTTGAGGCAACCGCTGAACGAGCACCTGCACAAGGGCAAGCCTGAACACTCTCTGACGATCGCCAAGCGCAGTACGGCAGGTAGAAATCACCATGGACATGTAACTGTCCGTGGTAGGGGTGGTGGACATAGGCGCAGAATTCGTCTGGTGGACTTTTACCGATGGCAGACTGGAGAACAGGTAGTGTTGAGGATTGAGTATGATCCCGGACGCAGTGCGCATATCGCCTTGATCAAACACAAAAGGACCAAGCTCAAGAGCTACATTCTCGCACCTGACGGCTTGAGAGCTGGCGATACAGTGCAGTCGTACCGAACAGGTGTCACGGACCATGGTATAACAAAATCGAGCACGATTGTTGATGAGGTTGTTTCAGCAGATGGTCGGGAACTTTCGACTGACCCTGCTGCACCTCAGACAGCTGCTACTTCTGCCCCCTCTACGGCTTCTTCGACTGCTAGCTCAAGCGGTAGCAGCGGCTCGTCGCTCGATCTGGGTATCTTCCGTACACAAGCCATTCGACCGGGCAACTTCCTCCCTCTCAAGCTGATTCCCATCGGTACCACTATCCACTCGATCACGATGAACCCTCTTGGACCGGCCAAGATGGTTCGTTCGGCTGGCACTTTCGGTCAGCTTGTTGCTTTCTCCGATCGCAGCGGTGGAGGTGACTCTCTTGCTCAAGTTCGTTTGCAGTCGGGAGAGGTGCGTCTTATCCCGTCCACTTGCTGCGCTGCGATTGGGACTGTCAGCAACAAAGATCACCAGCACAAAAGGCTTGGTAAGGCAGGTAGAAGTCGATGGTTGGGTAGGAGACCCAAGGTTCGTGGTGTGGCGATGAATGCTTGCGATCACCCTCACGGTGGTGGTCGTGGTAAGAGTAAGAGTAACATGCATCCGAGATCGATCTATGGTCACTTGGCCAAGGGTGCTAGGACGAGAAAGCCTGGTACAAGGAGTGGTAACCAAATGGTTGTCAGGGAGAGGCCGAGAAGGAACGGCAAGCGATTGGGTAAGCCATAAGCGTTGAACAAGACAACTTGATCAACTTGGCATCATCTGAGGACCGGAAAGCTACGAGTTGCATTATCGAGAATACTTGCTTTGCGTGCAGCCCAGGTCTGAGATTTGCTGAACACCGAGCTTCGAAAGACGATTGATGTGCTCGTGCCCTGAAGAGAGATCAGGCAAGATGGTTGTGGCGCACAAATGTGAGAGCCAAGTGGGGTAAGGAGAAGCCAAGATGCTGTCCGCATGGTTCTGACTGAGATTCTCATGCGATCTTGCAAGAAAGCAAGCCTAGATTCTCGGCGATTTGGGTGGGCAAGTGAACCTCAAAGCTTGGGACCGTGCAATCTTGACGTCTGAGAAGGTTTGCGCCGCTGTCTAAACCAGCCATGCAGATGGCCATGTCGGCAAGGAGGGATCTTGTGGAATAATACGTGATGGACATGGGATCAGAACAGATCGGGAGAGGCTGTCACCGATCCAACTTGAAACCAAGAGAAAGGGAGGAATTCGATTTGCGGTCTGGAGGGTGTGAAGCGGTGCATGTGTTTGCTTCTGGACAGAAGCTATCTCGCGTCGAAGGCGATGCAGGCAGGTGCTGCGATCTGCTGCAGGACAAGTGCAAAGCGAGACGCTTGAAATGGTGCTAGAATTGCTCGCTCTCATGCCGTCCGTGCGATTCTCTCTGTTTGCCAAGACCTTGTCGGTTCTTTATAGCAGCCGTGCACATTTGTGAAGGCTGTTTGGCTAGCAAGTGTTCTCTCTCATTCAAGATCACCGTGACAGTGAGGGAGAATACTGTAATGCAAAATAGCCTAGAGGGCAGCAAAGCGTTGCAGTTGGCCCGAGCGAGAGGCGATAGTCAATCTCCTACTGCCCTCCTCTCTCTTGCTTGTTCCAAGCTTTTGTCGGCTTCGGAGGCGGTCTGTAAAGTTACGCTGCTTTGCCTTGTTCGGATGGGTGCCGATGAAAAGAACCAAATCCTCGACCGCGTTCACACGACCAGAGACTTTCTTTTCACTCCTGACGCAGGGCTTGCGAGAGCGCAGCTCCTCTGTATACTTTTTATTCAAGCAAGTCTTACAGAAGCAAAGCTGCTCGGCATGTCGCTTCATCAAATCTCGCGCATCAAATCTCGCGCATCAAATCTCGCGCCAGCAGGAGAGCTTGCGAGGTCCAGGCCATCTCTGAGCTGCAGGTTGCTCTTGTTTTGCATTTTGACAGCGCCGACGGAAGATCCGAAGGAATCGAGTCAGCATGGATCTTGCCTATGTTAAGTTAGCAGCCGCTTCTCTTGGCTCTTTCCCTCTGAGTCGGATGCGTGCCGAAAGGATAGTTAGCAGCGAGAGTGAGAACAATGGGCCCTCTCTGTGTCTCTGTCTCTCTGCCTGTCTGTCTCTCTGCCTATCTCTCTTGATCAGTGTGCAGTAGCAGAGAAGAGGGTATGAACCCTGAGAAATGATTGACATTTCTCCTGTCCCGCACTTTTTCAGCGCTTGGACCTCATACGAGCAAGAGCCCCTTGCATCATGGCCCATGCCTTGGTTCTTGCCGAATCTCGTTTCTCTCTCTCTCGTTTCTTTCTCTCTCGTTTCTCTCTCTCTTCTCTCGTTTCTCCCTTTCCTCATTCAAGCCACCGCTCCTTCCTCCTTTCCCCAATTGAGACTTTCCAACTGAAATAGACACGGATACCAAGGACGCCACAACGATCCCGCTCACCTTTCTCATCCCCATCTCATGCGTAGCCTCGTTGATACTTGACACCCACACACCCACGCGACACGAGCAACCCTGGATCTAGCATCCTTCTGCCTCGATCTTGACAACCAACTACAGCCACCATCGTCTCTTGCAACCTTTCATCAATCACTGCAAAGCAACTCCATCTCGCTTACGCTCTCACTGCTAGCAGCATCTAGCATGGCCACCATCCTCTACTGTTCTTAGACATCCACCTCCCTACTCCCGTCCACTATAGGTCCATCTCGACAACATGGTCCTCTCGCTACGAGAGCAGCCACCAAAGAAGTCCAAACTTTCACTCTTCCGTCTTGGCAAGTCTCCTGGCAAACCCACGAGCTCATCATCTGCTTCAGAACGAGACCATAGAGCATATGCATCCAACACATACCCAAGGTCAGCAGAACAGTCAACACCTCGCAACGCACCTACCTCACCAAACAACCCTCGAATCCTGCCCAATACCCGTCAAGCAGCCAGTCAAGCTGGTTCAGCTGTCGGTGCTGTTCATTACCACTACCCCGAGTCGTCCATCTCTAACGCCATGCAGCAGTCTTCAGACCTAGACGAGCAACAACAATCCCGCCCAACACGCCCAGACTCCCTCCCACTTCAAGTCTTTGTCCACCCTGCAGATGCAGCCTCAACAGAACACAAGTTCGTCGGCGCTAACTGGCCAGCTCTAGCCAAAATCCAGACCGACCTCATCCTACCTTCTGCCTCAGGCAAGCACTATCGCACACGCTCCCACTTCTCTATACCCGACGTCATTGTCACCACTTGCGAAGAAGAGGGCCAGGAACAGCTTGTCCAGATCTCCATCCCAGCTCACAAGCGTCGCAGCTATGTCCTGCGCGAAGGAAGCAACGCTGACCACCCTAGGTCGAACAAGAAGAGTAGTACTGCCGGCTTTGCGTCCAAAGGTAGGCCTGCCCCATTGATCCAGTTTGATGCCGACCAGATCGAGGGAATGAGCCGCAGTGGTAGCCTGCCGAGTCTTGGCAGCTCGCCCATCTCACCGATAAGTACGACGGCAACTTCTCTCACTTCGCCTTCCTCGTCGGCTAGTTCGAGTCTCTCCAAGGGTTCGACGATGGCTAAGAGGAGTAGAAAGTCGTCCTTTCCGATGCTCTTTGCGAGGAAGAGCTTGGACTCGGCCCGGGCGAACGTCGAACAGCAGCAGGTATACGTGGAAGAGCCTCCACCTTTCACGCTCACCACTTCGGCATCGCAACATGATGGCTTGCTTTTCTCAAGTCATCATGGCGGGTCAGTCAGCGCGCCACCCTCCCGAAGCATCTTTGGAAGGACGACCAGCCTTTCTTCTCCACCTGTCACGCCGACCTCCACTTCGAGGTTCTTGACCAAGAAAGAGATCAAGGCAAAAGCAAAGGAGGAGCTCGCGCTTATCAAGGAGCTGGAACGCGTCGACAAGCTCGTCAAGCAACACGATCTCAAGGCCCGAAAGACGCAGGAGAAAGCTGAGGCCAAAGAGAGGAAGCGAGCTGCCAAGCTAGCCCAGATCAACCATGAGTTCCGCGAACAAGGTGCAGCCAGACCTTCGGTTGACACAACAAGCAGCGCAAAGACTTCGCGGAAGACCATCTTCCAAGCTTCCACTCGAGCTGCACCTTTTACCGTGTTGGCCAGAAGGACAAGTGTACGAGGTACACCGATGCCAGAGGTCCGCACATTCGTTGTCGAACGACGCGGATCAGAGCCAATCCTGTTCAACGCCTCAGAATCTAGGGCAAACGTGACGACGCCCTTCAGCATCGATCTTCCAGCGAGCGAGAGGTTGCCCTTCTCCCAGCCAAGGGCTGCGCCTCTTCCCAAGATCTTCTCGACTCCTCAGCCGTTTGCTCAAGCTGCCATCCAGTCGTCAGCCCCGGAACGAACCTCGACAACAAAGTCTAGTGGCTCTTCCCCACCGCGACCTTCCCGACCCACTCCTGCTCCCCCGGCACAATCCAGCATTGCTCCGCTCAGCCTGGTCAAGGACGCTCAGGTTGACACTGTTGAGGCGGAGACCAGCATTAGCAAAGATCCTGACGAGACCCAGAACTGGAGTCGCCAGAGCTGGTCTGAGCTCAACGCCGGGTTCAGCAGCGGTCTCCTGCCCAGCCTTATTTACCCTACTGTAAGCACATCTACCATCGACGAAGATAGTGAAGAGAGGGCCGTACGAAACGCGAGACGAGCAAGTGTACAACGCGTCCTTGCGCTGTCTGATGCCAATGGAGCCGCTCTCCAGAAGCGTGTGTCACTTCGCAAGCGAGGCTCGCAGCAGTACATGTTCAAACGTCGATCATCACATATGCAAGGCGGGGCCGATGCAAGGAGTGATGGTATGCGCTCATCTGCTGCCTTGCTGCACCGACGTACCTTGATTAGAAGGGTGGGTCAAGAGGAGGGATGGAAAGTCATAGATGGTGAAGAAGAGTGTCGGGCTGATGAAAGTGTGATTGCTCAACCTGATCTTTCTGCCACCAAATGGGATTGGGTGGAGCAAGAGGAAGAGCCCCGCTTGAAGCGTGGAACGATCATGAGGGGTGAGAGGATGGAAGTGGAAGTGGACCTTGTTCTGGCTGATTTGCGTGCAGCGCAGCATGCAGATCAGGCTCGAAAGCACGTAAAAGAGGGGAGTGGAGAACGAACACCCACACAGGAGACTGTCATCGATCCCTTTACCACTACGCGCAGGATTTCACCTCCCCGACCCAACAGATCTGGTAGAAAAGAGGCGGGGCAGGACGATGGAACAGGTCATTCATCCAGTATCTCGTCCAACGACAGCTTCAGCTCACAATCGAGTGGGACAGGGACCGCGGCTACCATGGTGAACGATGCCGCGGGCAAGGGTGCAGATGAGGGAATGGTTTGCTTCAGTCGACCTTTCTCGCCCGAGCACCAAATTGGACGTTTCTCCATTGATGAGGATAAGGAGAATAATGCTGGCATGAAGGAGAGTGCTAAGGGGAGCAAGGATTCGCAGTTCAGATTGTCGTTGTCGTTGGCCCCGCTGCAGCCGTTGGACTTGTTTTCGCAGACTTAGAATCTACCCACATTTCTGGCAGTGGTTCTACCTATACCCTCATTTTTGGAAATCGTTTGCATTGCTTTGGACGCGATCGAACGCTTTGTGGGGGTGTCGCTTGTGTAGTCTTGTCTGAAAAGCTGTAATCCAGCGTAATAAGACATTCAAAGTCTCTCTTAGCATCTTGAATCTTCACAGCGAACAGAGACGGTGTTGAGCCAACACTCGATGGCACCGGCACCAGATCGCAGCGCAATTCGTTCTGCTCACTTGTACTCATTCTGAGTTGATATCACAAACAGAACCAACCACAAAAGACATGAACATCGTGATGGTCTGTATTGTAGAAAAGGAATTTGTAACAATCATGTGAGCTATGATTACACTTGTCCTCTTCGCAAGCCCTCCAACCTCCCCCTCAAAGCACCAGCGTTTGAGTCGATCCATTTCAAGCTGCCCAAATGAGCATTCAAGATGGCTACGATCTGAGCAATGCTACCATCTCTCTCTGCCAGCATGTTTTCCAATCCTCCTTCTCCTGCCCCTCCGCTTGCTGCACCATTCGCAGCGGTAGCACCATTTGTAGTATTCAACTCGGTAATCATCGCGCTCAAGTTCTTACTCACATCGTCCAGCTGCCCGTTAAGCTTCTCGGCTAGAGCATAGCTCCGTTCCCTTTCAACATCCGCACTAGTGAGGTTACCTGCTTCAACGTTGGGCAGTAGAGAGTCGATTTGAGATTCGTACTCTCCAACGAGATAAGAGAGGTCCTTTTGGGAAGATTCCAGGTAGTCCAGCGTCGAATCAATGGATCGCTGCTTCTCTTCTGCAAGGGTGAGAGCTGAAAGAAGGGACGAAATCTCATCTCCACCGCGGAGAAGCACTTTGTCCCATGCGGCCACCTCTGCTGCTTGACGGGAGAATTCGCGGATGGAAAAGTCGAGCGAAGAAGACCAGCGATTGAGGATTTCATCCATCGATTTACCGCGCAAAAGGGAGGGCGTGGGGACTGGGCCGACTGAGGCCGCACCTGTGGGAGCGATGGAAGCGCCAGGAGCAGTGTTGGAAGCCCTTTCGGCCGGTTTGGATGTGGTTGTAGCGGCAGCAGGGGCGCCGCCGAAAGAGAATCCTCCGGCGGGCTTGGCAGCGGCGGGAGCAGCTGGAGCTGAAGTGGTAGCCGGTGTGCTCGTGGCAGCTGCTTTGCCAAATGAGAATCCACCAGCGGCTGGGGCAGGAGCTGCGGCAGCTGGTGCAACAGTAGAAGGTGCCGGAGTAGCTGTTGAGGTTGCCGGAATGGCCGGCTTTCCAAATGAAAAGCCGCCTGCAGCAGGAGCCGGTGCAGCAGTAGGTTTCGATGCGTCTGCTGCCAAGCTGGCAGGAGTCGAAGTGGTGTTGCTTGTGTTGCCGCCAAAGGAGAAGCCGCCTAGTGCTGGTTTGGCAGGTGCGGCCGCAGCTGCGGGGGTGGAGGAAGTAGCAGCGGAAGAAGCAGCGGTGCTGGAAGAGTTGCCGAAGGTAAAGCCACTGGATGAGGCAGCTGGTGCTGCTGCTGGAGCAGATGTTGCTGGTGCCGAAGAATTCGGTGTGGCAGTGGAACCGCCAAACGAGAAGCCTCCGGTAGCTGGCTTGGCTGCGGTGGAAGCACCACCGAAGAGAGAGCCACCCGCAGGCGGTGTAGAAGCAGTTCCAGCGGCAGGCGTGGAAGATATGGTAGATCCACCAAGCGTGAATGACCCAAATCCGCTCAATCCACCGCCAGCACCGCTTGCTGGGGCGTTAGCGCCGGCAGCGGCCGTAGAAGTGGATCCAGCGGGTGTTGTACCGCTTCCGCCGAATGAGAATCCACCTGTCGCTGCAGGCTTTGCACCTGCTGTGTCGCCGAAAGAGAAGCCTCCTGGGGCTGGAGAAGAGGTAGAATTGTTATCAGCGGGCTTGGAAGCTGCTGGAGCGCCGAAACTGAAGCCTCCTGTAGACGTGGCGGGTGTAGATGTATTGGCTGCGGGTGTTGAGGTCGAGGCTGCACCGCCGAACGAGAATCCACCTGTGGCAGGCTTGGCTGCTGCAGCACCGCCAGTCGATGATCCTGTGTTGCTGGATCCGAAGAGGCCTCCGCCAGAAGCAGGTGCGGCAATGGATGGGTTGATAGCACCGCTAGCTGCGGGAGTTGAGCCGAACAATGAACCGCCAGAGTTGGTTGCGCCTGTCATGACAGAACCCATGAGCAAATATAGAGACAAGGCGTAAGCAGATGTGCCCACGTCATGCATGAGCATCTAGAGAGTCAAACTCACCTCCGAAAGAGAAAGGCTTGTTACCAGGAGCAGCGCCGTTCGAGTTGTTGGTATTGTTGTTGTTGGACGATCCAAAGGAGAATCCTCCTCCACCGAACGACATGATGGCGGTATGACCTGAACAAGTCTTGGTTCGCCGTTATACTTCTGCTATACCAGCGAAGCTCTCGTTGATGGTGACGAGATCGTCTCGAAAGTGTTGATCTGCGATGAGATGGTGGTGGTCTATGCGACGCGAAGCTGTTACAGAACACACACACCGAAGCGCCAAAATCTCAGATATTGCGGAAAGAGGATAGAAATGAATCAGGATTACGTAAGCCATTTTTTGTTTTGTCGCAGAATTCCTGAAATCTTTAGACTTTCTGGTTCAAGAACGCCGTGTGCAACTGAGCAATTTTTCAGTTTGTGGAGCAACGACATCAATTCTTCTGTCAAACCCTGGCCACCTTCATCCTGGACAGTTACCATCTACACATAGCGAAAGGCACTGTCATCCTGGCTCTCGACAGTCGGACGAACAAAGTCGTGGACACCCACACATAATGCCGCCCAAAACCAATCGCCTAGCTTCGCTGCTAGGCACGCTCACCAACGCAGCACCTGTCGACTTTGACCCCGAGGCTCCCGATGCCGACCAGCCTGGACCTTCCAGCCTGGCCAACGGCAATGCCAGCAGTTCCGGTTCCAACGACGAAGAAGATGAGGAGGAAGATGCGGAGGAGTCGGATGAAGAGTACACGAACCCACGCGCACACTATGCCGACGTAGGGACAAGTGAGATGCGAAAGAAGGCGGCGTTGAGCGAAAGCGACAAGATCAACGACCCAAGGTATCAGGGCGTCAAAAGCAGTCGTGCTGAGCTCTATGCCGATGAAGACGAAGAAGATGATGATGAAGGAGCAGACGACTCTGAAGACGAGGAGCAACACTCAAAAGAAGACGATGAGGAAGGAGAAGGTGCAAGTCGAAGAAAGCAGGTTCAATTCGCCGACGAAAACGAATCAGATAGCGAAGCATCTTCAAGCTCCGAGACAGATCAGGTAGCAGAATCCACATCAAACAGCATCGCAGCGCAGATCGCCCAGTCAGCGTCACAAACCAAAGCGCTGAAAGCAAGGCGACTTGAAGACGCTGAAAAGGGTCGCCAAGTACGCAAGCAGATCAAGACATTTGAGCGTGCCCTCGAGACTCGTATCAAGGCACAAAGCGTACTGCGCGAGGTTAACCGTCTTCCCGACCCTGAGGTCTACACATCCGCCATCAGCATCACCACTGCCGAGCCGGTAATCACTGTACTCGAGCAGCTGTTGGAATTGTCAGAGACGCTGTTTTCCCTACGCACAAGGCTGAATATTCTTTCAAGGTCCACAGACGAAGGCAAAGGGACGATCGAAACCCCAGCGACAAGGAAGAGAAAGCGTGACTTTGACGTCACTGTTCCGGAAGACGAAGAGGAGGCTAAGCAGACATGGGCCGAGATCGTAAAGCATGATCAAATTGATGCGACACTGAATGATGTCGCCACATTCTCATCAGTAGCGGACGTGCAAAGGAGAGCAGTGTTAGACAAGTGGAGTCTCAAAGTGACTTCTGCCGCCGCCGCCGCATCAAATGGCAATAAGTTCACCCAACTCCGTGCCGTCAACCAACCACCATCGGCTCAAATCGACGCAGCTCTTGCTGGCGATGGTCTCTCTCGACTTATTGCACGAACCCGTGTCCTTCGCTCTGCAGACTCACCAGCATCCGCCAAGCTTGGCCAAGCCTACACACCGATCGAAGAGGAGGTCAAGGACTCTGAAGTGTTCGACGATTCCGATTTCTACTCTGCTTTGCTTAAGGAATTGATTGAGCGCCGATCCGGTGTAGGCATCACCAATGGCGATGGTGCGGGAGCGACAGCTGCAATGATGCTCTCAGGGTTGAACGGAGGCAAGAAGAAGAAGGCGACTGTCGACACAAGGGCATCTAAGGGAAGGAAATTGCGATACGAGGTCAACGAGAAGATTGTTAACTTTATGCCTCCTATCCCCGAAAGGGTTAAGTGGGGTCAAGAACAGATCGAGAGATTGTTCAGGCAGTTGGCGAGTAGTTCGATGGGTGTTACTAGGGAGGCGAATGGGGAAGACGAGGCTAAAGTGGACAAGGACAAGGAGGCAGAGGAGGCAGATCTTGCTGGACTTCGTGTCTTTGGCTGACCACGTTTGCATTTGCATTAGCATTGTACGCCACACTCATTCATTGCTCACATTGCTCACACGCATCCTCGCGTTCACGATGTCCCGAGCCGCACATTGTGGGTAAAGCAATACTGTAATGAGATAAGCAAGCGTCTTGGCGCTGGAACTGAGACAAAGCAGAAAGGTATACATCAAAGACGAAAACAAATCAACAACTTCCTCCTCCGTACTCTACCCCTTCTAATTGGCAATAGACTTGACCGCCTTCGCTGTCCCGATTGTTGTCGAGTTGACTTTAGTCGCAAACCTCAACGAGCACAAACTCTCGTTCATGTGTGCTGCCATCGGACTCAAAGCCAACAACATCAATGTCTTTGAGTTTCCACCCAGACTGTTCTTCAACAGCCAAGTCAGTGTTGAGTTACGGTAAGGTACGTGGTTTGTCGACCCTTTGTTCTGACCCAATGCCGAGATGACATCTGCGAGAGAGGAGAGGGATTTGTTGATTGACTGAGCTTCCTTGAGACGGATGGGGTCTTTGTCGCTTCCAGAGTTGGCGAGACGTTCGGAACCCGCGAGATCGACGAGGGAGAGGACGGCGTCGCATGCTTCCATCGTCGTTGCGTTTTGACCTCGCACTCGAAGCATGAAGACGGAATGCGAACGGGAAGAACGCTCGTTCATCAGTGTAGCTGCGACCTGGCGACGCTTCTTGGCTTTTTCGAGCAGTGCAAAGACTTGAGCAGGAGAGTCGAGAGGAATAACGACGGTGTCAGAGACAGTGGTGCGTCCTTTATCGTGTTTGATCTCGTGTTTGGCCTTGTCGACTTCGGCTTTGCCGAGAAGATCATTGATGTTGTCGAGGTAGATTTCGAGCATGGAGCCCTCGAAGTCGTACTTCCAGCCTTTGTCTTTGAGGCTTTCAGCGGTGGACCAGAGCATTTGGACAGCCCGTGGGATCAGACCGGCACCGGCGTCGGCAGAGGGGTCAGAAGCCAGGTTGGTGTTCGAGTCTGCCGCACCCTCGAGTGTGTGTGTCTTACCGGAACCGGTTTGACCGTAAGCGAAGATCGATGTGTTGTAACCATCGAGCACCGATTGTGTAAGATGGGCGATCTCTTCGAACACATCCGCCTGCGAAGCGGTGGGCTGGAAGACTCGATCGAAAGTGAAGAGGTGGTTGCGCATTGTGACGGTTCCTGTTGCCGACTCGCCAGCTGCGAGTAGTTCGATCTGAGTTGCTTCACGTTCGTTCGGGAAGCGAATGGTGGCGAGAGCCTCAGTGCCGTTGCTGGCATCGTTGTTCGAAGGAGGACGCACACGGCAGAAGACTCTTATGTTTCCTCGCAGCTCTTGCACTTCGTTGTGCAGCTTGCGTCTCAAGGACTCTGCTTCACGCAGCTCGCTCTCGAGGTGCAAGTTGGCCTCCTTGGTCTCAGCAACGTCCTTGTCCATACTCGAGATCTCGGCACGCAGTGCCTCAATCTCGTCCTGGAGCACCTGAACTTGAGAGCGCAGCGCTGTGTTGGTGCTTTCCATGGTCAAGTGACTCGTGCTTTGCTGGCTGAGGGTGGCTTTGAGTGCTGCGACAGTCTCTCGCTCCTGCTCGAGCTCTGTCTCGAGCAAACGCTTTTCGCGGTTGCATTTGGCTGTGAGTTGAAGCAATTCGTCGTCGGCCAACGTACGTCGACGCTTGATCTCTTCCTGCTTCGATTGGGCGATCTTGCGTTGTTCGATGAGATCTTCTTCGAGCTGGCGGACCTTGTCTTCCTGTGCGAGGCGATCGGAGCGCTCTTTGTTCCATTTCTCCTCTGTCTTTTGGCGCTCGAGCTCAAAGAGTTCGGCCATGGAGGCGAGGCGCGATTCCATAGCATCCATTCGGGAAGGGTCAACATCGCCGGAGGCAGTGGAGGTGGCACTTCCGTTACTAGCTCGTGAAGCAGCGGCAGCAGCAGCGTTGGCGGCATTTGTACCAGGTCGAAGACGTGTGACGCTTGTAACTCCTCTTCGGACCGCCGCGCCTCCAGCAAGGGCAGCACCGGCTGCGACCTTGGTTGCACTGACAGAGCGTGTTGTGGCACCAACGACAGCCGAAGGTCGATTGGTGGTATTCGTCATGGGTGCTCGTGACATGGTGAGACCAGCTGATGTGGTGGTGAGAGTGCGTCTGGAGGGGACAAAGCGGCCACTGTCTGCTGTACTGACAGATCGTGTTGCTGCAACAGTACGAGTAGCAGCGGGCTCTGCCAGCTTACTAGGGCCTGCACCAATACCACCTGGTATAGTCGCCGCCGTGCGCTGACGTTTGGCCGTTTGTGGTACTGGAATGCTCGACATTGTGACTGATCCCTATGATGCTCTAATCTCGAAGAAAGGTGGGGGTGTGTCCTTGCAATAGTCAACCGATGGCGGCGCTGCGAAAGCGGGTGATGTGAGTGCGTGGGGTAAGGCAAGCGCCTGTTCAGCAGCGAGATGGATGAAATGGAGAAGGAATGATGACCGACGGCTTTGAGTTTGATGAAAGTAACACTCTCTGTGTCACTGTGGACGTCGATGAACATTCGTCGCGTTATGCTGTTGTTCGCGTTGACAGCCAGAAAAGGGCGCCGAAGCCAAAACAAGACAAAAATAACGCGCACTCGACATTCTCACAGCGAAATTTGAGCGTATCGGCGTGCGTTGCTCGCGCCTCGCTTCAATCTGGTCACGTGCCCAAACTCGTCTCCAAGCGTCCTGCAATGTTGGTCTCAGCTGGCCCTCACTTCGGTTGAGTTCATTTAAGAGAGCAGCAGCAACACACATGCTGTGCTGTCGCAAGACAATGTTCCCTCGCAAAACAAACGTATCGAAAGCGAAACACAATTTTATTTACTCTAGATCAATGCTGGGAGAGTCGTGAAAAGCTAGACAGTGAAGCCGTTGGCTGTCAAGTGGCAGCGGGAGAGGGCGAGTGGCGGAAGCGTGGGAAGAATGGCGCATTTGAAGCGTTGCATGGGGGGGCTGAGAGAGGATATAGCGTTTCAAAGTCAAAAACAGGCTTGAGGCTGACTGCGAGACACCTGACTATCGACTATCGACACTATGCGCGAGTTCCTCTTCTGCGTCAAGATACTCATCGGCAGCCGACTCGCTGGCGTTAGAATCGCTTGCAGACACTCTGTGAGCGCCAGCCGCAAGCAATACTAGCAGCATCTGAGCCCATATGCCAACAAGTGTCACCAAGAGCTCTTGCACAGGAGGTACTATCAAAGCAAGCGTACGTTGCGACAGGCTGCGAGCCATGCCTGCCACACGGACACTTGCCGCAAGCGGAACCCGCTCGTTCTCTCGACCCAATTTCTCCACTGCATCCTCGAGCGTCTGCTCTTCGTCATCTTCCTCGCTCTGACTACAAATTGCATCCTCTGAGACAAGACCTGCACCGTTGCAACGTCGCCCGCAATCGTCAGCTTCGACTCTGGCAACGACCTAGAGACTCTCCATCTGTGCGACCACCTCGTCGAGCTCTGCTTTCGAGGTTCGGTATCGCTCTTCGGCCTCCTCGTACTTCTTCTCCCACTGAGCAACCTCGCGTTCGAGTGTTGCCACCTGTCGCTCAAAGTGCTCGGCCTTAACGTCGACCTGTCGCAACCTGTGTGATTAAACATGGACAGAAATGAAAGACAACGGAGAGATTAGTCAGTATTTCGAGCCGAATGCGTGCTATTCCAGACTGCAAAGGTACGCACTTCTCGGTGGTTTCGCGAAGGTTCTTCTCAGCAGTGTCGAGCTCAGACTCAAGCAAGTCGACCTTGCGTTGAAGCGATTCTGAGTTGGTTGCGTTGGACTCGTGCTCCTCGCGAACGGCCTTGTGCTCGTGAAGCTTGCCCTCAAGCTTGTCAAGGTCTCCCTCCGCGACGCTGAGCTTGTGCTGCAATGAGGCGATCTCCTGGTCTTTGGTGAGGAGCTCCTGCTCGAGCTGCTTGTTCTTGGCTGCAAGCTCGTCGGCACGCTCGCTTGCTGCGTCGGCCTCTACACGGAGCGAGTTCAGTTTCTGTGATCATGGAAGGATAGGTAGTGTACAGATCCGAATCAAGTGATCAGTTGGCTGCGATCCTTTTCAGCAAGCTGATTCTAGCCGAAAGTGGCTACTTGTCTGAGCAAATGGCGGTACTTACCTCCTTGATGCGGTCCTATGGATCAGACGTACGGACACACAAGATTGAGCGTGAGTGTTTCGTTGAGGTAGACAGCAGTGCAGTCGGCCCCGCAGTGACGGTGCACGAATAGGCGAACGGAATGGGAACGGAGGAACATTAGGGAAGCAAAAGAGATTCAGCAAGAGTCGCTACAAGCGTGCGATCGAGACAAGGAACGAAGCAGCCTCGGTAGATTCAAGCATCATGACCAGATAAAGTTGCTGCTTGGCTCGCGAAACCCTTTCTTTCCTTGTGAGCGCTCCGCATTCCGCTGCCAGGGCAGAGTCGGGACGGCTGGTCGAAAGCCATGCTTCTTAGATAATCGAACAACGTAGTGCTCATTGCCCGCGACTTTACAGCGGTATCTCTCTCCTCGGACCGTCACTTCACGGTGTGTCTGGCGGTGACCTGGGGCGGTGACCTGGGGGCGGTGTTCCCGCTCAAGAAGCAAGGGAAGGAGCTTCTGCAACTCACCATTGTGTATGAGTTTGTGAGGAGGGAGTGTCTTTGGTGGTAGTCGTAAGGAAAGGTCGTTAAGAGCGTAGTCGTGATGGAAGGGCTTGAGATGATCGGTGTCGAAAGTAGGGATAGGGGCGGATCAAGTGGTGACGGCTCAAGCTGGTGTTTGAAATTTGAGCTGCGTCGCCGGTGCGCAACTCACTCTCTCTTACACACTCCAGCCGAGAGAAAGAAACACACAGACAAAGCACAGTTCAACGCTTGCGCTGTAATTGTTCACTGGCCAGCGCAAGCAGCAACACATGCCCGTGCGCTCGGCCAACAGGGGAGCCAAAGGCAGTGTCGAATCTGCTGAATTTACCAGAGAGGAGGGGCGCATCGACTTTAGGGGCGTGTGTGTGAAATTCTCGAAATTGCGCGTGTCAGTTTGTGTAAGTGTGTGTGTGTGTGTGTCTCTCTTGTACGCTTCTAGAGCGTTGCTGTAATCATTTGTAAGCAATTTATACCATAAAGATCACAAGTGTGTCTGCGTTCCTCTCTCAATGGTCAAATAGCACAAAGGCTTTCTTCATTCAGACTTCAGGTGGTTTTGGTTTTGAGTACAGAGGAAGAAAAGCAAGAGTTTGTCATGTCAAAATGAAGCCGCAAGTGAAGACCTAGATACAGGAAGAATGGTAAAAATGAAAAGAAGACCTGAGGAGACCATGATAAAACCCAATGACAATGAAAAGATGTGATCCAGAAGAGTGCCAGAGCAAGAGAGAAGAGATCGGTTCCAGCGTGACAAAGTAGAGAAAGAGCCCAGAGCAGAGGGGTATATAGAGGTTCAAGAGTGTGCTGACGAGAGAGCGAGAGATGTGAGACAGAGACTGATTAGAGTGTGCTAACTATTTTCAAGCTTGGCGTGTATGTAAAGCTGGAAAATGGTCTCTCGCAGCTTTGCTTGTTGGTTTTGCAACCCTATGCTAATGTTGGCCGTAATTGTTGCAGCAGTTCTCGAAGGTCCCAACAAGAAAGGACCTGTAGAGCTGAAGCTGATCAAGTGAATAGATGTGTGACCTTGTTTTATGCCCAAAGCGCGAATGAACACGGATAGTCAGCAGCCAGGCGCGCGACTAGTGAGTTTGCGAATGTTGGTCCAGATCAAGTGTCTCCATGCCTGGACAGATGTCGCCTCGAAGAGCCGACTTGCTGTCGTCGGCCTCGCCATCAGCATCGCAGATCAGGATGCCCGGACTGTTTTGAAGCGACATAAATTGCTTTGACAGAGGCGGAAACGAGGAGAGACTAGTCGCATCCAAGTATCCAAGACCAGGCACGCGTGGCAGCAACATATCATCCGTATAAGGACTGAAGATTGCCTTGCGCATTTCATCGTCGACCTTGCCATCGCTCAGATATTCCATGTCAGCAGGAGAGGACACTGGCGTGGTGACCGAAGATGACGGGCTCGTAGTACGATGACTGCTGAAGCTGCTCAGAAGCTCGAGCGAGGTAGAGCGTTGAGTGATGCACGTGTAGTCCGACAAGGCCCGCGTGATAGACCCAGCCGAGGACGACGAAGCGGTGTGTTCAGCGCCGTAAGTGCATTCAGTAGGACCGGATGCCGAACCGTCCGAGTCATTGCATCGAGGTCGCTTGAGCGGCAACGGACGAATGTCAGGACCCACAGCGTGACTGGGCACAAGCTCCGGATTGGAGCTCATTGCTGGTTCGGCACGAACGCGGCTGATGGGCGAGCCGTCCAGCAAATACGCAGGCGAACTGATACGATGAATCGGCACGGGCCTGACTGGAGCAGGTGCACACCTTCCAACGTTGCCATCACGTTCGCGTTCGCGCGTTTCGCGATCGACGAGGCCCTCAAAAGAGAGTGTCGGTGACTGAAACGTGAGCGCAAAGTCCTGGAAGCTATCGCGGAAATCACGAAGCTCGCTAGTCTGGACTCGACGCTCGACGCGACTACGAGCTACAGCATCTGCCGGAACGTCGGCGCTGGACTTCACACTGGAATGCATTGCTCCAAGATGCTCGGACCTAGGCGAGTTGAACAACGACCTGCGTGGTTCAGAAAGCGTGGTGGAGCGCAAGATTGAGAGTACCTTGCGGTCACGCAGCGACTTGGACGTTTGCGCCTTGAGCATAGCCGCGAACTGATTGGCGTCCGGGTATTCAGGCTCAGGTGAGCTGCAGTCGCGACCAGATGACTTGGACTTGACGACAACGCCTCCGTTGGCGGTGGGCACAAAGAAGAGCCGATGCTCAAGGTCAATGGGAGGGAGCGGGGGCAAGACATGATCGGTGCCAACAAGCACTGGAGTGACGTAACTTTTGGCCTCGGATGCTTCGATGGAAAGAGGGCAGATGTACTGTTGGAAATTCTGAAAGCGGACGGGTTTGCTGATCATGCCGTCCATGCCTACGTGTCGATAGAGCGAAGCGGGCTCGGCGCCTACCTTGGTGGTGACAGCGACGACGTGTGCATTGCGATTGGCAGCGAGGATACCATCTTCACCAGCTCGGATGCGACGAGTGCACTCGACACCGTTGAGATAGGGCATCTCGATGTCCATGAAGATGAGATCAAAGATCTGGGTGCGAAGCAACTGCAGTGCCTTGAGACCGCTGTCAAGGCTGACGGGCGGACGCGCTAGGGCATGGCCAAAACGGCGCTTGAGGAGCATGCTGAGAACCATAAGGTTGACATGATTGTCGTCGACAATGAGGATACGAAGCGAGTTGGTAGGTGGAAGAGGAGTGGCCGATCGTGTATCGTTGACAGCAAAGGTAGCGGCGGCGGAAGATGCGGTCAAGATGAAAGACATACACGGACGAGAATTCTGAAGCGGCTTGCCCTTCAGATGGGGGTGAGACGTCAGAAGCATCGAAGAAGGGGGGCTGGCGAAGTTGGAGAACCTGACCCCGGCTTTGTTGCACCAAAGTTTGCTGAAGAGCGTGTTAGTGTGTCCCAATGAAAGGAAAAAGTGCTTTGTGCAAGCGGAGGAGTTTGACTTGGGGAAGGTGAGGCAAGAGCAAAGTAGCAAGAATAACAAATAGCTGGTGGAAAAGAGGTGAGAACAGTCTCGGGTATGGGTCAAGCCAATGTAGAAAGTGGTCTGGAGGAAGAAAGAGGCGGAGATGATGTTGGAAGGAAGTGATGGATGATCAAGTGATTAGTGCAGCTCGAAAATCGCAGAGTGGTGCGAAGTCTAATATTCGAGTGCTAGAAGAGGTCGATGATCGTAGCCTACGGGACGATACTAAGTGACGTGGAAGAGATTTAGACCGTCCAAACGGTAAAAACAGAAGCGCGAACCGAAGCTGAGCTACTGGATAGCGAGGACTTGTCTGGAAGTTGATAGGATCAGTATCAAGACCGAGTGTAGTGAAGCTCTATGGTTTGAGCGTTCTTGTCGATGAACGAAGGTACTGTGAGGAAAGTGCGAAATATAGGCCGCTGGACGAGTACCAGGTTGTAGTGAAGCGATAGAAGATAGATGTGTATGTTGTATCTATCTGCTCATGTCAAGATGGCTGATGATGACAAGATATATGCGTTACTGCGATGACAACAACGTCGACCTAAACCGGGATGAAAGCGGAAGAAAGTCGAGAAAGTGCAGTTGCAGTAGAGAGAGCATCAAGCAGCCAGAAGTGATGAAGGCTGTGTGCTGTGTGGTGGTGGTGGTTGTGCGTATGTATGTGTGTAATGTAGATGCCAGACAAGACTGTTGTGGTTTAGTGGGTGAATGGAAGTGGTAGTGAGAAGGGAGGGAGTGAGGTAGGAAGAGGTGCACTAGATAGCGGCGAATGCACAAAGAGCGAGGACAGACAGGGCCCTTGCAACCCGAGAAGGGTGGGCACCACGGTCTGCAGTGAGAAAGCAAAGCCGTTGGCGAGAGCGCCAGAAAATTTCCATGAGGAAAAGAAAGCGAAAAGGCAGAAAGTCGACTCTTTCGATTGCGGTGGCGTTGTGTATGGCACTACTGTCCAGTTGCGGTTCAGGAGCAGCGTCAGAAACACGGCACACCGAGACAGAGTTGGCGAGCTTCGTGAGCAAGGCATAGGTGGGCTAGATAGTCACAAGGTCACAGTCAGGGTCGACAGGAAAGACAGAGCCTAGCTCGGCCAAGCCAAATGAGACGAACCCTGAAGGGGTCCTGAAGAGAAGAAGAGGACTGAAGACAATAAAGAAAAGGCAGATGCCGCGGGGATCGAAAATCAAGGACGCAAGAGACAATAGACACGAGGCAACAGTAGACAGAGTGGCAAATGTCAATTATTGCAACCAAAAAAAAATAAAAATAAAAATGAAACTATGAAGATCGGCAGACCTGGATAAATCGCCCTGGCAACCGCAAAGCCGAGTTGGTAGCTCAATCGAGCGTGACACAGCGAAAAAGCACAAGATCAGTCACCCCAGTCAGCTGTACCGCTTTGCGCACAGTTGTGGGACATGCGATGGAAATTCACAGGAAAATGCAATTAATTTTGAAATTCGCACGCAATGGTCGAAGACCTGTAGTGCTGTACCCAACCATCTTTTTTTTCTTTTTTTTTTTTTTTCTTATTCTTGTGTCACCTTCTTTTCGCCCGTTTTTCTTTTTTCTTTTTTCTTTTTTCTTTCTTTTTTTCTTTTTTTCTTTTTTTCTTTTTTTCTTTTTTTCTTTTTTTCTTTTTTTCTTTTTTCTTTTTTTCTTTTTTTCTTTTTTTCTTTTTTTCTTTTTTTCTTTTCTTTTTTTTTTTTTTTTTTCTTTTTTCTTTTTTCTTTTTCTTCTTTATTTTCTTAGTGCCCGCTCGCGATCGGGTGCCTCAACCTCGGCTAACGTTTGGGGGTCCGATCGAGACTCGGATTCCGATTTTATGAAGCAAAAGAAAAAGGCTCTGGCACGAGCAGCCTCTGTTTGCTTTGATGATTGGCGCAACTGTAACGCGTCTTGTGCTCCTCAGTCAAAATGGGCACCTATCACCACAGCCTGAAGCGTTGCTGCTCACGCCGTACAGCGAATGCACAAATTGGTCTGCCGCAGTCTCTCACTTCTTGAGCTCACATGTGTACACTGAGATCGAAGCGTCCAAACCAACACAAGACCCTTGTTGTGCCTACTGTTGGCCGTTCCGCACGTCGCTCCTTCCTACTTCCACAAGCATCGCTGCTTTGCTGAGCCTTGAGCCTGTCCTCCGCTGTGTTGGACCCTTGCCTGCTCTTCCTCGGTAAAAGCGACACCTCACTGCGATGGTCAAGTGGACCTTTTCATCGTCCGAGTCAAAGGGCATGTCAGTCTGCACTCCCTTCCTGCCGTAGATTGCTATTATGATTTTTTCCAGATCCATCAAACATGAGTCTTGGCCACTCTCTGGAACCTGCTTGGAGCTTCATCCAGGGGAGGATGCTGATCGACAGCGCAAGCGAGTTCCATCACTTTGACGTTGATCACCATGGTGGATTACAGTCTTGGAACCGAATCGCAGTGCAGTGCAGTAAATTATGGTACAGCGTATCCACATTCTCGTGTCACAAGGCCTGTCTAGCGTCTGCATAACCGTGGTTGCCAATCACCTCGAAAACATGCACGGCTTTTCACAGCTCTCAGCTAGCTACAGACAGGGTCCCCTCGCCTAGCCTTTGTGTCCATGAGTTCGTCAAGAAGATCGGGTCTTTCCATTCGCCGTCCATTGTTCTATTATAAACCCATCAACAATGACTTTAGCCTACCGGCAGAATTAGAAACAATTTGAGAGCAAGGCTAGATGGAGAAGGAAACGTTAAATTTCAACCGGAGTGAGCCTTGTTGCATGCGGACAAGACTCGCTCTCTCTTCTGTCTCTCCAAGCTTGTTTGCTTTGTTTGCTTGCCGACGCCCCAAAATCCTGTACCACGTTTCAGACGCTTCTACAACCGCAGCGGCTCTTTGTCTCCCAGGTCCGCCGCCATCGAAGAATGCTATTTCCATTTACATCATCTGTCAAGATAGCATATCCATCCGCTTTTCTTTGGCCTCCTGTAAAAGCGTATCCATCGTGTACCGGTACTGCAAGAAGTAAGCATCTAAGACATCTGGCAACTGACATCTCGTGTCGAGAACGTAAAAACCTTCGTTGTCTGCCCATCCCCAATGTACAGATTCCCTTGCATGCTCATCCTGCATGCTCATCCTACATCACTGCAACTTTTCATCTGTGTTAAGTCACGACCGCCGCGCCTTCTCCATCCTCCTGCCAAGTAAGCGAGTCAAGCCAAGCCAAGCAGCCCATTTAAGAGTTGCAATCCCCGGTCGCATCTCTCCCTCACATCGGCACTTTTGTGATACTGTATAGAGAGCACCCTTTCTCGTCACGAACTCAGTGCTACGTGGAGAGGAGGTGAGTGGGAATGTCGTGTCCATCAGATCGACGCTCACCTCTCATCGACAGGCGATTCTTTCTACTTGGTTGTGCCGGTACGGCAGTTATTTCTCATAGAGTGATGCTTGATCGGCTCTCTCGGGCCTGTCAAGCGTGTGGGAAGGGTATCGCCACACGCTGCAGTCAATCGCATTGATTTCCTTATGCTTGTCGCTCCGATCGGGTGGCTATGTCTCGCTTTCTTCAGATCCTCAGGACCCTGTTTGCTGCTTTTCCCTTGGCTCCCTACCGGCGCTTTCCAAATTATTCATTGAGTGCAGAGTGTCAACCATTATCAGCGGAGTGAGCGAAAGATGTTGGCGAGCTCGGCTAGATCTATCGTGGGCACGTTGGTAGGGATAAATCTGCAGCCTGGTGCCTCGAATACTTGTCCGATCCCATTGGAAGCCGTCTTTTCTCGTTAGCGACCCCTAAATTCCATCCCTCTCCTCTTTACGATGGCCATGGAGACCAAATCTTTCGAGACTAACCAGAGTGTATCACCTGACCCTCTTTCTCAAGGCTGACAGTCAAGGTAAGCTTTCCCGCTGCAGAGCGTACCCTTATTCCGGTCGCTAACGTCTACAGTACTTGGACTACATAAAACAGAGCGCATTCGCGCGGACGTTAAGCAATGGGGAAAATGAAATCGATGATGAATCGTTACCGCAAATAACAACTACTAAATAATATATGGGAGCCCCCAGAAAGTAAGTTTAAATTGATTAATTGAAATGTTTGAGCTGTATGTGATGAAAGTTGCCCGTACAGTTCTTGGAGGGGGAAAGATTCGTGAGAATCCGACCTATCTCGACGGACCCTATGCAGCTTTACTGTAACTTGATATTGTTTTTTTTTTTTCTTTTTTTTTTTTTTTTTTTTCCTATAGCTAGGTGTAGTATACAAGGGAGTAGCTTTTCTACGTCAGTGAAATACCTTGACTAGTCTAAAGAAAAGACTTACCTAATATTGATAACTTACTAATTTTCCTAAGAAAAATTCTACACTTTTCTAGAAATTTTCTATTAACTTTCAATTGAATTTTGGTAATACAGCTGATTATAAACAGATCGAAAAACCTGTTTGTAGGTATTTAGTAATAAATTATATGGGAAAATATCAGGTGGTCAGTTTGACTGGAACGGTAGCCTCTAATAAAGTATCAGAGGCCTTCAAAAGTATGCATATATTGGTCAGAAACCAATGAACTATGTAAAGTTTATTAAAGCGTGATAGTATAAGCCTGCTTGAATGAAAGACTGATAGGTCGATCAGAAACGCAAGTAGGATAAAATGATCCGGTGATTCATAATGGAATGGTCATCGCTCAAGAAATAAAAGTTACGCTAGGGATAAACTGTCGTCCCTATCTATTTACTCTGTATGTTATATTTATAGACAGTGGTTTAAGAAAGTTCAACGACTAATCGATGAGTTACGCTTGCGTCGTCTGTCCGATCCACACTTTCTCGCTGAAGCATGGCTCGGCTACAAACGTTTCCAGGGGGTCGCAAAGGTTACAGTACTGGGACACGCCCAACTGATGGCTGCATAAGCGTAATCGTACTGATGAACCCTCAACACCCGGAGTGAAGGTGAAGCTGGATTGTATCGTACGAGAGAAAAACCTCCACAATCACGCTCTTCAGGGTCCAACCGGAGAAATCACAATCATGTCTGAAGCTTAATCTTTGTTTGACTTCCTTCTCGTCTCAAACCACAACACTTCCAAGCTCGAGCACGAACCAAAAGACCGATGGTGGCGCTCCTTCTAGCGAGAGCTCAGTCTCGCAGATTCACACTCCGCTGCCTCCGAGAAGGCACTAGCAAAAGCGCCCATCTTCGCGCTTGCTGCATTGATGACAGATCGAGCCGAAGAAGCTTTGCAACATCCTCGCCAGCTCAGAACAACACGAGAGACCTCCAAGATGGACCTTTCGATCCATATAATGCCGTAATTGGCGAGCTCAAACCATCTACAGGCTTTCATAGTACCCATAGAGAAGGCCCGCTTGCCGGATGGACAGCAGCAATCAAAGCTAACCTGTGCATTCGCGATTCTGTCACGACCTGCTCCAGTGCCATGCTCCAGGACTATACTTCCACGTTTGATGCCGCCTCCGTCTCCCTACTTCGGCAGGCAGGTGCAGATCTTCGCTATGTCACTAACTGCGACGAGTTTGGCATGGGCTCCACGAATACACATTCATTTCATGGGGCTGTGCGAAATCCTGCCTCACCGAATTCATCAGGAACAGACGGGATCAATTGGAATCCAGAGGAGGACAGAGTCGCAGGAGGTAGTTCAGGTGGCTCAGCGGCAGCTGTAAGGGCAGGGCTTGTTCGGGTAGCGTTAGGAAGTGATACTGGAGGCAGTGTGAGGTTGCCTGCTGCCTATTGCGGAGTGGTGGGCTTAAAGCCGAGTTACGGACTGGTCAGTCGGTGGGGACTTGTTTCGTATGCTGATAGTCTAGATACAGTTGGTGTGTTGGCAAGTACCGTGGAAGATGCGGAAGCAGTGTACGATGTGATTGCTGCGGACCATGATGGGCGCGATCCAACCAGCGCTAGTATCGAAGCACGAAAGCAAGCGTCCGAAACAACGCAGAAGGTTCTAGACACACTATCCTCTACGACAAGCGACTCATCCATGCCACTCACGGGCCTGCGTGTGGGAGTACCAAAGGAGTATTTCCCCGTTGAACTTCATCCACGAGTCCTGCCACCTTTCCGAAAAGCTGTTTCTGCGCTGGAGAAGCTCGGTGCAGAGATAGTCTCGGTAAGCCTTCCGAGCACGCCCTCAGCGCTGAGTGCATACTACATCATCTCCTCCGCCGAAGCAAGCAGCAACCTCGCGCGATACGACGGTGTGGAATACGGCTACCACAAACATCCAGTCAAAGGATCCCACGCATACGCAGCGACACGAACGGCTGGTTTCGGAGATGAAGTGCGCAAGCGAATCCTGCTCGGCACCTTCGTATTGACGGCTGACGCATTCGACAACTTTTTCCTCCAGGCTTCTCGCATCCGAGCTAAGATCCAGAGCGACTTTTCAGACGTGCTGCGTATTCAATACCCAACACAGTTAAGTTCAAAAGCGAGAGACGCGAAGGACGACGGAGTGGACATGATCATCCACCCTTCAGCAGCAGACACAGCGCCAACGCTAGCATCGGCGATGAAAGGGGAGCAAGGAGTGGCCCAAGCTGGATTAGGAGAGTACGTACAGGATATCCTCACAGTACCTGCTAGTCTGGCAGGGCTGCCGGCGCTGGCGGTCCCAGCAGATGTCGCTGAAGACGACGGCTGGCCCGTCGGCATCACACTAGTCTCACAGTGGGGTTGCGACAAGCTGCTTTTGCATGTTGGAAAGCAATTGCAGCCCCTTCTCACATAGCCACACAATCATACGCAATAGGTCTACTAAGTGGCTTGACTGAAGCAAAGCGCTTTACAGGAAGTGTACCAATGAACAGCAAGGTTGTGCGACTTAGATCTTGCCATCGGCCCTGATGAGTGCCTGGCTGTTGAGCTCCCTGGCGGACTGGTATCCCGCCAAGCCGGCGTTCAACTCGAAATCCGCCAAGAGCGTCTTCAATACGTCTCTGACGCCATCCTCTCCGTTGACGGCCAGACCCCAACACCAAGGCCTGCCGATAGCCACCGCGTCCGCTCCCAAGCACAGCGCCTTCATAATGTCCGCACCGCACCTCACTCCCGAGTCAAAGATGACCGTCTTCTTTTCCTCGTCCTGCCTGCGTGGCAGCGAGTTGATATAATTGGCAATCGCGGGTAGCTGGTTGAGCGAAGGTACGGCACCATCGACCTGTCGACCGCCGTGGTTGGAGACCCAGACACCATCCATGCCTGCCTCAATGGCTCGTGCAGCATCGGGAACGGACTGAATGCCTTTGAGGACGATAGGGTCTGAACCCCAGAGTTTGCGGAGCAGAGCCAGGTCGGACCACGTGTGAGAGACACCTGGAGAGAGTTGAGAAATGGCGGCAACTGAGGCTTCGGTAATGTCGTCCTTGGTTGCGTCGGAACGGCGAGGGTCTTTGCCCTCGCAGTATTTACGGATGAAGACAGGGTCGGAGAAGACATTGGCTACTCCTTGACCTGTGAGGAAGGGGTTGTAAGCTGTAAAAACGAAGGACGATCACAAGAAATCGTCAGTGGTCTGTTCTCCGCAACTCGACGGGGTTCATTTCGGATGGCGTACCAGTGTCGAGATCTCTCGGCCTCCAGCCCAAGTTCCAAGTGTCGAGAGTAACTACCAAGACTCGGTAGCCTGCCTTCTTGGCACGACTGAGCAGACTTTCCGTCAACTCATCATCCTGGGGCCAGTAGAGCTGGAACCAGGCATCACTTCCGCCGTCTTCCTCGGTACCTTTGGCAAAACCAGCATACTTGTATACGTTTTCCAAAGCTCGACTGGTGGCAGAAGAGAGCGTGAACGGGATCTCCAGCTCAGCAGCAGCCCGTGCGGTAGCACAATCCGCATCTTCAGGGTGCAGCTGCGCTTGCACACCAATAGGTGCGACTACAACCGGAGTAGGGTAGTCTCGGCCAAAGAGACGAGTGCTGCCGTCAAACTCAGCGAGCGATACATTGCGGAGCATCGAAGGAACGATGTGCCATTTCTTGAAAGCATCCAAGTTGCCGTAAGCAGTGGACTCAGTTGAAGCGCTGCCCGCGACGTATGCGTAGGCTTCGGCTGGGATCTTGGCCTTGGCTTGCTGCTCAAGGAGTCTGAGGTCGGTGGTTTGAGGCTTGGTGCCGCTGAGACCGCCGACGTAGATCTCGCGCAGATAACCGGACTGGAAGAGCACAACATCAGGTCAACGTCAGGAGTCAACCGAACGGGAGACCACGAAGGGATCCACACTTACCTTTGGATCGGACATCGTCAGTGATGAAGTCTTGGAGGAAATGAGGACAGGCGGAAAGGGTAATGAAGAGACGTGAGAAGAGCAAGGTGTGGAGAGCACTGACACACAGCATGAGCGTTCCCCGCAATTCGTGGCGTCGTTCCAACCGGTTACCATTCTGTTTGCCGATAGCCGGTCTGACATTCGCAACAGTTATTTTGTGAGTACTGCATTGGCGCTGGATGATTCCAGGCTGGGATCGGTGCGTTTGGAGAGCGAGCAGTGATACAGTTGAAGTTCAAAAGTAGAAAACACCACTTTGTCGGGGCTACGATCAAGTACCCTTCGAACAGGTGTATGCTAACTGAAAATGCTTCTGTATTACTTAAAGGAAGCAAGGCTACATATATATATATATATATAACTTGACATCATCTCTGGGGATGTTGGACTGCCTCAGACAAATTGAGTATCTTCTGTCAAGCTGCTAAGTTGTCTCTTCTGCAGAGCTGCTGAGTTGTTGCCATGTCAAGCTTCTGTTGTAATGTGAAGAAGTTCTGTCCCGATAACTGGCGATCGGGGAGAGTCTGAGTATGATGTCACTGCAGTTTTAGAACAAAACATACAGCACATGCATAAACTGCCCCATAATTTTACATGTCACCATACATCACTCTAATGCTCAATAGCCATAAGTTGTATTGCCACACTGTCTGATATCATCTGAAAGCCCTGCTTCTTCTCTCCAAGACTGTGTAATTGATATTGACATTGACTAAAAAAAATTGTGCTATGAAGAAGAGCCAATTTATTTATTTATTGTGGGACAGTTTATGGAGTGTTCCTCAACAACACCTTAGTACTTCATATTCCCTCCTTTGGCCTTCAGAACCACCTTGATGCAGTCTGGCATGCTCTCTATTAGTGTCCTACATGTCTCTGGAGTGATCACTGTCCATTCAGCTTCACATCTCTTGAGCAGTTCATCCCTGGACTTCACAATTGTACTATACCATGAAAGTCACATTTTGAGATGGTGCCAGAGGTGTTCAATTGGGTTTAAGTCTGGTGACTGCACTGGCCATTGCATAACCTTAATGCTATTACTTTCCAACCACATTATTGTCTTCTTTGACATGTGTTTTGGGTCATTGTCTTGCTGAAATGTGATGTCAGTGTATGCATGCTGAAGCTGCAAATCTGAGATTGTTTTTAAAAGCTTGTCATTCAAGATATCAATGTATTGGTCTGAATTCATTGAACCCAGCACCAAGTGCATACCTCCCACCCCTTCCCACATCATACAGCCCCAGATCATGATGGAGCTGCTGCCGAACTTGACCATCGGCCTGACAAGCTTGCTGTTGAAGCTGGCATTCTTAATCCAACAGAACTGCTTACCATCCAGTCCAAAGAAGTTGATCTTCATCTCATCAGACCATACCACATTCTTCCAATCCTCAACAGTCATGTCCTTGTGCTCATTAGCAAATTTGAAATGGGCTTTGCAATGTCTCTTGAGTAGCTTCGGTTTTTTCACTAACCTTTGTGCTTTGTAACAACAGTAATGAAGTGCTTTTCTTACTGTTGTTGGGCATGCTTTGATGTGAAATGTCTCCTGCAGTGCATGACATGCTTTCCTGACTGTGGACATTGAATTGAGCTTGAAATAGTGTGTCATAGGGACGGCTGGCCTGCGCAAGAGAGTGCACCAAATGATCAGCGGCAGTTATGATAATGTCGCATAACGGAGCAGTATATGAAGGGTGCACAGAAGATCAACATATGAAGGGTGCACCAGATTGATCAGAGTCGACAACCATCGGGGATCAACGAGATTAATCGGGTTGGCAGCGCACATGATTTACGAGATCGATCAAATCCCGGGAATCCAGATCGATCTCATGGGAATGGTCGGAGTCAGCCAGACCAGTATGCTTCAATGAGTCGGCCAATCCGAACAAGTACTTGGAGCTATGCCGACGATGGAGGCAGTCAGATCAGCATGCCTCAACTAATTGGCCAATCCAAACAGGTATTCGGAGCTGTGCCAATGTCAGAATCAGTCAGATCAGCATGCTTCAACTAGTTGGCCGATCCGAGCAAGTATTCGGAGCTGTGCCGATGTTGGAGTCAGTCGAATCAGCACGCTTCAACTAGTCGGCTGATCCGAACAAGTCAAGATGGAACTGAGCCGACATGACCACACAACCAGGGGGTATGGTCACGAGGTTCAAAAGGGGATTCACAAGATTAAGACGAAAGGGGGCCGTGCCAAAAGGGGGCATCACACATCAGACAGAAGGAGAGCATGAAGGCAAGAGGGCAGTGTTGCATAACCCTTATGCCAAGCAAAACAGTAGGAGCACAGTATCGAAGGGGATGATGCCAGCAGGGCAAGGCAGTGCCTAACAGGGGACAAAGGCCCCTCAAGAGGAGCAGGATAGGTGTTGAGGGAAAACACTGATCGAATGTATAAATACTCTCTTTCTACCATAGCATTCGAGTGGACCAGCATCCACTCTGAAAACTCTACTACTTACTCTATACTTACTAGGTTACGTATCTTCGCAATAGCAGTGCTCTTGCAATGACTCTCAACGTGTGTGTTGTATCACTGTTAGTTGACAACTGTAGGTGGTGTTCCTTACACTAGTGGTCCAGTTCATTACTGTAGGCAGTGTTCTTTACACTAGCGGTCCAGTTCCTTGCTGTAGGCAGTGTTGCTCGACACCAGCAGTCCAGTTGGTTATTGTAGGTGGTGTTTCACACCAGTGGTCCAGTAACACACATCCTCTGTAGGTGATTGGCATATCGTGGTCCAGACAACATCCAAGAGCATATCAACAGTACTATGAACACTCATACTGTAGGGGAGGGTGTATCATGCACTCACCAACAAACAACGTCCATGCCGCGCAACCTCTGAATGGAGTGTTCAAGGCGGTCAGTCAAGACTTACTAGGCGACAACGCTTGGTTATGTTTAGGCGAATCATATTGAGTAGTCCTTACTCAATCAACCCCAGCTAGTCTCTGGCGCGCGACCGCTTACATAGTGGTCCAGGAAGCGAACATGACGAGGCTGGAGTTTTCTCAGCCAGCCCCCCTTTGACTTTGGAGCATCGGTGGAGGCACTTTTGCTGATGCGAGACACCGTAGACTTGCTCAGACCGAGTTTGAAGGCCAAAGGAGGGAATACAAAGTACTAAGGTGTTCTCAAGGAGTGCTCCATAAACTGTCCCACAATAAAAAAAAATTGGCTCTTCTTCATAGCACAATTTTTTTTTAGTCAATGTCAATATCAATTCCACAGTCTTGGAGAGAAGAAGCAGTGCTTTCAGATGATATCAGACAGTGTGGCAATACAACTTATAGCTATTGAGCATTAGAGTGATGTATGGTGACATGTAAAATCTTGGGACAGTTTATGCACATACTGTATATATATCTATGAGGTACATGCCGAATGTGGGAGTTGTCATGGGCATTGATGCATAAGAAGTAAGAAGAGCCATCAGTTCATATAAAGGGAGCGCAGGGATCAAGGAATCGGGCAATCATGGGAATTGTAACAGAATTCAGTGAGATCTGTAGTAGGAACAGTTCTATGACAGATCTCATTGAGATCTACATGAGCAATGTCAATATCACAATTTCTGCCAGAATCTGCAGTAAGCAAGATCATATGGCAGATTCCATAGAGATCAGTGATAGGGATGTTTGTATGACGATCTGCATGCAAGAGGGACCAAGCTCACATACAATGAGGATCAAGCGCTGCCAAGAAGGGGACCAAGCTCAAGGAGCATGCAGGCAGGTACCACTCAGGGGTCCACAAGATAGGAGTCAAGGGAGTCATTGCCAGTTGAAGGAAGAAGAGCTGTATCAAAGACACTGGCAAGCAGGTCATGAGAAGGAGGAGGAGCAGTGTCAAAGGAGTCAGCACATAAGCTCAAGAAGGACAGACAGGAGTGACAGGCAAGCAGGGCTCAATGAGGAGGAGGTGTCTCATCAGAGACTCTGGTATAGTACTCAGCAAAGAAGGTACTCTCTGGAGAGAGGGCCAGAGCAGTGTTGCTGGTGACACTGTGAAGAGGTATATAACCATACCTTCTCATCACAAGTGGTTGAGTGGATCCCCATCCACTCTACACACCATAACTAGTATTACTTCAGAAGCATAAGTACTCATTAGTTCAGTCAGCATAGTAGGAATCAATAGATTGCTCCTCATTGTAGTGTGTGTGTGTTGTATCACCACTCACTGACATCCAAAGGCAGTTCATAGCAAACCAGCAGTCCAGATTAAGATAGGACCAAAGGCAGTCATCCACTGTGGTCCAGGGATCACCTCAAGTGATAGCTGACACACTGGACACTCGTGTTGACACCACCAACCTCATCATCAACAATATACTCACACCAGACCTTGGTGTCATTGCAAGTTCACATTGTTATTGATCATGCCAAGCTACCTCTGAATGGAGTGTCCACAGCAGTTAGTTGAGACCTGCAATAGCAAAGCCCATACTACAGTTCCGAGCAAGAAAGTGATAGAGACGACTCTATTACATATTTTGCTGAGAATCGTAATACCACTAGCATTATTGCATAACTCGACAGAATCGGTAATAGTATCGACACTACTACCGATCTCAGGTTTCAGGCACACAACTGCTGACAGGAGTATCCTTCTTCATGATCTAGCTTGACAACGAGCGGGAATGTGTTGTACCCGATCTCTAGACAGATCGGTTCCGCCCGATCCCCGATTAGGGTTTATGTCAGCATATATCATCATGTTGGATCGCTTCCTTCGGCAGCTTCATGCATTTGACGTGTCTGAATAAGCTCATGGATAAGCAGCATGTGCTTTCACGAGCTTCGCTTCATCGGCCTCCCGGATAAATTCTGGAAATTCTGATGTATCTTCAACTAAAGGGCTTGGCCTCATGAGATTCCCAAGCGAGCCATCGAAGCCTGCTGAGTTCAATTCTGATGCGAAGTCGTGCGAGAAACAGGAACAAAGATGCCATACAAAATCGGCACCATTGATCTTGTCTAAAAGGCAAAAAGCCAATTCCGTTGGAACGGGTAGCAAGGCCGCCCGCCAAGCGGATTGGACAATGACAGTTCTGCGATTCGGAGCATCGAACCTACTGACGTTCTGCCTGGCAGCGCCCTGTTCCTGCAACATGCAATGTGAAGATGCTCTGTCTCGGCAGTGTGTTCGGCTTGCTGTTCAGGATAAGGCTTGAGTTGGCTTGGCAGGGGCACACGTGAACAGCGTAACAGGTTTAGCACAGCTTCACAATGTGACCTTGCTCCGTAAACACCTTGTCATTCCATATATATAATCAAGCATCCTGGTGCCAAAAACTGATAAGCCCAATCGTATAACGCTAGGTTATCATTCAACTGGCTATGTCTCTGTCTACTTCACCGTAGTCAGATCAAGGTGTCGACGTCGCTATGTGGTCACCGTTAGCCAGGGCTTCGCTGGTATTCCTCATTCTCTACTTCATCCTCTTCCTCTTCCTCGCCTACCTTTACGTTCTTCGCAAAGTCCCGTTACTGTCACGCTGGCTCGTACTTCTCTTGCACGTTACCGTTCGACTTGCCTCACAAGGATGTGGCCTTTCCTTTGGCATCATAGGATATGCGAACATCAATCTCCTTGTCGCGTATTTCATTTTGGGAGCTGAAGGATACTTTACACTCGTCGTCTGTACATTACGCTTCCTGATCGCCTGGCAGCGCAATCAGTGGGGCGGACACTCATGGCTGGAGCCGAACGACCCAAGTAAAGAACGCGGTGGTTGGAGGAAGAGATTTTCAAGGATGTTTCAGTGGAAGCACAGCAAAGGGTCTTCATCCCTCAAGGCAGTCATCATAGTCGATTGGATCTTGTTGGGCGCAAACACAATCATCATCTCCGGAGGATCACTCAGTTCTTCGGCCTACACAGATAAGGAATTGTCACCTAGTCAGGTGAGGAGCAGATTGGATGCCTCCAAAGCGTTGCGCGCGGCTGGACAGACTATCTTCCTGGCTGTCAACATGGCCTTGCTCGCCTGTGTTGCGATAACAATCCACCAACATCGACACCACCGCTATAGCAACACGCAGGTCGAGGTAGTAAGTGATACTCCCGCGCCCGAGAAGGCCCAAGAGCTTCCCGCCGAAGAGAGTCGCCGAAGACGACCATGGTTTGGCCATGCAACGCTGCTACTGCTGCTGGCAACATGGCCATTCTTGGCAATTCGTGGTGCATTTGGTGTTGCGCAAGCGATTGTACCTGATCTAAACGTAAGTAAATCTTCTTTGCCGTTCTCTGACCTAGAAAGCTGTACTAACGATTGCATACATTTCTTGCACATGTGATGCAGTACTTCAACTCAGAGGTGTATGACGCCAACAACCTAACTGCGCAGTTCGTCACGGAAGAAACTTGCTTCGTTACGATGATGGAGTTCATCAGTGCAGCTATCCTCGCCACCAGTTACTTCACAACTCGCACGAGGTCCTCAGCAGTCAGTCGAGCTTGAGCTTCTCATTCTATAATAACACATTGCCAACGAAGCTCTATCGTCGTGCTATCGAAAAATGCATGCGAACACGGTGAAATGTGAACTAACGCCAAACGGCGACAAATCGGAACTCGACGCTCTTTCGCGGCGGCGCATCTGGGGGAGGTGCAGGGTAGTCGCCCTTGAGTTGAGTGACGGCGCAGTGAGCTCCATATAAGGCTTCAGCTTCGCCATTCAGAGGTGGCTGATCTTGCTGTCAAAGAGAAAGCGAGTCATAGCATTTGAAGACGAGAACCTCGTCATTGGTTTGGTGTGGGATAAGGTGCCATTTTTGAGGAGAGATGAGAGCGAACAAGGTGGTGAGGATGTGATCCAATCTTATCAGTGGCAGCTGTCAAGAACTACGTTCCGGGACGCGGCTATCCGGATGGCAGGCGAAAAGATCGGCAAGTCAAATAAATCAAGGTTTTGGCGCGGGGAAAGAGTTAAGACTGCCAAATTCAAAGATATCCTTGGTTGCTCGGCCACAAACGCGATATTCAGTCCATCTCATCTTGAGCAATGAGGATCTGTAATCTCAACAATGGATCTCGACCGGCTGAAGGAGCTAGTTACACAGCGATGAAAGAATACAGCGCGAGAACAAAGCTTGATACGGAAGCCGTGACACGGACATTTTGAAGTCGAGCCCACTTTTTGAAGAGCGAGTCAACCTCGTTCTCATTGACTGGCTCCTTGTTGTTAGCAGCTTTTCTGAGCGCCATCAGCTTCTTGTTGATGGGCAAGATCGCAACAACAGTGAAAGGAAGCACGCTGGGAGTCAAAGCTGCCGAAGCCAGCAGCAGCCGTTTGCGCAGCTCCCAGTTCACGCCTAGGTGTTGAGCGAGAGAGCTTGTGTTGTTGGTGCCATGGGTGAGTGCGAATGTCGTCAAGCAAGCAGAGACGAGCAGGGAAAAGGTTGGGATGGTCATCAACCCTGCCTTGTAGGCGCGCTCCCAAAGCGTCAAACGTTGGGCAGTGTCGAGATTGGCTGCCCAGGGCGTGGGTGGAGAGATGTTGGCTCCTTGCTGATCGATAAGGTGTGTGTTGATGAGCAGTGGGTAGGATAGTGCCAAGCCTGTAGAATATCAAGGGGAGAATGAAGAGGGCGAGATTAACGTTACGTACAAACAGCAATATGCTGCCTTGGCCATACAACGACCTTGCACCTTGATCTGGACTTACCACTAACAATACCTGAGCCGGTCAGGCCGACAAGAGCAACAACAGGAGCAAACATAACGCCTGAAGCATCGTATAGGAGCGGACTGAACAGTCAGAGATAGAACCCCAAATCTGTTACGGTATTGGGCAGTGATTTGGAGGCTTGATGATGATGATGGATGGTTCTGAAAGCAGGATGAAGGTATTTGTCTTACTTGTGCGTGTCAAGCTTCGCCTTCGGACTGCGAAGAACACCTTTTTTGCTTGCTTTCCACACTGAACAGCGAGTACCGCTTGCCATGCTCCGGAAGTTGATCTCCGACTTGGCATCTCAAATTGACCCTCCAAGACGAGCAAGCAGCATAATCCTCAGCTTGCAATGCGCCCGTTCCAGCATTTTCTCCCCACGAAACACATGTCCGCGGTCCGCGGGTTCACGTTACGAGCATGGTCTCAAGTTAGAAGTCCATCGTCTTCTCGCCCACTCTGGCTGTTACTCGTCATGATGATGCTCGTAGATGCAAGGGGCATGACAATCATCTAAACGAACAGCTCTGTAGGATGGCTTTGCATTACGCCTTCGTTACTTTCGCAGGAGAACTTCACCGCACACCATAATGAAAACGCCGTCCGGTGATTTGCTCCACTCCAGCCAGTCTTGCTCGATCGCCTTCACATCTTCCTGTTCGACTTTGCCGGTATCAAGAGCCTGTTTCTGCCACTGCTCAGCGGCGACACGTTGTGCCCACATCTCCCCCCAGAACTTGGCGTGTGGCTGACCGCCGTACGCTTGGTTACTCGACGAGAAGGTAATGTGGTCTGGTCCAGCTGCGTAGCCCGCATCCAGAGCCCAGCGTACCAATCTTCGACCCGCATCTGGCTCGGCACCTATCGAGCGATAGATTGCTGTTGCAGCCTCGAGCCACACTCGAAAAGTTTCTGTCGGGGGAAAGAGGACAGAGGTAGTGAAGTCGGCTTCGCGAGCGGCCACCAGTCCACCAGACTTGCACACTCGCCGCATCTCTTTGAGCGCATTGACGGGATCCGGCAAATGTAGCAGCATTTGATGGCAATAGACGACGTCGAAAGCGTCGTCGGGATACGGAAGCTCAAACACTGAGGCCACTTCGAAGCTACATCGTTCAGCTGCGCCTTGCTCGGCCTCAGTCTTGGCGTTTGCACGCAGTCCGTCGAGGCGCTTGCGAGCATTTGCGACCACTTCTACTGAGTAATCGACGCCGATGATAGTGCCGTCAGGAACGTAGGCAGCTAAAGAGGTTGTGATCGTTCCTGGTCCGCAACCAATGTCCAAAATCTTGCCATCACGTTTAAGATGAGGTAAGAGAAAGGCAGCTGACGTCTCAGCGGTCCGTGACGAATGAGATTTGAGCACCGCCTCGCTGTATCCCTGCGTATATGTGCTTCCAGGTCCAGGCTCGCTCATCGTGCAGTATGAGATTTTGCTGAAAGTCGACCTTGTGCAATCGTGATCGAAGAGTATGACGGTGAGAGAGAATGTTAATGGTACAACACTTGAGTGCTCTTCAAGAAGTCGCACTTGAGGCCGGATACAGGGTCCGTGCACAGCCGCTTGGCTTAGGAAGATGAGATTGATCCGAATTTCCGCTCTCGATCAACCGGCGGCGAACCTTTCCGACAGGCTACTGAAAGTTGCAGACGATGCCACAGAGGTAATCACTGAAGCGACCAGGACAGAGTACAACGCAGTCCAGGCTGCTAAATAGGCATTGAAAACGAAGCAAACATGGGTATCAAGTGTAAAGAAGAAAATGCAAGTAGAAAAAGCAAAAGAACGTGTGGGTGAAGGAAACCATATCTTGCGAGGAGTGTGGCTCTGACGAAAGTACGTCTCAAATCTTGTGGACGACCACACCGCTTGGAGGCGGCAGGCGGCTGTGGACTTTTGTTCTGGGTGTAGGTAGACGTCTTTGAGGGATGCCTGAAGCATTTGATGTAGCTGTGCGTATCGGAGAAGCTGCCACCGTCTGATCGGCTGTGGCTCTTGCCCGCAGCGAAGTGGTGCTTGCTGCATTTCTGAGACTCGGAAGCTTGGAAGGTGTGACTCCGCCTCCTACGCTGCTGATGGCTTTGGACGGAGTCGTAGCCCGATGTCCGTCGCTATATCTTGCCGTTCTCGCGGCGCTCTGTACCGCAGAGATGTCTCTCTTGGGCAAGACGACGTTGGGTGAAGGCAAATCTGTCGATTCCATGACGGCGTCAGATAAGCGAGCTTCCAGACCGGCGACACTCTGATATCGGCGCATCGCAGGTTTCGGTGTGGGAATGGCGCTGCAGCTGGGCTGAGCAGATGTTGTTGTAGAGGCCAGGGTTTCCGACTTGGCAGGAAGGGGTAGTGACGGTCGCGACGGCTTGTGCTGAAGCGTAGCTCGCGCAACGGGCAGTCCGCCGCTCTTGCGATGTAGCACGGCAATGGCCGGGCTTGCTCCGGATGTCCCACCGGCAGCCTTCGACGACGCTGTGGATGTCGGCGATTCGGCGCATTCGCCTTGCTTGTTAGCATCAACCACATCCTCGACAAAAGCAGGCGGCTCAGCATCAGCGCAGCTTGTTGCGACCTTCTTGTTGCCTTGGCTGGCCTCTGTGCTCGAGATAGTTCGAACGCGCAGTAGCGTCTCGTCAGTGCTGCGATACGACCACGTGGTCGCAGTGGAAGCAGTGCTTGATCGATCAGCATGGAAGCTGCTCCAGATTTCGGAACCCGCCATTGTGTCCGGCGTGTCCTGCATGTCAGGTGACTGGACGTCATCTGCGACCTGATCGACCTTGCTCTGGTCAGTAGCAGACGTGTCCTTAACACCCGATAACCCAGACTGCAAAGACTGTTGTCTCGCCAGTGCGACGGGAGTCTGAAGACCTCGCAGCCTCATCGACATGCGTCGTTGAATAATCTCAGCCAGCACCTGGTTGAGCTTCTGAGGATCGTGTCCACTTGTTCCACCTGAGTCGCTGATGTTGGTGTCGTGGCCAGAGCTGTGTCCGATGGAGTGGCCGGTAGAGGACAGCAATTTGTCCGCTTCCTGAATGATCTCGATCACGCTGCCCATAGAGCTGGTCCTCGAGCGCGTCCGCGTCTGCAAGGTATGCTGTGAATCCTTGCTGGCCTCAGGAAAGGGCTCGTTGCCATCCTCCGCCGAGATGCCGCTACCATTGTCGGAGGTATTCGTTTGTGAAGCTGGACGAATGAGTGTTGCATCTGTTTCGCTGCTGGCCCGACGCATTGCGGGCTTAACTGGGCGATGGGGAGGGTTAGAGAAGCGCGATGTGATCGTTTGACCAACCATCATGTCGAATTCTTCATCCAAAACGGTCGTGTGCGAGAGTTCGGCAGAATCGGGTTCGACCTCGGCGGTCAGCAATACCTCCTCATCGTCGCTCGGGTTGGTCAGGATGCTTATATCGGGGCTCGGTGATCGCACACGTAGCATGGAAGGCGAAGCAGACCCAGCTGATCCAGACACCTTCACAGTGCCCATCGCTGCCATTGACTTAGATCTTCGCAGTGTGTTGTCGCTGCGCTCAACCTTGGTAGGTGCACTGCTCGGCAGAGAAGGTCGTCCTGAAGTTGTCGTCCTACGAGGTGTGGAGAGCACTGTTGGAGCATCTCTCTGATCGTCTTCGTCGTCGGAGCTGCCCCATCCTACGTGACGAGAGATGCGCTGAGAGCGGATGCGGTCCAATGCTGCCGAGATGCGGCGAGATCTCGCAGGGATCGAGGCAATGAGTCGTCTGGCCGCATCATTTCCAGAGCTGCCTTCAAGGATGTTGGTAGAAGCTGAGTGTAGCTTTCGCTTGTATCCTCGAGATTCATCCAGCACGCCCGAGCGCTCGGCGAGGTCCTGTAGATCAGCGTTGACGTCCAGATCGGATTCTTCGTCGCTCCCGCCATCGGAGGCATGCACGGTTTTGTCAACGGCTGTTGCGAAAACACCATCTCCATGACTTTGACGTCGAGACATGGAGGAAAGACGAGGAGCGCGGATCCTTGAGGGCCACAGTCCGGGTTGATCCAGCTCTGAGTCCAAATCATGCAGGCTGAGCAAAGAGGCAACGCTACGGCGACGACGCAGCGGCACGTCGAAGCCAAGAAGGTCCATCCGAGAGGTAGAGTTCGGAGCTGATTCGTAGTCCGAGGCTGGTCTAACGTTTCGACTTACCTCAGCATCTGCACGATTGACCCGACAATCCCAATCCAGTGCGAGTGAGTCAGTGGTGGGAAATCTGGAATCGGTCGGCGAAGGCTGTGGAGATGTCTGCATAGCGAACTCGACATAGACCTTGGGTTTGGCCTGTTGTACCGTTGGACGTCTTGACAACGACCAAGGGGTCATGGTGAACATGGAAGCAGCATCGTCGGGTCCTACACCCTGATCAGCACCAACTGCTACTGGCCAGCGCGTACCATAGTCGCCGACGCTGGGAGCCACCGAGTCTGCGTAGCCTAGATTGCTCATCGATGAGCTGCGACCCGACGCCATACCTTCGACAGGAGAGCTGACACCGAGCATGGTAGAGACAGAAGCGCGGAGATCGGCCGACATGCCTGCATGATTGGCGAAGGACAGGGCATGGTCGTGAATGGCGAAAGGGCGATAGCTCATGGCAGCGAACTCATCCGACATTTGCTCTCTGGCGCGATGCGCTGCTTCAACTTGCTTTTGCTTGGCACGCGCAGTCGCGCGGATCTGACGCACCGAGACCGGGCCGGTGGCTGAGGTAGAGACAGATGCGAGCGAAGCAATGGATGTCTGGCGCGAGCGCATACTTTCCGAAGCACGAGCAACGATGCTGGACCATGTGCCGCGTCCTGTCAGATCGCGCGGTGATAAGCCAGTTGGCATGAACGGTGGAAGGCTGGGCGAGAACTCGTAGAAAGCGTATGGGTCGGTGCTTTCCGTCGTTGTTGCTGGCGCCGCTGCGGCAACCGAGGGAGGAGCAGAAGGAGCGGACGCGGCCATGTCCTCCTCTTGAGTGGGGTTCAATGTTGACTTGAATGTCTGACTCGGTCTACTCGAGTTCGCGCGGTGACTAACAGATGGCCGCGAGCGCATGGCAGCTCGCTGTTCCTCGAAGCCAAGATGATTCTTTCGAGTGGATTTGTTACGCTTCCTGGGCATGTCATCCGATGGGGAGGCTTCTTCTTCTAGCTCCGAATCGTCGACTTCGTCGCCTTCAGGGTCCTCGATGCGAACCACCGGTGCAGTGAAGCGGGACGCCATAGTGCTGCTAGAGTGTCGATATGCGTCGTAGATGGAGCGGAACTCGGCACCAGCACCAACATCAGTGGCAGTGTCGGAATGGTGGCATTGCGAGGGTAGACTCTTGGCACTGTCGGAACGAATGAGTGATGAGTCGGCCGTGATGGGCCCTCTTGAATCGTCCAGCGAATGCTCCTGAGAACCAGACGCACTCAACGCAGGCATCGAATCAGATTCTGGAAGCGCTGGCTGTGAGGACTCGTTGCTTGCATCAGGACCCATTCGAGATGCTGGAGGCCTGGCATCCAGCAGTTGCGACTCTGGTAATTGAGCAGTATCGACGTGTTTGTTTGTGAACTCCATGCTGTCTGACTCGCCAAGGCGCTGGCCCCATTCGCTAGCCTCGAGATCAAGAGCGGCCACAAGCTCGCTCATGCTTTTGGTCATAGTGCTGCTGCGCTGATGATGCCTCCTTTGTGGTTGAGATCTTGGGTTCGACTTGGACTGCGCTTCATTCTGAGCGTCTCGCATAATCTCGAGGCGATCCGAACCGGGTGATGCTGAAGTTGCGGCCTGTGTTTGCGCTTCAAGCTGTTGCTTGTGCTCATGCGAGCGATCACGCAGCGACTGTTCCGACCGAAATCTGGAAAGCGAAAAGCCCCTTGCGCCGAGCCCAACTTGCGCCACGCTAGCTCCGGATTGAAGAGTAGTTTGTTGAAAGCTCTTTCCAAGCATGAGAATTCCCTTGTTGTCTGTGAGGTCGAGCACATCAGAAAGTGCACTGTCGCTGCTGTCCTCACCTTTGACAGCGCTGTTATGGCTTGCACGTTGGTGGGGCGTGTCGAAGTGCCTGTCCATAGGGCTATCCAAGACTGGGCTGAGGGTTCGATTTGTGGTGGGACGCGATCGGCGCGAATGAAAGGCACGGTGTGTGGAATTGAACGCCGACTTGCTGCTGGGATGAGAGCCATTGCGATTGAGCAGGCGAGAGACGGGAGGCGGAAGCGACATGACAGTGGCAGTGGGAGATGGGAAGTGCTTGGCTATGGTACGAATGCCATCGAGCTCTTCGTCTGAGATGTCGCTGCGCTCGCTTGGGCTGGGTATGAGGTGAGAGGAAGAAAGACTAGGATTGTTACTCTGCCAGCTTGAGCGAAGACTGGTTGATGAGCGTGAGGAGGTAGCCGTTGCAGTAGAGACGCGACTGGATCTTCGCGATGACCACTCTCCCTTCCTCACAGAGGGGCTGCGCGTGCTTCGGGGCGAAGTGAGGGGCCTAGGAGGTAGAGGTGCACTGGGCGGTGGGCCTAGAGGCTTTGAGGTGGTTGAAGAAGGGGCATTTCCGAGGGTAAGGTCCTTGTGACTGGCAGCACGAGATCGTGGACGCGAAGCGAAGCTTGCTCGAGCACTCGAGCCGCGCCTTGAAGGAGGATCGGAAGAGGATTCTGTGGCAGTGGTGGTATGGAGACTGTGAGCGTCAGTGTCATCATCGAGTAAGCAGCTTATCTGGGAGCTGGACTCGTGGGAGCTGCTGCATGCTCCTTCGGAAGCAAACGAATGTCTCGAGATCCGTTTTGGTCCGCGATGTTGGGAGCGAGTGGTTCTTGACCGAAAGGTGCTGGGTGGAAGCGGGAGAGTGTGTACGTAGTGACCAAGGACTGTGCTGTCGGCATCATCATCCTCCTCCTCCTCCTCCTCCTCCTCGTCGTCGCTAGCGCGAGAACTGGCGTGGGCCCCTGATCGTGATAGCGAAGGTAGGGCGGGTAGCTGCTCTTGGTCATCGAGACCAAACCAGGTGAGTCGGTCTGCATTGGCGTTGTGTGAGTCGTGTGGACTCAAGCTGATGGAAGCAGAGAGCTGGTCCTTTTTCTTTTGTCGCAGAAGCAAGATCTTTTGACGAACGTCGATACGGTCGTCGATCTGCTCTATGCTTTCTGACGGCGGAGGCGAGGCGAGCGAGGAGGCTGCCGTCATGTTGCTGAGAAGATCCGACATAGTTCAGGTGAGGATCATTGGCGGTCAAGAACCTTCAAGGGGACTGTGGAATACACGCTGAAGGGTAGCTTGCAGCTTGGGTGACGGGATGTGAGATTATGAACGCCCGAATCGGTCAAAACTAAGCACATGTGTCGGACGTAAGCTGCAAGGAGGCGTCGTTGAGGAAAGAATCCTTGCTCTCTACCTTGAGGGGAGAAAGAGCCCGAACCTTTCACTTTGTTGCTTTCAGAAAAGCCCGACTGGGGGCACAACTACCGGTTTTTTTTTGGAGAGCGGAGTCTTCGCTGACGCAAAGCTGGTACTGGCAGAACACGGAAGGTCGGTGTTCTAGCTGGCTGTGGAGAGAAGCGTTGGTGGGTGCTGAGCGATGAAGAGGATGAAGCAAAAGTCAGCACAGACCGTGGGAGTATCGAGAGGGATTGAGGAGGATTGAGATCAAGAAAAGTGTATGGCTTGCATACGGCTGCGAGATCAAGATGAAAGAGGGTCGCAATGATGATGTTAAAGTAGGGATGGAGGAGTGATGTTGCAAGTGGGCTGATCCTGTTGGAATGAGGAGGTGCGTGTAAGACGGTATCTACAAAGCAATACGAGTGCAGGCTTGCGTGTTGGTGGCTGCGAGAGAAGGATATGATGGAGCCAAAGAGATGCAGAAGAGTCGGCGTAGAGAAGCGGTTTGGTGCTAACCAGAGCGACCAACCCGTCTACCAGGATAAGAAGAGGTAGATAGAGAAACGACTGTCCACTGAACGAGTGTGGAGAAAAACGGCGAGCAGGAAAAGGATGACGTTTGAGGAATGGTGGCGACAAAGAGGAAGCGTGTGATGGGAGGTGAGAGGGAGGGAGAGAGTTGGTGAGTGCCTGCAGGTGGGAGAAGCGAAGAGGAGGAACAAGGATATGAGCAAGCCAAACGGTACCTGTAAGAGTAGTAGTGACTGCGGCTCAGGATGTCAGGACCATAGAGGAGAGCTGCAGTAGTATGCAATGCAAGGTGATTCGAGACTAAGAGAAAGTTGAGCGAGCCTTACCGGTTCTCAGCCTTGATCTTACAAGCAGGCACGAAGAGCGCACTCCTCTCACCTCGACGACACTCTCATCCTCACACTAGCATGCTTATCGCAGAGAAGCAGGCGATTGTGTGAGTCAAGCGCAGCTGCTGAAGCATTGTCGCATGCACATCCTGCCTCTTTTGTTCAGCGCTCATGTCCATGCTCACGCTCATACTGACGAGGGATACTGTCAGATACAGAAGCCGGGCGGACGATTCTGGAAGGAAAGCTTCCAAGTGCACTTTGCTCTCGCCAAAGGACTCGACAACACATCGAGATGGCGGCTACGAGAGCAAAGGTCGAGACCAACAAAGGAGCCAGTGGGCTTACACTCGGAAAGGATGCAGGGAGAGAGCTTTGCCGAGAATTCCCACGCCATGGCAGTAGCGCGGCTAGTAACGCCCACCATCATCTCGATCCCCAACCCACTCTTTAGAAGCCGCTCTATCCTCAGATCTTCCGCAAGGACAATATGAAGAATGCAACAGTGCCCTGCGTCACAGTCCAGCTGTCGAGTTTTGCTCCTTAACTTGGCTTCTCATGTGGCTCTATGAAGGCGTCAGGCGTTCGGTTGTCTTGATTCTTTATTGGAACTGACAGGTTCCCTATGATGTCTAGCAGGATACAATCTCAACCATCTCCATGTCTAGTTGCTTCGGCTTCTTCTCCCTCTTGTTTGCAAAGCCTTGATCCTACCATCTCAAATAGTGCAAACTCTCAACATGCCACGAATTAGGCGTTTCAGCACTTTCAGTTGGGCTGTGCTAAGTTAGCTACTCTCCGCATTGATCTCCAAAGCACCTCGTTCTCATATGTCCAGTATCCTTCTTCACGGCAAGCTGAGTGATAAAGGATACTGTATGGCTACCCCTTTTTCAAGCTGCGCCAAATGGAGCTGTCTCGCCGACGATCGTCAGTGTGCATCTGTGACATTGTTAGATTGCTTTGCTTCTCTTGTTCACTTTTCAGGGTTAGGGTTAAGCATGTATTGTCAATACATGACGATCAAGTGGATGACAGAATGAGTGACGCATCCAGCAGTTTGTGCGCTGCGTTGGCCGAGGCGGGAGGTCCTTTGGGTCCCCTCTTCAGCCTCTCCTGCCCCGCCTTCTTCCACGACTTTCGTATGTCGCTCCCTGTCGGTCGACTTGACCGTTTTCTCACCCTAGCTGTTGGAACGCTTGAGAATGAAAGAACTGCATCATGGTCCTGCAAGTAGCTCCTGAACTGCTCGGCTGCGCCAAGGCAGCAGGAACTTGACATTGTCCCGCTCGGACTTTCCCAAACACTTCGGCAGGCTTCTGTGCATCCTCGACCTCACACTCTCCATGACGCCAGGGCGACAGACTCGCATCCTCCCAGCACAATGGATCATGAAGCTGGCGCTACCATTTCAGAACAACCCTCATGCCGGGCAGATTACGCCTGCAACGCTGCAAAGTCAAGCTGGAATGCTTCCAACCAAAGGCATGAATTATGGCCAAGAAGCTGCTACTGTACACTCCCTTCCGAAAGTTTGGGGACAGGCCCAAGTAGATAGTCATTCAACTTGTGCAGTAGCATATCTTCCATCCGCTTGGACAACTGATGTCTCATCAGTGTCAAGCTGTACCAAAAACACACAGTGAGCAAGTCTGACACAAGAGCTTTCGATTGCAGTGACTCCCGGAGCCGACTGTCAGGGGTCGCGCGCACCGTGAAAAGGGCTCATCGATGCATCGAGAGTCAAGCGACCTCATAGGATCGAAGGAACGGCCGTAGAAGGCTTGTTGCCATCACTGGTGGCAAGCAAAGACATATGGAAAGAGGTATCCAACGCAGGGGTCCAAGCATAGGGGCACATACAGGTCACAAAGGGCCCACACAGGGAAATGGACACACGCAGGTTGTAGAGGTGTCCACACAGATCAGGAGGGTTCGGAGGAGCAAGGGCAGTGTCCACACCGCTCAACAGGAGAAGGAGCAGTGTCGAGGAGGTGTCTACACCGCTCAGAAGGAGCAGTGTCGCCGGCGATACTATACATTCCTATATATACACATTCACTTTGTTACAGTGGAAGAGCAGAAGCTCATCCACTTGTCATAGGACCGGATGCGCAGGAGGAACTGGAATCATATAAGAAGAGACCATGCACAAGAATCGTAGGATCGGGCAAACGAAGGGTTCTGACAGAGTTCATCGAGATCGGTAGTGTCATGGGACCGGATGGCTGCGCAGGAAGAACTGGAACCATATGAAGAGACCATGCGCAAGAATTGATAATTGGGCAAATGGAGAGTTCTGACAGAATTCAGCAAGATTGGTAGTATTGAGACTCTACAACAGAATTGTCAGAGGTCTCGTGCCTGAAACCTGATATCTGTAGTAGAACAGCTTCTATTACAGATCCTGTCAAGATATGTGGTAAGGTACTGTGTATTATTATTTTGGTCAAGATCTGTTGTAGAAGGCCTCTATGACTTTTCTTGCTTGAATATGTGATATGTTGATTGCTATTGCAGGTTTTGACTGACTGCTGTGGACACTCAGTCCAGAGGTAGCTTGGCATGATCAATAACTATGGATGGATTGCTATGACACCAAGGTCTGGTGTGAGTGATGCTTGTTGGTGCTGACACAAGTGTCCAGTGTGTCAACTGAATGCTTGAGGTGATCCCCAGACCACAGTGGATGACTGCCTTCTGTTCTATGATCAAGAGAGCCAGACTGCAGTATGAACTGCCTTTGGTGTTGATCAATGTCAATGAGTGGTGATACAACACACATGCTATGTTAGATGCAATGCTTTGCAATTGCAACTGTTGACAGAATACTAACTATACTTTCTGTGAAGCTATAACTAGTGATGTAAGGTGTAGAGTGGATGGGGATCCACTCACTTGCTAGGACAAGGTGCATGGTTATATAACCATTCCTGTAGCATTGCCTGCAATGCTGCTCCTGCTCTGGGAGGTGTCTTCAACACTGCTCCTCCTCCTTGTCCTTCCTATCCTTCCTAACTGTCCTGACTACTCCATGAAGTCACTCCTTGGTGCTGCCCCTTGTCTTTTCTGTGGATGGGGTCGCTTCATCCTTGATAGGGGCCTCTCCCATGTCATGGGGCTGGATGCACAGGAAGCTGGAAGATCCATCAAGCTCATATGAAGGGAGCGCAGGAATCAAGGGATCGGGCAGATCGTAGGATTTGAGGCAGAGTTCACTGAGATCGGTAGTAGTACTGGCTCTATGACAGATCTCGCTGAGATCGGTAGTAGTACTGGCTCTATGACAGATCTCGCTGAGATCGGCATGAGAGAGGATAGTCCTATGAATGCAAGACCAGCACGAGCAAGGATGGTACTACAGATCACGTTGAGATCGGTAATAGAAGAGGTGGTATAGCAGATTCCACCGAGATTGGTAATAGGAAAGATCATATGGCAGATTCTGCAGAGATCAGCGATAAGGATGATCGTACAACGAACTCACGTGTAAGGAGTGGGACCAAGCGCCGCCAAGAAGAGGACCAAGCTCAGGAGCATGCAACTGGTTACCACTCAGGGGCCACAGGATTAAGATCTGGAGAACTGTCGCCGGTCAGAGGAAGAAGAGCTGTGTCAAAGACACCGGCAAGCAGATCATGAGGAGGAGGAGCAGTGTCGAAGGAATCGACACACAGCTCAGGAAGGACCAAGCCACAGACAAGCAGGACTCGACAGTGAGGAGGCGCCTTGACAGGGACACCTGTACTGTGCTCGACGAAGAGGGTACTCTTTGGAGAGAGAGCTGGAGCAGTGTTGCTGGTGACACTGCAAAGAGGTATATAACCATACCTTCTCATGATAAGTGGTTGAGTGGAACCTCATCCACTCTACACACCATATTAACTAGTTATCACTTTAAGCATAAGTATACATTAGTTACAGTCAGCACAGTAGCAATCAATAGATTGCTCCTCATTGTAGTGCATGTGTTGTATCACCACTCACTGACTTCCAAAGGCAGTTCATAGCAAACCAGTGGTCCAGATTAGATAGAACTGAAGGCAGTTGTCCACTGCAGTCCAGGGATCACCTCAAGCGATAGTTGACACACTGGACACTTGTGTCAATGCCATCAAGTATCATACTCACACCAGACCTTTGGTGTCAACATCAAGTTCACCCAACATTGTATAGTTATTGATCATGCTGAGCTACCTCTTGACAGAGTGTCCACAGCAGTTAGTTGAAATCTGCAATAGCATTACTACAACTACAGATTTGAGCGAGAAAAGTGATAGAGACAGCTCTATCACATATTTCACTAAGAATCGAAATACCACTAGCATTGTCACATAACTTGACCGAATCAGTACCAGTATCGATACTACTACCGATCTCAGGTTTCAGGCACGCAACCGCTGACATCCCACTTCATCTGGGTGGCGACTCACCCCCTTCTTCATCTCTCCCATCACTCCCACTCCGAGTTAATCATCGAGTCGGCCCCCTGCTTCATCAGGGTGGCGAACCCAATGCTCCCACCATCTTGTCCTGCTGAGATGTCTTGTCAGAGATTTGTGAGATCAGCATCCCCTGCGAGATCTGTTGTACAATCATGATACTACAGATTCTGGCAGGCTTTGCTGTAAACTCCTGCTCATACTGATTTGGTCAGAATCTGCCATAGAGCTTTTCCTACTACAGATTTTGGTGAACTTTGCTTTTAACCCTTGCTTAGCCCGATCCTGCAATTCCTGCACTCTGTCACAGGGTCAGAAGGATAGCGCAAGAGAGTGCGCCAAATTGATCAATGGCAGTCATGGGAATGTCATGCAACAGAGCAGTATATGAAGGGTGTGCAACAGATCAATATATAAAGGGAGCACCAGATTGATCAGCGCCAAACCATCAGGGATCAACAAGATTAATTGGGCTGGCAATGCATATGAATTATGAGAATGATCAAACCCTGGGTTCTGTCATGGGCCTAGATGCTCAAGAAGCAGGAGGGTCACTGATTCATATGGAAGGAGCACAGGTATCGAAGATCTAGTTGATACCAGTAGAGAGCATGGTCATAGTGCAGTCTCCATGGAGACCATGGACTCCTACAGACTCACATGCAAAGGAGGACACGAGCCACATGCGAGGAGGGCCAGGCACAGCCACAAGGAGGACCAAGCTCAAGGAGCAGGCACAGCCACAAAGAGGACCAAGCTCAGATGGTTACCACTCAGGGGCTCGAGAGACAAGAGTCAAAAGAACTGTCACCAGTCAAAGGAAGAGGAGCAGTGTCGAAGGAGTCGACACCACTCAAGAGGCACAGGGGTGCCAAGCAGGAGAGGCCCCTGAGCAGTACTCGATGAAGAAGGTGCTCTCTGGAGAGAGAGCAGGAGCAGCATCGCTGGCGATGCTGTGAAGAGGTGTATAACCATGCTTTCTCATCATCATAGGTCGGGTGGATCCTCATCCACTCTACTCACCATAACTAGTTATCACTTCAGCATAAGTATATATTAGTTTCAGTCAGCATAGCAGCAATCTATCAAGGTTGCTCCTCATCATAGTGTGTGTGTTGTATCACCACTACCTGACATCCGTAGGCACCTCATAGTAGGTTAGTGGTCCAGATATAGATAGAACTGAAGGCAGTAGTCCACTGCGGTCCGGGGATCACTTCAAGCGTCAAAGTCAACACACTGGACACTCATGTTGACGCCACCAACCTTATCACCAACACCATCAACCTCATTATCACCAACACTCACCAACCTTATCACCAACATCATCAACCTCATCATCATCAACACTCACACCAGACCTTGGTGTCATCATAACCGAAGCATTGATATTGATCATGCCGAGCTACCCCTGAACAGAGTGTCCACAGAGGTCAGCCAAAACCTACAATAGTATATACAACGAATGCCACCTGCTGTCACTGCGCAACGTGATAGTCACTGATACCAGGACAATAGCTGTTGCACAGTTTGATAGTCACCGAGTATCTCGACAGACCGACCTGGGTTTCAGGCGCGAGACCCCTGACAGGTTCCAGATTAATCTCATCGGGGATCAGTTGGAATCAGTCAGATCAGTATGCTTCAACAAGTCAGCTGATATGAGCAAGTACTAGGAGCTGTGTTGAAGTGACCACATGACCAAGGGGTTTGGTCATGAGGTTCAACAAGTGGCTAAAGGGATTCACAAGATAAAGTTGAGAAGGAGCTGTGTTGAAAGGGGGCATCACACTTCATCAGGCAGAAGGAGAGCATGAAGACGAAAGGGCAGTGTTGCATAACCCTTATGCCATGCAAATGGTAGGGGTGCAGTACCAATGGGATTGATGCCAGCAGGACAAGACAGTGTTGAACAGGGAACAAAGGCCCCTCAAGAGGAGCAGGATAGGTGTCATGGGCAACACCAATCAAATGCATAAATACTCTCATTCTACCATAGCATACAAGTGGATCCTCATCCACTCTATACTATACTACTTACTCTATCTACTTACTCAGTTATGTACCATTGCAATAGCAGTGCTCTTGCAATGACTCTCAATGTGTGTGTTGTATCACTGTTAGTCAACAACTGTAGGCAGTGTTCTTCAACACTAGCAGTCCAGTGCCCTTACTGTAGGTGGTGTTCTTCAACACTTGCAGTCCAGTCAGTTATTGTAGGCAGTGATTCACACCTGCAGTCCAGTAACTCCTGTCCTCTGTAGGTGATTAGCATATCACAGTCCAGATGATGTCCAAGAGCATTATCAACAGTACTATGAACACTCATACTGTAGGAGAGGGTGTATCACCCACTCACCAACAAACAACATTCATGCCATGCAACCTCTGAACAGAGTGTTCAAGGCAGTCAGTTGAGACTTACCAGGCAGTGATGCTTGGTTACATTTAGGCGAAACATATCGAGTAGACCTTACTCAATCAACCTCATCTATACTGAACAAATAACACCCAAAACCAGTCTCTGGCATGTGACCGCTTACATGCTCCTCGTCATATGACTTCGGATCTTCCTGCTTCCTGCGCATCCGGTCCCATGACAACTCGTGTTGGCGCAAGCATATTCACACCAGACCTGGGTGTCACCTCAAAGTATCTATCAACTAGTGATTGTGCCAAGCTACCTCTGAGTGGAGTGTCCCCAGTGGTCAGTCAAAATCTGCAATAGATATCAGCTATGACATATTCAAGTGAGAAAAGTCATAGAAGGCTTCTACAACAGATTTCAGCAAGAATAGTAATAAAGGCCTTTTACCACAGATCTTGATAGGATCAGTAGTAGTTGTCTTTCTACTACAGATTTCGGGTTTCAGGCATGCAACTGCTGACACTGCATAGGCAGGCATATTTTGTTGAAATAAAGGAGTCACTCAGCGACGATGATCGGGAGATATCAGCCAAAGTACAGTGTTCAAGCTAAAGAGCAAAGCACTATACTATATTGACATGCTAGAAGTGAATGTGGTGGGAGCCTCGAGCTCCCTGCCAGACTTATATACAAATGTGTGGCACATGCCCAACTGTGGGTGTATCCTACCTAATGACAGTGTGTAGCAACAAGTGGGATATGGTTGCATCCAATCTCTGTCCTGTATCAGCTCAGCCCGATTTTCTACCTGATTTGCCTCATCTGATCCCAATCAGATCTACTTAACCTGATTGCCAACTGAGCCTTCTCCACCCAATCCTCTACAGATCTGATCTACATTATTCCTAGATCGGACTAGAACGCAATCTACAACAGCACAACAAGAAGTTGGACTCTGACTTTTGTCTTTTGGTTTGCTCTCGTGCGAAAGGACTTTACCCCAGAAGAAGAAGAATCAGAAGAAGAGAGGGCAGGCAGGGAAATTTAATCTTTTATCGACTCGAGTCAGACTCTTCTTCTTGGGGCCGACCGTTAGAGAGTGCCGCCTGATAACGGCCAAAGTGTGAGAGGAGATAAAGCTTGGCTCCGCATGGACCCACCTAACGTTTCACGCCGCATTCCGTGGAAGAGTCATAAAGTAAAGATACTTGAACTGCCTTGTAGCATTCTGATACCTTCTTCTTCACCACGCACACAGTAACACTGCAACAATGGCTTCGACATCAGACGACTTCACAAAGCGCAAGCTTTGGGGCGGCCGCTTCACCGGCAAGAATGACCCCCTTCTCTTCGCTTACAACGAGTCGCTATCCTACGACAAACGCATGCACGCTCAAGATATCCGAGGTTCGCAAGCCTACGCCCGTGCTCTCGTCAAGACGGGTGTTCTCAACGAGCAAGAGAAGGACCAGATCGTCGCTGGTCTCGAAAAGGTCGGCGAGGAGTGGAAGAACGGCACTTTCAAAATTCACCCTGATGACGAGGACATTCACACCGCCAACGAGCGTCGTTTGACTGAGCTCATCGGCGCCGTCGGAGGAAAGCTGCATACGGGCAGGTCCAGGAATGACCAAGTTGCCACGGACATGCGTCTCTGGCTCATTGACGAGGTCAAGGCTATCGAGGGTTACCTCAAAGACTTGATTCAGGTCATGATCGCCCGTGGCAGGGAAGAGGTCGATGCTCTCATGCCCGGATATACACATCTTCAGCGCGCACAGCCCATCCGATGGTCGCATCTTCTCCTTTCCCACGCAACCTACTTCGCTTCCGACTTGGCCAGGTTGCGTGATCTCATGCCTCGTATCTCGGTCCTTCCACTCGGCTCTGGCCCTCTGGCTGGCAACCCATTCGCTGGTCTCGACCGTGATGCCATCGCGGCCGACCTTGGATTCCAGACCGTTGGACCCAACTCGATGAACAGCGTCTCGGATCGCGACTTTGTTGTCGAATACCTCATGTGGGCCAGCTTGACTGCCGTCCATCTTAGCAAGATGGCTGAGGACTTTATCATCTACTCTACCTCCGAATTCGGTTTCATGCAGCTCAGCGATGCCTACAGCACTGGCTCTTCCATCATGCCCCAGAAGAAGAACCCGGACAGCTTGGAACTGCTTCGAGGGAAGGCGGGTCGTATCTTTGGTCAGATGTCCGGCTTCATGATGTCGCTCAAGGGGATCCCTTCCACCTACAACAAGGACTTGCAAGAAGATAAGGAGCCTCTCTTTGACGCTGTCGACACCACCAAGAACGGCCTCCAGATCGCTACCGGTGTCATTTCTACCCTCAACATCTTCCCTGAAAAGATGAAGGCAGCCTTGACGCCCGACATGCTCGCCACCGACTTGGCTGAGTACCTAGTCAGGAAAGGCATTCCATTCCGCGAGACCCACCACATTTCCGGTAGCGCCGTCCGACTGTCCGAGCAAAAGGGATGCATTCTCTCGGAATTGACGCTGAAAGACCTCAAGTCGCTGTCAGACAAGTTCGAAGACGACGTCATGCAGGTCTGGTCCTTTGAGCAGAGTGTTGAGCGTCGTGATGCCAAGGGCGGTACCTCGAAGCGTGCTGTTCTCGAGCAGTGCGACACACTCGAGAAGATGCTCACCTCCTCTTCCGCTTAGAGGCATCCACACACCATTGCATCGTCTCCTCTAGACTACACACTCCACAAATGCAAAAACTCTTTCATGCTGCAACTAGTCCCGTGCCTGTAACTCGTCTGCTTATCAGAATGTACATGTGAACCTGCATAAACACTTCAGTTATTTGAAGTCAGAAGCGGGTCAAGATCCCCGTCGTGGGTCAAACCGGCCTTGGCACGTCTAACACCCGCTTTTGATGATGGAGTAGAGGTTGAAACGACGGCAGCTCGACCACCTCGGAGAATCCGGTAGGTCTTGTTCCTCCATGAAACTGTGCTTCCCAAGATCGCCCATGCCCAGATAGGAAGCGCTAAAGCTTCACGAAACGCCCAGGCGGCGGTAAACTCGACTATGCTCATCCGATCCGCATTGTCCACGCCAGGATTGCAGGATAGAAACTCGTGTGCAACCGACAACCGCTGAAAGACGGTGTAGTCGACGCTAAACCATGCACCGAAGTGCAAAGCGAAGAAGAGCACTCGGGACCAGAAGGGCAGAGGCTCTGAAGTTGATGACAACGCAGGCGAGAGGAGAGTAGAAAGCGCAAACCATGCGACGATGCCGGAAAGAATCGACTCGGTGAGTGGCTCGAGCAGGGTCGGTGCAAGCACCATGTACTTGCGCACGCGGATCCATCGCATGCGTCGTCTTGTGTAGTCAGCTAACGTTCGAATGTCGCCCACTGAAGTGTAGGCTAGATCGGACGAGGAGAGTGTATGAGAGAGATTGAGAGGCAGATCCCAGAGCGACTGCGCAAGCATGTTGTCCTCGGCTAGGTAGATGGAGAAACGAGCCAACGGTCGAGACAGCGTTTTGACTTGATCATTCGACAGCTCCTGACCGCCTTGGTTCAGAGTGTTGCCCTGGCGTGCATTGTTCTGTACGGATGGTGAGGCGGCCCGGCTTGTTGGAGTATGTGGAGAGGGCTGAGGCTGCTGCGAAAAGGCAAAACTGCCAATAGCGCCTTGCTCACCCTGACTGCCCTGATGGGACACATTGAAGAACGAATCGGGCACGCAAGCAAGGTCTGACTTGCGAAACATGTTGCTCTTGCCCATGACGCAAGAGTCAATGCTAAGAGCGTTGAGAGCAAGATACATTTTGGCGTGTGTGGTGGAGAGGAAGACCCTTTCGATTCTTGAGCCCCACGATGTGCTAGGCAAAACTGCAAAAGGTACGTGATGGAGAAGACCAACACGATCACCGTGAGGTTTTCGCGGAAGCCATGTCGGTGAGGGACGAGGCCTTGAAGCCGGCTCGGCGCAGAGATCGTCGACAGCACGTGCAAGAGCGCCAGACGGTGACCACACCTGGCTATCTACGACCCAGAGAATATCGTACTTGGAAGCTGCGTAGGAGTGAACTAGGTTGTTGATCTTTGGGTTGACGCCGGCGAACTGATCGCCGACGACGATACGAGCGTCGACCTGAGGGTGGGCAGCGACCACCATGCGAGCGACGTTGAGCACTTTTTGAGACTCTGGCGACGAAGTATCGCGGATCGACAAGATGACCTCGAAGCGCGACCTGGGATAGTCCTGAGAGAAAGAGGATGAGAGATTCGAGTAGAGATTGCTATCGAGGCCGCTGAGTGGACGCAAAATGGAAACGCCCGGTACAGACTCTGCGTGGGAGTCAACTTCTTGCTGTTGACGGCGCATGAGCGAATCAAGGCTGCTTGAGTCCTCTGATTCATTGGTGAGTATCGCAGAGGATCTTGGTGGCGATAGCGGTGATCTCGGAGACTCTGAGTTGGCGAACTGACGTGCTAAGCTGAGACCGAGAAGGCATACAGTCCATATCAGGAAATACCATGCCAGACCAAGGTACGCGAGGACTCGCGAAGATAGAGATGTCGAGTCTGTCGCTGTCATCGCTGTGTCCTCTTGAATTTGCTGTGCGGAAGCTGCGGTGCTTAGGACGATGAACAGAAGAAGGTGCTCTACAAGACAAGCCTGTGGCCACGGCAACCGCCTTGAGTACATTGTTGGGATCGAAATTGCGATCGCCTTGGGCGCGAGATGGGATCCGAATTGATGGTATTGTATCAGATCCTTGGCATCCTGACTATGAGAAGTGAGCCAAGGGTGGAAAGCTGAGACGGTACTGTCTTGAGAATGAAGGCAGTCTGTGCCAAGTGTTGGTCTCGTCAAGAAGCGCTGAATAGAAGAAAATGACAGACGGAAATTAGTAGCCGAAAATGAGGACCAAAAAAGGGATCACGAGAATCAAAAGTGGAGGATGCATCACGTGATCAGCCTTGAAGTCCTGCGCGTCTCGGCTCGCCTTTCTTGACAACTCTCTCCGCTTCTCTGCTCCTCTCTTCACTACCATCATCTCTACCAAAGCCAGGGCATATGATTAGCAGCCTGGTTCGTCGATTATTGCCCTCACTGTACACCCACCCTTGCCGTTCGTGTCTGTGCTCGACCGGCCCCCTGTTACGGCGGGCCGGGAGCCTGCTTGTCGAGCTTCGAGGACCTCACGGCTCTTTGCCTGCAATCCACTTAATTTTTGTTCGTGTTAGGTTTATACTTTCTCGGTTTTATTTCGTGCGATTGAGTCCAGATGGGAATTTCTTGAGCTTAACATGGTCATTCACATCAAGCCCGTTTTGCCTCGCTCTCCTACGCCATACCGCTCCACAGCTTCCTCCCAGATCTTCAATCATGAGCTCGATCTTGCTGTCAAGTCTCATTCCAGCCGGAAGCAGAAGTCAAGGCGCAAGCACATCCATGCTCCGATTACCGTCTCACCATGTCGCCACATCACGGCTAATGGCGACAGCAACGTCATCCTGTAAAACATTCGGTACCTTCTCACCTACTGCATCGCGTCGATCTGATAGCGATGCAAAACCAGCTCAGTCTGCTCAACGCATCGACGAGGTAGAGTACCTTCCAACAACCTTCCTAGGACGGACACTTCTCACAGCTGGTAGTGCGTTGGGATTGCTTAACAACCCTGCTCGCGGAGGTAAGCAAAGTCACTTGCACCAGCCAAGGTCTTGGTCTTGACAACTGACACATTCCTCCTTATCTTTTCTCAGATTTGCTCTCTATGCTAACGCAGGTCTCTTCAGGACCGTCGCTCGCACATTTGCTCGAATTGATGCGGTCAACCGAGTCAGGACGTAGATTGCTTATCGAACGACCTTCTGTCAACTCCGAGACTGTTGATGTTGACTATCTCGCCAGTCTAGAGCGTGGAAAGTTCGGCCGCGAATGGATCGAATGGCTCAAAGAGAATGGCGTTGGTCCCGACGGACGTGCCGAGGCGGACTACATGTCAACCTCGGAACACAAGTACCTCATTCAAAGGTATCGTGAATCGCACGACTTCTACCACTTGCTTCTGCGCATGCCAGTCACTCAACTCGGCGAGACGGTAGTCAAGTATTTTGAGATGGCGCAGATGAACATGCCTGTTGCTGGCTTTGCTGCTGCTGGTGGTACGCTGCGCATCTTCGGTTCCAATCTGTCCTCGCTGCCAAAGCCTTCACAGCTTGTTTCTGCTGCGCTCAACTCTTCCGCTTCGGCTACATCGGCCACAGCGCAAGGTGCACCTTCGTCGACTGACTTGGCATCACTTCAAACGCTTGTTCCTTGGGCTTGGGAAGTCGGCAAGACATCGGTACCGCTCATCTCCATCGAGTGGGAGCGATGCTGGGAGAGAGATATTGACGACATGCGACGCGAGTTTGGCATCACCCATCCACCCATCCATGTAGCCAAATTTTCCGGTCGTGCTCGAAATAGTGGCAAGAGAAGAGGATGGCCTTCGAAAATCCTGCAACATCAGAGGAACAAGGAGCTGCAGCGAAAACAACAGCAGCAAGAGCAAGAGCAGAAAGAGTAAGAGCAGCAAGAGTAAGAGCAGCAAGAGCAAGAGCAGCAGGAGCAAGAGCAAACGGCGAGCCACGTTGCAGCAACGTCGACATCTGCTTCATCCTAACGAAAGAAGAATGCCCATCCGTGTTGCGTCGACAATGTATTTCTAACACAGCATATGTGCTGCCGACACTGTCTGTGGTGGAACGAGTGAGACTTAACCTGCCCTTCAACCAAAGCTCGAGATGTGAGACAGAGGCGAGAAGGTAAAGTGGTGAACAGGGGAAATAGCAAGCCGTCGTCGGTCCATGCATCTCAAATTGCGCCCAATTTGACGCCCGCACTTTGCCGATCCAACTCGCAATCCTCCGGTTTGATCCATTTGGAACGCGCCACCACCATCCTTCTCGACAGTCATTCTTGCTCTTCCACCTTCATTGCTTCCCTCTTGTCGCTCCTCGTCCAGCTTCTGCACCAGCTACGATCAGCTCGCAGGTCCCTATTTCGTACCTTGCGAGCAACTTTGCAAGCAGCTCATTCACCTCTCGGCGACCATCAATAGTCCTGACTGCACATCTTCGCTTTGAAGTTAGAGTCGTGCAGACAGCCGTTGACCATGTCTGGAAACGAGCCAGTGCCCAGCAGAGGCGGCCCTTCCAACAGCTCTATTGACCCAGATCCGCCGCAGCTAGCATCGCCACAGATCGCAAATCGCATCAACCTTGTCACTTACGGGCAATCCACCATCAAGGCACTCATCGATCCGAGTTTACCCGTCCAGGACGTGATTCGACAGCTTTGCGCCAATGCTCACCTCGGTGTTCAGGAGCCACCAGCGCTCTTTGCACTCAGAGATGACGATAACGACGAGCTCATAGATGATGCGAACATGGCTAAGAAGATCGAAGCAGGCGCCAACTTTAAGCTCAGCTCTTCGCCGACAATAGAGGCTGTCGAGATGGTGGACAAGCTTAGCTCTCGCGATGATCGAGTGCTCAAAATGGCAACCTATACCCTGCAGAGACTCATCCGCGAGCCGCAGTTCACCGACGAGTTCGTTGCCAGAGGAGGTGTCAAAGAGCTCCTCAATGTCATCTGCAGTCACTCTTCCGGCAACACGCTGGCGTACGCGCTGACCAGCTGTCAGAACCTCATGGAAGCTTACGAGTACGGATGGGAGATCATCGATGCCTCTCTTGTCGCCAAAGTCGTCAACTTGCTGGCTTCGCAAGAACGTATCAACGTTTGTCGACCCGCCACTGCCATCCTTAAGAAGTTGGTCGTCTCCGGTCCCAAGGACTCGCCCAAGACCGGACGTGTCGTCGCCGATGGCCGAGGTGCTGCTACCACATCCGCTCCTCCCGTCTATCGCTACGGCTTCGAATTTATCTATGACGAGGTTCAACGCGAGAAGCTCTTTCTCCAGACCCTCGTCAACCGCATTGGCAGCTCCGACACCACACTCAAGCTTTACAGTCTCAGCCTAATCAACAGTCTGTGGCGAAATGTATCTGACGACCTGTTCGAAAGCTTTACATCCGAACTTGAGAAGCTTAACGCCTCTAAAGCAGTAGCATGGCTCATGGACTCGAATCGCGGAGACGAGCTGGCCTCGTCCATCCTCGATTACCAGAGCAACGTCATCCGAGCCGCACACCGTAGAATGCGCACAACTGTCACTCCGACCGATAAACGTCATGTCCATGCATTGTCATACATCTGGCTTCAGGCAAAGATCAGCGACGTTGTCGTATCCAACAACTTGGCGAATCAGAATGGCAGCTCCAACGACGAACTCAGAGCTTCTGTCGGCGCGACCACAAGGTACAAATGGCGCCGTATTGGATTTGCTTCCGAGTCTGCAGCCAAGGAGTTTGGTCGCACCGGCTGGCTCGGTCTCTCATGCCTCGAATCCTTCGTTCGTTCCGATCCAGATCTCTACTCCAAGATCATTCTCGAACAGATCAATCGCCCCGAAGTGCGACGCTGCATGTTGGCTCGAGCTTCGATCGAAGTCACCTCCATCCTTGCCGACCATTGGGACATTGAATCGGGCTCATACACCACTTCGACCACCTACCTGCCCTTCTTACTTTCCTTCTCCAAAGTGCATAACCTCACCCTGCGATTCTTTCTGCGCATGTGGAACGAGTCCGGAGCCGCTGCTTCTGACTTTTCGCGTGTATCGGCCTTGGTCCGCAGTCAGGTCAACGAAGCATTGGGCAAGCAGGAAGAGACGATCCGGACATGGTTCGAACTGGAGGACGCTTTCTTGCATTCCGAGTATCGCACTGTGCGTGACAGGCAGATGAAGGAGTTGGAGGTAGACGAAGACTACAACGCCAAGTCATCGATCCGCAATCTGCGCGGAAGGATCTACAGGGAGAGCTACGAGTTTGTACGACAGCAGCGGATCCAGTGCTTGCTTGAGGGTGCGTGGTTCCGCAACCTCTCGACAGTCTCGGCGACCGCAACGGGTAACGGTGCCAAGCATCACCGACCATCTGCCAGTACCGTCGAGACTGCTCTACCGGCCATCACCAACATGAACGGCGCATCAGCATCTCATAAGCCATGGCGCTTCTACCGACTGGCGCCGAACAGAAAGTACCTGTACTACTGCGACTCGTCTGAGCGCTTCCCCATTAGAGGCGGACTGGACGACTTGCCGGAAAGGTTTGATCTCAGCTTGGTGACCGACATTGCGCATAACGGCGGAGGAGCAGACACGACTGGCAAAGCCGCAGCAGCTACTACTTGCAAGATGGGGGCCAGTGGCGACCTTGCGATCAGCTTGTTACAGTCTCCTGACGCATCTTTGGCCGAGATGCAGGCATTGAACGCAAGTCAGTTTTCGGAATGGACTGATGGACTCAACATGCTGCGCGGTGAAGGCGGTGTTGTGAGTACACGAGAGACGGCCGACCTGATTCAAACACTCACCGATATTGGCATTAAGGTCAAGTTGCTGGATCTTACGGGCGAGAAGATTGAGCTGCCAATCGCAGTGCAGCCACCACCTCTTCCTTCGACGACCGATTTCTTCTTTGCCGAGCTCTGAATATTACTTTGTAAGCTTTTCGCACTTTCTCAATCAAGTGCTATATACCCAGCCGTGTACTCCAACAAAAACGCGAGCAGTGTATGATTTGCACTGAGATTGACTAGAGAGAACCGACGAGATGCTTGCGATGGACGATAGAAATACAGATGAATGAGGTGACAGGTCTGGTCGTGCGTGCTGAAGAGGTCGAGGCAGGTTCACCCGCGTTGGAATCTGTAAGAGCGCCATGAGGCATCAAGGGATGTCAGTGGCGACACGTCTAGCTGAGTTGCATAGAAAATCCGGATATTCTACTCACTGTTGCTGCTGTTGTCTTGCTTTGCGTAGATATGCAAGATCTGTTCTACTGGCACCAAGATTGACTACCTTTGGACACCCGTCACGGTCCTTTTCAAGCCGTGTACATTCAGCGCAATAGTATGCGTCCTGTGTGTGAGCAAGGGTGTGAGAATGATGGAGTTAGTATGCTAGTCGACCTCATCTCTGACTTTGCTTTGTCTAAGGCCTGGCAGATGTACTTACGGAAACACCTTGACCTCCACATATGATGCATTTGCCTCCCGAGGAGCCGAAGTTGCACTCTTCACAGATGCGAACCAGAGTAGCGGGACGAACGTAAGAGTCGCAGATGGGACTAGCGGGTCGAAAGGCGGGACGTAGTTGGGAGAGCGTGGGCGAAAGAGTGTCAGTAAATCCGATCGACAGTTCGTCCTGATCTTTGACTGTGTACTCACCATTTGCCATCGTCTTTCTCGCATAGCCTTCCAACAGCAATGCCTGGAAGCTTGCGGCAGAGGATAAGATCGGGGTGGTGTCTGAACGGACAAAGCCAAGAACAAACGAAGTAGATGAGGTTTTTAGGTTGTTAGCTCTATCATTATAGAGGTGGTAGCATATCGGTACTTTTGTCGTGCAAGCTACTGTCGCAACTTACTTTGACATGGTGAGACGTTATAGAAGGATGGAGGGCAGGCATCAACATCTTCCAGCTTGTCTCCAAAAGGGAGAGGCTCAGTAGTCAGCAGCTGTTGCTGCAACTCCGAATTCCGAGGATTGCTACACCTTTCCCGCTTTCCGGTGGAAAAAGCTCTCCAGAGCCATCAGACTCGGCAAGAGTTCATGTGAACAATGATAAGCCTAAAGTTGCAGTATCACAACAGCGCTTCGGACACAAGTCAGGTATGAAGGCTGTTCACATGCTATGATCGATTGAATAGTCCCTGAAACTGCTGATACGAAGGTGTCTGTCAGGCAGAATTCGGCAACGCAAGAGTAGCGGTTCGAGCCAACGGAATTTAGAGCTGTGCTCTGTGTGGTAATTGCCGTGTGGAGATCTAACACTAAACCTAACAGTCCCCGAACCCGAACAATAGCCGGCAAAGCATCGGTCATTTGTCTCAATCCCTTCTGCTTGCCAAATGATCTTCTCACCCACATCATCCCCCCGTCCTAAAGTCCTCTATTTGCTCGTTGTCGCAGACGTCTCGAAACCCTTGCTGCATCTCCTCGCTCAGCCATGCTATTCTGCTAGCAGCTTCCCCAAATTGCCTTACCAAAGCTGCAGCAGCTCAAACATTGACCATGAAGTCTGGACGACCCTCGGTCGACGATCTAAGCTCGCGTCGCAGCGAAGGAGCTTCCTCGGCTGCTCCCAACACACCCGAAGCCAATCATCACGACTCACCGGGCGATGATTCCAAATCCTACTCTCGCGGCACTGGCAAGCGCAATCGCGTCCATTTTGCCTGCACAGAATGCTATCGCAGAAAGCAAAAGTGCAACCGGGAGACACCTTGTCAGCATTGCATCGCTCGCAAGATCCCGGAAAGGTGCAAGACATTCCAGCCAGGCGAGGAGACCAACGATGTAGCCTCTCGCCTCAATCGAGTCGAGCGCATTCTCGAAGACTATCTTCCCAAGCTTGCTCAGCAGATCGAGCATCTCGCTTCAGCCACGCCTTCTGCTTCCGCTTTTCACAGCCACAATGCCACCGCATCAGGCAGCCGTCTATCAGCTTCTCGAAGCACTGCGACATCGAAGCCAGTATGGCCCGACAGCAGCTTCGCCAAGTCGCCGGAGCAAATGCACTCTCGATCCAACGATCAGGACGACGATGGCAACGACGAGCTCGAGACCGACGGTCGATACAGTCCAAAGACAGGCTTCTACAACGGTGGATCCATGGACATGCGCATCAGCTCGATTCTCGACGATCTTCCAGGAAGCTCGACCAAATCGACTCCTCTCAACCTTCCCATCCGAACGCTAGAGGGCCCTTCTGATCTGGACGTTGTCATGCCCGAATACGGCTGCCCAACAGCCCCCACCCCTGATCTGCTTGGTGCTTTCAGCACCCGTGCCCACTGCAATGTCCTCATCGATCATTTCTTCAATGACATCAACTGGATGCGTCAGCCCTTGCCGCAACAGAGCCTTCGCAAGTCGTTTGAGGCTTTCTGGAATTCCGGTCCCAAGATCAACGCTTCAAACATCAACATCTTTGCACTCCTCTGCAATGTATGCGCCATCGCTATGCTCTCAGTTCAACACCCTCTCTTCCCAGAAGGGCCGCGCGATCGACTTAAAGCTGCACGACGCTATCACTATGCAGGCCGACGAGCGCTGCTTATGAGCTCCATCATGGGTCGTGAGGATGTCGACCAGATCGTCGCATGGCTTGCCTCTTGTCGTTTCCTTCTGCTTGACCGTCGTATCGGCGAAGCCTATACACTCGGCTCTTCTGCTGTCCGAGCTGCCTTCAGTATTGGACTGCATCGCGATGGTACAAAGCTCGGGCTTTCCCCCGCCGAAACTGAGGCCCGAAGGCGTGTATGGGCTTCTGTCTATTTCCTTGACAGAGCGCTCGCACTCAATACTGGCCGTCCTGCGGTCATTGACGATCGCGTCTGCGACACGCAGGTACCTAGCGGAGTCATGGACGAAGACATCTTCCCGGCGCCCAAGCATCCACCCAAGATGCCAGAAGGCGTCGAACCTCCCACTGCTTACAGCTATACCGTCTTCCGTCAGCGTATCGCCGAACTCGAAGGTCGCATCCTCGCAACTTTCCAGAATCTGCAGCATCCTGTGCACGTCAGCGACGTTCTCGCCCTCGACAAGAGCATGCGCGAACTGCAGGACGGCTTGCCTTTCTACTTCCAGGCGCGCCTCACAAAAGATGGCGTCGAGTGTGACAAGTCCCTCGATTCGACCTACGGCTTCCTCAACGTTCATCGCTTCCTTTTGCATACCGAAATCAACTCGGTTCGTATCGCTCTGCATCGACCATACCTGCTTCGCTCGGGTGGCCCGAACGGCGCCAAGTTCTTGCCGTGTCGCGAAGCCAGTCTCAACGCCGCTTTGCACGACTTGGAGATGCGAAGTGACTTTGTGCAGAGCCTCAAGAAGCTCAAGGTGGACGACGAGCCATTGCTCCTCTATCGCGTCCAGATTGGCACCTACAAGTACTTCCACTCCTTGCTCGTAGTTGGCGTGGTCCTGCTCATGGACCCGAACAATCGTGATGCACCCAAGCTCAAAGCGCATCTGGAGCATTACGTCAACAACTACCAACGTCGGCCCGCAATTCAGCGCGATGAGATGCGAGATCGCGAAGCCAACGTCATCGGCATATTCTTATCACGTATCGAACAGGTCGAAAAACTGGCTGCTGCCTCCAAAGACAGCTCGACGTCTGCGAACAACCATTCTCGCGCGCCAAAAAGAGGTCGTTCGACCGATGCGGCTAAGCGCAACGAGAGCGATGCGAAAGCTAGCAAGCGCAGCAAGGATGCTGCAGCGGAACGTGGAGACCAGAAGTCTGATGCTCACCTGCTGCTCGGCCTGGGTGGTAGCCGATCTGGCCAGGACAAAGAAACGGGCTCGGACAGCAAGAACGGCTCGAGTACAGACGCCAAGTCCCGCTCGCTGCTGCACCCGTCGAACAAGATCGAGAGTCTGACTCAGTCGCCACGCCAAGATTCAGCTTCAGCTAATTCGTCGGCGCCAGCAGCCAAGCGCAAACCCGGAACAGGCTCAGCCACCGCTTCTCGACAAGGATCCGGAGAGTGGTCCTTCGACCCGCGTGAATTGACCAATGCTGTTGGCCCTAGTCCCTCCGGGAGCAGCTCCAATAGCCCGTCCACCTCTTCGATGCCCGTGGCATTCTCCAACACCAACGTGGGAGGCGACTCTCTGACCACAGCTTCGTCGACGTCATCCTTGGCTCCTGCCCCGAATGGCGGCGGCGAGGATGCGCAGCAATTCTTTGATGCATGGTACCAGGCCGAATGGGCAGCCGCCACGATGCCTTCATACGACGCAGCTTACAATGGAGCCAACGGCGTTGGAGGTGGTGCAGCTGGTGCCAGCCTTGGTCTCGACTCGCTGGGCAGTCTTGGCGGAGTCTTTAACTCTGTCGGCAACGGCTCAACTTCGCTTGGTCAGGGACTGGGCGGAGGCTTCAACGGACTAGGTGGAGCTTCGATTGGCGGTTACGCACCAGGAGCACCTAGTGGAAGCGGAGCAGCTTCACGCGCAGTACCGGGTGCCGGCGGACAAGGTTTCACTCCGAGCGCAGTGATCAGCGGATGGACCTCGCAAACCGGACCCATCTCTTCGAGTTCTGCGACAGAGCCTTCCACCGCGTCCACCTCGCTGGCACAGCTTCTCTCGAGCGCTCCCAGCGTCAACACATCCAATTCGCTCTGGCAGCAGCAAGACGCAGCGCGAGGTCAAGCTAACCGGGTCCAGTCAAACGATGCCATGGGAGCTCCTGATGGCAGCAGTGCATCGTCCTTTGGCGCTGGCTTCTTGAACTCGGGAACGAACGTTTCATCACAGGCCGAAGGTCCACAAACTCTACTCAACTTTGACGGTCAGGGTTCAGAATCGTCCGTTCCCTCAGGCCCAGGCCAGCAGAATTTCGATCCTTCATTCTGGCAGACATTAATCGACAAGATCATCACCTGAGAGCCATCCTATCCTTATCGGCATCACTAATCTATACCATTTGGACTCAGGAATTTATGCAACGAGACACGGTCAAGGGGCAGAGCTGTAGGCGAGCCCGGCCTGACAAAGTCATGAGATAAGAGCATGCGTGGGCTCAATAGTGTACATTACAATCTGCGTGAGGAGATGCGGAAAGGAAACGATCTGTCTTTAAAACAAGAGATTCTATGGAGCAGAGCGGTGGATGTGTCCTTGTCGGAGTAGAGATGCGACTAAGTGCTTCAAGTAGTGTCCCGAGGCTGCAGGACAAACGATTTTGGTGTGCAAGGCGAGTGCACGAAGTGGCGTATTCAAAGATGTTGATATATTGTGCCGAAGGTAGGATGGATGTTGGTACGACATCGCTCAGATGAGAGCCTGCTTGGCAGTGGTCCACGTGGCGGCGGCAGCCATCATGATACCACTTGCGAGAGCCATGGGGCGGGCACCGGAAGTGCACTTGAAAAGGGCTCCAGAAAGACCGCCTGCTGCAACAGCACCATAGATGTCGTGCTTGCCACGAACACCATCGATGGAGGCGTCAACGAGGTTGTAGATGAGGGCGACGACACCGGCGGAATTGCCGAAGAAGGAACCTCGTCGGGTGACCTGATTCAGAACAGCGTTCAGTCGAAGACGGAAAGTGGTGTTTTCTACGCCGAGAGGGCGGAAGAAGCCTTCCCTTGCGCCGAGGAGACCACCGATGGCGAGACCGGAGAGGTAGGTTGTACCTGTACCGTAGCAAAGATCGTCTGACCAGCCTCGGGATGGAACAGCAGTTCGTGCACCCTCCATGCTGGATGGTGCACCATCCGTAAGGTCGAGGTACTCGAGATCGTCTTTGCCTAGGCCTGCCAATGGCGACAGGTCTCCGAGGTTCAGCGAGGCATCGCCGAGAAGGGAAGCTGCGTTGGGAACGTACTCAGAAGCGGAGTCGGATGTAGATGGTGTCGATGACGAGGGCTGAACAAAAGTGTGGCTACGAAGGTAGTTGGTAGGACTGTCCGAGGATGCGTTAGGAGCCACTGTGGAATCGACAGGCGCAGGAGCCATAGCCTGGAAAGCAGGCTGTGTGGATGAGGAGGACGAAGCCTCTGCCGACTTGTTGGATGAGAACGGCCAGACCATGATGAGCTAGAATGCGTTTGCGGACGATGTGCGTGCGTGCAGAGGTGTGTCGAGGTGGAGTTGATGGTGAGGAGGGTTGCAGACGTAAAGTCGCAAGGTCAGGGTTTCAAGTCGGTTCTGTCAACCTGTGTGAAGATGACGCTGTCGCAGCCCAATCCACAATTCTTTGCTGAGTTACGAAGGCTGAGGAAATTGTCAAAGACCTGATCCGAATCGAAAATCGACCCTTTCCGCCGCGTTCCGAACTCTCTCCGCTAAAAAAAATCCTAAGTGTGTGCTTGTGTGTGGCTCACGTTTCTTCTAATTTCTCAACTTTTCTTTTCTTTTCTTTTCTTTTCTTTTCTTTTCTTTTCTTTTCTTTTCTTTTCTTTTTTTTCCCCTTTTCTTTTGTCGAGCTCTTGCTTGCAACATGCTTAGTCAGCAATTTGGGGCACGTGACTGGCCAGATTTGGTTGAGAGATAAAGAGAGGCGAACACACTCTGCATCTTCGACTTCTTCCAAGTGCTCTCCTCGCTACTCTCAATCGCATCTGCACACCTCCTCGCTTCCTCGACTGCAGAACCAAGCCATCTCATAGACGCTAACGGGGTTGCATCACCAACCGCCCGCCCAGACCCTCTCGTCCTAACTTCACGCACATTCACACGGTACGATGATCTTTGCCGGCTCCTCTTCGCTGCTTAGGTGCTCAGCAATCGCTGCAGCCCGAGCTCCCTCCACGCAAGCTCCAGCTTCACTTGCCATTGCCTCCACCAGCATCGCAGCATCATCGTCCATTCTTCCTGCATTTACCTTCGGAGGCTCTATCCAGACCCGTAACTCCACCAAGCGTGGTGGTGGTTCGACCAAGAACAACCGCAACTCGCCCGGTAAACGTCTCGGTTACAAGAAGCAGACTGGTACGTTTCTCTTCTGGTCCCTTGATGAGCTGCGATCATCGCCGTAATACGTTCACGCAAGAGCCACTGACATTGTACAATCTTACTTACCATCTATCTTATGTCTATAGGTCAACTCGTGTACCCCGGTCAGATTATCTTCAGACAACGCGGTACCTCGTGGCACCCGGGTCCGAACGCAGCTATCGGCAAGGATCACACCATCTTTGCGACCGCCCCCGGCTATGTTCATTTCTACTATGCCCACGCACCCTCTGCATCCGCATCACCCGTGAGCGTAGCCACCACATCACCGTCTGGTGTCAAGCTTCCCATCAAGAAGCCTTCGCCCGTCTCATTCCACGCCAAAGAGCTCACTACAACTCCTCACCCTTCCTCAAAGAAGCAGAGTCGTAGATACATTGCAGTTTCGCCCAACCCAGAGACCACATTCCCTCTTCTTGCCGGCACCCCACGGGAGAGGAGATTCGACAAGATCGATCTCAACTCCCTTCAGAGCCAGATTGACCAGCTCAAGATTCACCAGCAAGGTCTCGAGTCTTCGGAAGCAACGTCTGCTTGAAGCGACATTGTATTCATCTTGCGACTTTCTCAACTCATCTGTACTTTTATCTGTAACTCAATCTTCACGCTGCCAAATTCTTCTCAGACAGGCGAAACTCTTGTTCCTGCCCTCCTTTTCTCGAGCGGACTCCAGCCTCTCATGAGCTTCAGGACCAAATTTGTGTCTACGTGATTGCCTTGTTTCTCACTGGAGCTGGTACATTGTTCTACAAATCCCGCGCATCTCTAAACTCTAGATCGAGCTGAGTCGAGCTAGTAGCCACTGCTCCAGATCTTGCCAGCCTCCACCAACTCGTACCAGAATCTTCTTGGCCTTGGTGCCGGCTCGAGCGCCTGCGCTCCCTGCCGGTCGATGCAGCTCTAGCAAGCGGCAAGCCATCGTACGCCCGCCGATCTCATAGCGAGCTCGATTGTCTTTGCCCGGACCCTCCTCCAGTCGCACACCACGCGGAAGCGGCGGATCGATGCGTTCCAGAGCAACTCCAAGTCCATTGCAGATGGCCGCTACCTCGACATCAAGAGCATCGTTCGGGTTGGCCCTGTACTGCTCGATCGCACCTGTACCACCATAGCTGCTTCCAGCCACCGATCCTGATCCGATCCGAGACCCCATTCCTGAAACGCCTCTTGTGGCTCTACCAGGTCCATACCATGTGCCCGTCGACATGCCTCCCACCGACCCATTGTCGCTGAACGTCGGCGTCGTTCGTCCATTGTGCAACGAGCGCATATTAGATATGCTCGATCTCTTGAGTGAACCCCCCGGCTCAGCCGCTGGCAGCGAAGCCAGAGCAGCTGCCGACAGCGGTGTTGCACGCCCTGAAGCCAGTGCTGCGTTGCGTCGGGTCGGCGGTGGTTTGCTGGCTCTTTTGCTGGGTGTCTGCCCCATGCCTGCCATACCCGTCGAAGGCGCACGCGCGTACATGCTCAGTCTCTGGGCTCTCGCCACGATGGCGGGCTCGGGCGTCTGCATGCTCATCCTCGAGGCACCTGTATAGCGCACCGGCGTTGAGGTAGAAGCCTGCGACATGGCCGAACCCGGTCGACTTGGCGTCGCGCTGTCTGAACTGCGGACTGCGAGGCGCGGGATCATCGAGTCTCGTTTTCTCGATTTTGCTTCCCCGACATTGCCTGATGCCGAAGGTGGACGGTAGTACTGACCCGCAGAGGAAGCTGGGCGAGTTGGCGAAGAGTCTCCAGCATACTTCAAATATTCGATCGAGTTGTCACCATCCTGCTCCGGTTTCGATGCTCCTGACTGCGAAGGCCATATGACCTGCGACTGTGATCGCGTCATCGACTGACTTTGATCCGCATACGAGCGACTCAGAGCCGGCTTTTCAAGATCATGCCAAGATGACTTGAAACTCGAGGGTGGTGGTCGGCTAGGTGTGCCGGACACATCGCGACCGCCAACAGCGTTGCGAGCGCCAACGATCGAGATCGGTCTTGTCGCTGGTGATCGTCCAAGAACTCCCTTTTCGACAGCACCAGTAGCGGCATTGGCCATCGATGTCGCTCGATTTCGGATTGGCGTGTCGATTGCTGACGGTGATACTGAGCCAGCCAACGGCCTGCTGCCTGCGTGCTGTGTCGTTGTGGGCACTTGTAACTGTCTCGAGATGCCTGAGCGTGGTGGAGTCGAGACAGCTTTGTTTTGCAAAGCGAGTGAGTCAGCCGCAGCCGAGATTCTTCGAAGCCGTTGGAGAGTGCCTGCTGCCGGTGGAGTATTGGGCAGGTTCGATCCCATAGAAGAGCTGCTGGACAACCGGCTGGGACCACTGGCACCGCGCGAAGAGGACGATGACGACGAAGGTGTATTCCTGTGAGAGAGCGCCGAAGCCCGTGCAGGTGTGCCGAGGCCGAGTCCGGACTGCATAGATGCACTGGTTCGCAGCTTGGAAGGTAACGGTGGGAGGCTTGCAACTGAGGTAGCCGGGCTAGCTCCATCATTGTTCAACGAAGATCCGCTGCTGTCAGATCGAACGCGGCGGAAAAGGGCTTCCATTCGTTTCAGGTCTCTTTCCGTCTTGGCGAGCTCGTCGCGCAAGCTCCGCCACCGCGAGCGCAGGTCCGAAAGACGGCGGAGAACGGTGCCATTGGCGGTTTTTCTTTCCTTGCAGCCTTTCTCCAGACTGTGAAAGACTTGTTGACACGCGGGCAAATAGTAGGACTTTTTGACGCCAAACGTCTTGGTCAGGGCGACGAGCTCTTCGTGCTTGGCTTCAATGTCGTATTCACCGTCAAGATCGTCGTCGGCGGCAGCCGCCCTATGCAACTTGCCAGCCAAGTGATCGCGTTGCACTTGGTGCACAAAGGCGGAGCACAGCAGAACAGCCTTGTCCAAACTGTCCATCATTCCTTCTGCCTGTGTGCTGATAGAGCGGAAAACGTCTAGGTATTTGTCGTCGGCGAGCTCCTTCTTCAGTGCGTCGACTTCCTCCTGCATAGAAGTCCATTCCGAGCATAGGTCTTGGTACTTTTCTCGCAAAGCTCGTGGTGTAAGGGCAGGCGCGAAGCCAGGCAAGACCATATCGTCGAGTGTTCCCAAGCTGTCTATGCTTCCGATGCTGTTGCGGCGAGCTCTTGACTGCCAATCGCTCATCTCCTTGTCGATGATGGAGGAGTCACCTGCTTCGGCATCAATATCCCCAGCTGAAGGATCTTGCAGCTCGGTAATGCGAACCTCAAGTTGCTGCATGACACGCGACAGAGACTCGAGCTTCTCATCAAGCTGCATCAGAGACAAGTCTATGCCACCGAGGGATGGGACATTTGGCGGGGCATGGTTCTCGTCCGCACCAGCGCGTCGGGCTGCCTCGGGTCCAAGGTCTGGCAGCTGATTCGATGCGTCCTTCTGTCCATCAAGGATCGACTTGCTACCGTGTCGTTGCTCTTGAATTGAGAAGATGTGGCCCTGTATCAGCTGAATGGCCTCGTGAGCGTCGCTGATCTCCTCGCCAATCTCGAACAGATCAGCCTGATGGAAGCCGAGCTCAGGCGAAGATGCCGGATGCGTTGGTTGCGGCGCAAAAGGAAGCGATGGAGGTTGTAGTGTTCGGACGTCAAAGCCATCTCTGCTGATGTCACCAGTCTCGGCTGAGGAGGCATGGCTGGCCAGATGCGATGATTTCCGCTCAGCATGGTCGGCAAGAGTGAGTCCAGCTATGGTGTCGGCCAGGTCAGAAGCGCTCAGAGGCACTCCGGCACTTGCGCTTGTGTTGATGCGGCTCTTCTGCGGCGAGTTGACGATGTACGATCGTCGTGCTGGTACAGCAGCCGGGCTCATCATGAACGATGATGATCGCGAAGGAATGCTAAGAGCAGAGTAAGGTGGAAACGCAAATCACGTTGGTCAGCGATTGATTAGCAAACGCCGAATAACAAGATAGAGTGATGTCCATGATGAGCTTGCACTTACGAGACGCTGCTGGAAGAGCTAAGAATGGAAGAGGAGCGGACGTGAACAGCATGTTGTCGACCTTGAGGCGAGGGAGAGGAAGGATTGACGAACGAGCCAGCATTCGGGCCATCGCAGCTCGAGGCATCGAGGGATGAATGCAGAGCCTGAGCCGGGTCATGACTTTGCATCGTGCTCAGCATGTTCTTCCGAGTAGAGCTGAAAGGGTACGATCGCCTGGTTCGATGATGGACTTAGAGATGTGTCGAAAGAGGTGTCATCTCGGCGTGTTGATAAAGACCTCGAAGCCGCCTATCAGCTCGAAAGGAAGCAGGCACTGACAGCGGAAGCCGGCGTGGTCGAGCCAGAGATGTCACAAGACAGCGCTGAGCACTTCTAGTGGAGCAGTGAAGGAGAAGGGAGGTGGTAGAGTTCTAGTCCGGCGAACACGCGAAGGAGGACCGTTGTGTCGCGATGAAGATGAATAATGTAAGGTCTGCGTCGGTGTCAATGTTGGTGTTGGTGTCAGTGTAGGTGAGCAACCAAACGCAGGCAAGCGAGACAGTGAAAGTATGTGAGCTCTATTTCGATCTCACACGCTTCGCCAACTTCACTCATCCGGATATGCATCATGTAGACCCAAACCAACTGTCATGATAGGCATTGGCATACTGGCTATCAGACATCCAACATAGTTTCTCCATCATGTTTCAGCTTCATCACCCTTGTATCACACACATATACACAGAGTGCTGAAAGACATACATATACATTTGAATCATCTTGGGTTAGGGTTCTAAGGGCATCCGGCCGTGGGGCAGACGCGTCTTGCCCTCCTGGAAGATGGTCCACTTCAAAATTCAAGATGGTCCAATACAAAATTCAAGATGGTCCATTTCAATTTTGAAGACAGTCTATTTCAAAATTCAAGACGGTCCATTACAAAATTCAAGACAGTCCAATACAAAGTTAGAACGCAATCAAGAGGAGTGCAATTGACAGGAGTGCAATCGAGAGGAGCACAATCGAGAGCAGAGCAAGAGAGAGGAGCGCAATCGAGAGCAGAGCAATCGACAGGAGCTCCATCAAGAGCAGAGCAAGAGACAGGAGCGCAATCGACAGGAGCACAATCGAAAGGAGCGCAATCGAGCACAGAGCAATCGAGAGGAGCGCAATCGCGAGCAGAGCAATCGAGAGGAGCGCAATCGACAGCAGCGCAATCGACAGGACCGCTCATTCTGCTGGAGCAGCACAATCCGGAGCAGCACAATCGACAGGAGTGCAATCGACAGGAGTGCAATCAAGAAGAGTGCAATTCAGAGGAGTGAAATCGAGAGGAGCTCAATCGAGAGCCGAGCAAGAGAGAGGAGCTCACTCGACAGGAGCGCAATCAACAGGAGCACAATCGACAGTAGCGCTCACTCTGCTGGAGCAGCACAATCGACATGAGCGCAATTGACAGGAGCGCAATCGAGAGCAGAACAAGAGAGAGGAGCGCAATTGACAGGAGCGCAATTGAGAGTGGAACAATCAACAGGAGCGCAATTAAGAGGAGCGCAATCGACAGCAGAGCAAGAGAAAGGAGTGCAAGAGAGAGCAGAGCGAGAGAGAGGAGCGCAATTGAGAGGAGTGCAATCGAGAGCAGAGCAATCTTGAGGAGCGCAATCGAGAGCAGCGCAATCGAGAGGAGCTCCATCAAGAGCAGAGCAAGAGACAGGAGCGCAATCGACAGGAGCGCAATCAAGAGAAGAGCAATCGACAGGATCACAAGGAGTGCAATCGACAGGAGCTCTATCGACAGGAGCTCAATCGACAGGAGCTCAATCGAGAGAAGAGCAGCAGAGAGGAGCGCTCAGCCGGGTTAATTATTGTGGTCTAACATTCGCCAAAATTCAACATGTCGAGCGAATAGCTTTAACACACAGAAAAACCACGGGTGTGGAGCGAATAGCTTTAACACACAGAAAAAACACGGGTGTGGAGCGAATAGCTGTGACAGACAGAAAAACACAGGTGTCACATGCGTAGGTCTAACATATCGAAAAATACATATCAAAAAGACATGTCGTAAGTGGAGTACTAACACGTGGAAAAATACGTGTCGAAAAGGTATTTTCGACTTGTTTTTTTCAAGTTTATTTTTTGACGTGTATTTTTGCGACCTTACAAGGGTGTTCCCAGCGAGACCCTTGGAAACATGATATCTGTACTAATGAGATATGTAGGGATACCCCAGGACTATGTGTATGCAAAGTCTCATGGTACCCTAGCCCTAGCCCTAGCCGGTGTGTCTTGCTTGCAGGCAATGCACAATTGCGCTCTGCCAAAATCGAAATTCACGCAACTGCGTTGACCCCCAATGCACTCGAAATTTACACTGCTCAAGTGCTGCAATGCAAACAAATTTATTTTCGCTGGAGCAGCGCAAATTGAGCAACGCACAGCTGGAGCAACGCACTCACAGCTGGAGCAATGCACTCACAGCTGGAGCAATGCACACTCTGCTGGAGCAGCGCAATTTGAGCAACGCACAGCTCAAGAGCAATGCAGAGCTCCAGGACAACTCTTGCACTTACACCCCACAACTACTCAGCCTTACTTACAAGGGTGTTCCCAGCGAGACCCTTGGAAACATGAAATCTGTACTAATGAGATATGTAGGGATACCCTAGGACTATGTGTATGCAAAGTCTCATGGTACCCTGTTCTGTGGTGGCTGAGATATGGGCCATCAAAGTTTGGTCACTAGGTTTGAACTTTGGTGAACCTAGGTAAACTTCAATGAAGCTGGGTAAACTTCAATGAACTGAGGTAAACTTCAATGAACCTAGGAAAACTTCAATGAACCTAGGTTAACATGAATGAACCTAGGTAAATGTTGATGAAGCCAGGCAAATGTTGGTGAACCTAGGTAAACTTTGATGTAGCTAGGCAAACTTAGGGTTACAAGGGGCTGCCTGGTAGGGATGACTTTCAACATGTGTCGACCCATTAATGAAAGTTGTTCATTTGGGCGCTAGGAACAATAATGTTGCTGATCCCTGCTTGAGTTTTTCAGTGGGTTGTGGAGATATTGCATGTTGAAGTTGGGAGCAGGACAAGTCAGGACCTTGAAATATTGATATTTCTGGCATGCACCCATAATGAAAGTTGTTGCTCTATGCACCCATAAGCGTGTCCTAAACTCTCATGACAATCGACCAACCCATTGTTGAGCTGTGGTGGACTTTGTGTTTTTGAAATTTTGGCCAAAGCTGCAAGGGTCCCCCCTTGGAGCTTCGAGATCTGGACCTCGATTTTGAGCCAACATTTTTGCACAAGTCTGGAGATATGTGAGATCTATTTCGATCTAACATTTCGAACATGTAATTATGTTATGTAATCACAATTGCGATCTAACATCATGATCATGTGACCCAACTGCGAGATTATGTGCGCTCCATTTCGAACTTGTAATTATATTATGTAATAACAATTCGATCTAACATTATAAACACGTGATGCGACAGGTTACAAGGGTGTTCCCGGCGAGACCCTAGCCCTAGCCCTAGCCCTAGCCGGTGTGTCTTGCTTGCGGGCAACACACAATTGCGCTCCGCCAAATTCGAAATTCATGCGACTGCGTTGACCCCCAACGCACTCGAAATTTACACTGCTCAAGTGCTGCAATGCAAACAAATTTATTTTTGCTGGAGCAGCGCAAATTGAGCAACGCACAGCTGGAGCAACGCACACTCTGCTGGAGCAACGCAATCTGAGCAGCGCACAGCTCGAGAGCAACGCACTGTTCGAGAGCAACGCACAGCTCAAGAGCAACACACAGCTGGAGCAACGCAATCTGAGAAGCGCAATCTCATCAGCGAACTGCTGGACAGCGCACACTCTGTCGGAGCAGCACAATTGAGAGCAGCACAATTGAGAGCAGCGCAATCGAGAGGAGCGCTCACTCTGCTGGAGCAGCACAATCGACATGAGCGCAATCAAGACGAACGCAATCGACAGGAGCGCAATCGACAGGAGCACAAGCAAAAGGAGCGCAATCGACAGGAGCACAATCAAGAGGAGTGCAATCAACAGGAGCGAGCACTCTGCTGCAGCAGCGCAATCGACAAGAGCTCGATCGACAGGAGTTCAATCAAGAGCAGCACAATCGACAGAAGCTCAATCAAGAGAAGAGCAATCGGCAGGAGCTCTATCGACAGGAGCACAATCGAAAGGAGGGCAATCTACAGGAACGCAATCGAGAGCAGAGCAGGAGAGAGGAGGTCTATCAACAGGATCTCAATCGACAGGAGCACAATCAGGAGGAGTGCCATTAAGAGGAGTGAAATCGAGAGGAGCTGAATCGAGAGCCGAGCAAGAGAGAGGAGCTCACTCGACAGGAGCGCAATCGACAGCAGAGCAAGAGAGAGGAACGCAAGAGAGAGGAGCACAATCGACAGGAGCTTTATCGACAGGAGCTTTATCAACAGGAGCTCATTGGAGAGGAGCGCAATTGACAGGAGCGCAATCGAGTGAAGAGCAAGAGACAGGAGCGCAATCGAGAGCAGAGCAGGAGAGAGCAGCGCATTCGACAGGAGCACAATCGACAGGAGCTCATTGCAGAGGAGCGCAATCCACAGGAGCGCAATCGAGAGCAGAGCAAGAGACAAAAGCGCAATTGAGAGCAGAGCAGGAGAGAGGAGCGCAATCGACAGTAGTGCAAGAGAGAGCAGAGCGAGAGAGAGGAGCGCAATTGAGAGGAGCGCAATCGACAGGAGTGCATTCGACAGGAGCTCAATCAAGAGCAGCGCAATCGAGAGGAGCTCAATCGAGAGCAGAGCAATCAAGAGGAGCGCAATCAAGAGGAGCGCTCACTCTGCTGCAGCAGCACAATCTAGAGGAGCTCGATCGAGAGCAGTGCACACTTTGCTGGAGCAGCACAATCAAGAGGAGCACACTGCTGGACAGCGCTCACTCTGCTGGAGGAGCACAAGTCGAAGGAGCACAAGACTAACCGTCATTTCAAACCCGATCTAACATTTGGAGCGCGTTGCCCGACATTTATTTTTGACATCAGATTCAATCTAACATTCTTGAGATGTGTCTAACATTTTGTGACCTCTATTTCGACCTCATATTTTCGCACCTTTTGTTAAATATGTGTTCTTTGTTTCAATCTAGTATTTTGCGCACATTACTGATACTTTGA